TCACTTAACCCTAATATAACAGTGTTAACTTAATAAAATAAAAAACTAAAAATTGAAAAACAAAATAACAATAAATCATAGCAGCCATTGTTACCAAGTCCCTCTGCCCAGCAAACACCAACAGTCAACCACCCCAATCACCCCATCCCACTGGCGGCAACCTACCTTTCTTACCCTACCCTAGGCCAGCCACCCAACGTAAGCCGCCCTAGGTTCACGATCTAGTAGTGGGTTAAAGCTCTGCTACCAATAAAAATCAAGCACCCTTTCCCGAAATCATACACAAGTGAGCAGTCCCTTACATTGTAAACACATGCAAAAACAACAAAACCAAACCCAAAAATCAAATTGAAACAAAAAATAAATATTGGCAGAGAAGAGAACGATATAGAGGGAGGGAGGGAGGGAGGGAGGGAGGGAGGGATGGAGAGAAAGAGACAGATACATAAACAGAGGTTGGAGTGGGTGGCTGCCAGGTTGGAGTTCTTAATGCTGATTGGTGACGAGCTTTAACCTCATATCCCAAAATGCCGGTTATCTTTGCTCGTGAGGCTCCCAAGGTTAAAAAAGAGGTTGGAGTGGACTGTTGGTGTTTGCTGGGCGGAGGCACTTGGTAACAGTGGCTGCTATGATTTATTGTTATGTTGTTTTTCAATTTTTAGTTTTTTATTTTATTAAGTTAACACTGTTATATTAGGGTTAAGTGATAGGACACTTGTCAAACATTTAAAGAAGGGACATGAGGGGGACACCAAATTGGGGACAGCGGATCCGCTCCCGTATAGAACACAAGCGCTTCTTACACATTCATTTTGGACGTGCTTCTTACACATTCACTTTGGAAGTGATTTTTGATGACGCACCTAAAAGTTCATCTATAGCCCAAAGCATTTTGTGTTTTGCCAAACAATATGAGAAGCACTTTTGGATATTTGAAAGTGCTTTTGGCACTATCAAAATAATGTCCAAGCACACCCTAAAACTATATTAGATTTTAACATTTGCACTGTGATTATTCTTATTGTTATTTTCTTTTTTAATTTTAAATTTCTCTCAGTGAAGTTCTTGTTTCTTTTGACACTACCTGATATTTCTATTGCTTTGCAGAACACCATTGTCGGTGATTGCATCATGTAACAACACAAAAGATGAATTGGTGCAAGAAGTGGAAAGTGTCAATCAAAGTAGTGTGACCCAAGAGGCTGATACAATGGAGGATAGGTTCCGCTGAAGGTGGAGCCGTGGAGTAAAAGCTTTACCTTCTAGGCTCACAATGTCCAATAAGTTTGTCTCCTTTTTGTATGAACAATAATTTTTTTTTATGAGCAAAGTTTAAGAGGAGATTGGCTACTCTCACCACCAGCGTCAGAGCAAACCCATAACCTCGAGCCGGAAGAACTTACGCATAGCACCAAACTGCTAGCTGCCACCAATATGGATTTATGTATGCAATTACAGATCGCACACCAACGATGACTGCTGACAACGAGAGTCAAACACTAATGGGGCTACACACAATATAGGAACCTTACCAATTGAGCTAACCTCGTTGGCTTTTTTGTATGAGTATTTGATTACTTACTATTGTAAGACTTTCTTTTGCAACTTATTCTCCAAATTTATAGTTTACGAAAAAAGGTCAATGCAAAAAGGCTAACGTTCTTTTTAAAATTTTCATGGGGTAATCCAGGAATATAAGTGGGTTGAAATATAGGACAGTGATCGATTTTAATTTTTTAAAATTAATATTAAGAAAAAAAATACTATCGACAGTCATATAACTTATTTGTTATGAGGATAAACTTTTAAGCCCACCCAACACCAGAAGTAGAATTAAGCCCACGCAGAGTAGAGCCAATTCTGAGTTTTGAATGGCCCATGTCCAAAAATGAAAATGAGGGCCCCTTAATTTTCATTTGTATGTAAGCAAAGTTTGTAGTCTTGTTGTTTCGAATGTTCTAGTGCCCAAAACCATAACCATGTGAATCTTCAAGTTCGGTAAGGGAGGTTTCAAAATGGAAGGCATTTTCATGGTGATTTCCTAGAAATGAAAACTGGTTTTGGGCACATGCATTCAGAGATGTTTATAAATTTACTTGACGATTACAAACCTTTTGATTGCTCCTGATCAAATTTCCTGGGGAAAAGAAGAGCTGTAGTGACAAACTTATAGTCGGTTGGATTGCAGACAGACCAATTTTGTGCATTACTCATATAGTAGCAATCATACATGTGTGTTGGATCAATTGACTATTGGCAATGGTAGTGTGCCCGCTCCCTTACATCCGAGTTTGAATTGCAATCTCAGTATATTTGAGTATTTTAGGATATTGAAAAAAAGAGGGGAAATTAACCATAGATTCGCACGATGTTTTCTTAAAGTCAACAGTCGCATCACTTTCCTAAAATGCTCCATAGTAATTCGCTGATTTTCGATCCATTACCTTTCCCAGGAAAAAGAAAATTTCTGAGAAGTATAGCCACACGGCTTTACTCTGCTGTTTTATTTTTATTTTTTCTTAAGAGATAGTATAGCCGTTCGGCTATACTTGTTTTTGCTAATCTTTTTAATTAAATGAGGATAATATGGTAAATACCAGAAAATTAACATTCAAAATACCATAAAATGCCCTTAGTTAATTCAAATATTAAGAATTGAAATTATTAATTAAATGAGGATAATATGGTAAATTCACTTTTTTCATATTAAAAAAAATTAAAATTAAAAACAAAATCAAATAATAGGTCATACTTTTAAAGAACATAACTACCCGTGTTATCTTTTTTTAATTTTAAAAATAAAATAAAAAATAAAAAATAAAACCAATTGGGGCTAGTATACCTTATTTGTTATGAGGATAAACTTTTAAACCCATGAACCCAACACCAAAAGTATAATTAAGCCAACGCAGAGTAGTGCCAATTCTGAGTTTTGAATGGCCCATGTCCAAAAATTAAAATGAGGCCACTTAATTCTCATTTGTATGTAAGCAAAGTTTGTAGTTTTGTTGTTTCGAATGTTCTAGCGCCCAAAACCATAACCGCATGAATCTTTAAGTTCGGTAAAGGAGGCTTCAAAATGACAACCCTCCTTGGGCATCTTCATGGTGATTTCCACCCTAAAACTGCCTATTGGAGAACTCTAAACCCACATAAGTGCACTGCCTTTCCTTTTTTTTGTTTTATTTTTTTGTTTTATTTCTTGTTATCTACTGGTGTTGTGAGTGATGAATGAGTGTGAGAGTGTGAGAGTGTGAGAGTAAAATTCTTTTTCATGTAGACTGTACGTAGGTGCAAAATTAAAGAATGAAAATTAAGATTAATGGCTACCAGCAGCCATTATTGTTAATTAGTAATTATTCAATCACTAAGTATTTATTTTGGTACTAGCCTTGCATCCATTCAATTCAGTCATACTAAATGAAAATTCGCTATGTTCACTTACCATATGCATTTTAACCACATTCTACCCTATTCATTTTAATCGTATGAGGACGATAGATGCATGGTTTCAACGATTAAAATGAATAGGGTAGAATGTGGTTAACATGCAAACGGTAGGTGAACATGATCTATCTCTCTCTGTGTGTTTTGTTTTGGAGACGAAGATGACTTGAGGAGTAGGAAAAGGAATTATAGCACGGATCAAATACACACGAGATAATTATAAAGCAAGCAATTTGTAGCATAATAAACGTATGAAAGAGAATTTGAACTGTCAAATTTTTTTCTCCAAAAAAAAAGAAAAGAAGTAGATTTTACATTTGTGCCTCAAAAGATAAGACACAAAATGGAGAAATTTACAGAAACAAATACAAATAGTGTCCTTCAAATTACCAATATCATCTAAATCATATGGAACCACACCACACACATGTCGTACCTAATACCATTGCTTCAAAGTTTTAATATAAATGATACTAATGCAAAAGCAGTCAAAATTGTACTATGATTCCTTTGAATAGGGGGTGAGTAGGAAGAGCCACGCAAGGCACAAACAAGACTGACAATAATGTTCCACATCAATACCAACCCACCAAATAAATTCCAGAGGCTAATGAATATCGGAACAAGTTTTCATCTCCAACCCAATAAATTACTAGAGTTTATAACTAATCGAAGCTTAATTATATAGATAGTGCATTATATAAAGTACTTAAACATTGAGAAGAAATAGCATAAAATTAGACGATTTATCAAATTAGAGTGATTTTTTTAGACAATTTAGATTATTAAAATACAATGCACGATGGACTCTAAAAGGGTATCTCTCAATTAAACCTCTCTCTCTCCTAAAAGAATATCTCAATTTACATTTGAGAAGTCTGTAAGAAATGTATATTACTTCCCTTCCCTTATCCTTGTAAGAAAATGCAATCACCACTATAATACACCACCAATGTTTTTAGTAAGGGTGGGACCACTTTTCTACTGTAATTCAAACCGAAACTGAAAATATCAAATTGACTAAATTGCACAGATGCTCCTCGTGCGTCTTGTGGTTTGTCCATAGTATATATGTTCAATTTGAGTCCATTGTGCGCACTGCGTGGAAGGATAAAAAGGTCAGTTCAATCCCTTGGCTTGTCCATAGCTTTCTCATGTTCGTGGATAAAAGGTCAGTTCATCCCTTGACCATGTTCACTTACCCTTTGCATGTTAACATGTTAACCACATTCTACCCTATTCATTTTAATTGCATGAGGACAATGGATGCATATGGTTTCAATCATTAAATACCCCCTCCCCCTGCCCCTCAAGTATTGCATCTTTCTTTTCTGATTGTAGTTTCCAAAAATTTTACTTGCTAGTTGCTAACGTAAATCCATGGCCTCTTGTTGTTTCTTCAACCTTTCCTTCATGTCTTTCAGTATAATTTCATTAGCCCTCTTCTTTGACTCACAAACTTCCTTCTTGAGTGACTCGGACATGTCAGAAACTCACTCAAGAAGGAAGTTTGGAATTAAAAGAAGAGGGCTAATGAAATTATATTGAAAGACATGGACGAAAGGTTGAAGAAACAAGAAGATAGATGCCATGGAATGGAAGAGTCCATAGCTTCTCTTAGGTCTAAATCAAAAGTTGCTGTGGAGACTAAGGAGGATGCTGCTAACCTTTGTGAATTGGTGGAACTTAAGCTGTGGAAGGTAAAGTTGTTAATCCACGATTCTGCCGATTCACATGTTAAAAAAGGTATAAGGGAGATGGCTACCAAAGCTGGGCTTACGGTGAAGGTGGTGAAGGATGTTGTGATGATGGAACACTAATGGGTTTATTAAGGATTCTGTCGTGATGGACACTGATAGATAAAGTTATGGTGAATGTTGAACAGTTCATTTGCCATGTTGGCTCGGATTGTTTCGACATCATACATATGTTTGAGGTTGTATTTGCTTTATTATTATTATTTTTTCTTCCGAGAGAAATATTTGCTTTCTTTATTTCTACTCAGAATTGCAAAACTATAAAACACTACGAAAATCAATAGAAAGACAGCACACACACCGAACAAAAACAAAACAAAAGGATCCGTGGAGCATCCAGTTGATATGAAAAGGACAATTTTGACGAAAAAAGAATATGAAAAGGACATAGGTTTGATTGATTACCCGAAGTTGTGTCAAAACCCATAATTCAATAAACACATTCAACAAAAATAATCCCAAAAACCCACACAGCACTTTAGACCGAAAAAACGGGGCAAGTTTTCTCTAGACTAGATACTCCAGCCTCTTGTGCGAGAGAAACATTCCCTCTTCTGGTCAAACTCACTTCGACAAACCAAACTGAGTTCACACCTCACTGTTCCTAAGATGTTCATTAGGAATAGTTTAAATGACGGTGCCCCCGCTTAAGTGATGGTTCCTTTAGTTGACTTAAGAGCAGTGAATTGGCCGTTATGCTCAATGCTTTTTCTGGTATAAAGTCTGAAGGGATAGTCACAATAAGAAATTTGTTCAAATCCATGTATTCTTTGCTAGTGTTTTTCATGGTGTTTGGGATTTGTGTCTCAATATCTCCAATGCTTTGTAAATGCTCTAGTCAGGTTAATGTTCCCAATGTTGCTAGCTAGCTACCTTGGCAAATAACTCAACTTTAAAATTAAATTTAACTAAAACAGATGATGTACAATGATGATTGGAAATGTTGATCAGGAATCTAAGACATATATCCATCTAAGCACTGGTTAGGCTAAGACAGACACTATATCAGTGCAAAACTTCTAAGCAAATTAAATTCAAGGTTACTAAACTAATTCAATGAGATTCTACGTACTGATAATCTTCAAATTTATGATACCAGATGATGAATCATCAGATCAATCCCTCCAAATACTGAATGGATTGATCGTGATCGTGATCTGGATCTCAGTTCAAATTCAGTCCACCACAGAGAGAGCTTGATACTCTTTGTCAGCAATGGCTGCTTCCATGAGATGGCGCCGGCCAATTTCCCCACCATTGTCCAAGAAAGACTTGAGCAAGTTTTCAAAGAAGCCCCTCAACAGCGTCACCCCTGGATGATGTTCTTCTATACAAGGCTTGTTCCAGTCCCCCATATTCCAAAGCAAAATGTGTGGCACTGCATTATCCCCGTACCCTTGCTCCTTAAACTCGCTCTGTTTTGCCTCATATAGTCTTCAAGAATGTACCATCACCATATCCTCCGAAGTCGGTGAACACAAACACCTTCTTAACCATATGCTCTGCCTTCAAGTTCTCTTTCACAGCGACTTCCAGAATGAAGTCCCATACCTTCCGACTATGAACATACGATCCCAACTCACTGCTACATGTCCTCACCATAAACTCGCACTAAGACTTGAGATCATCCCCTTCTATCGAATGCAGCAGCAACTGATCCAGCAAATGACCGGAACTGATCACCTTTCCTTTCCATGCCATCTCTTCACTCAGTTCAGACACCAAAAGTCCCAAACTCACCGCCAATTCTCTGGGGCATATGCCCATGAAATCTTTGATGTGACACATTGCCAAGCAGTTTTTAAATTTTCCCAAACCCTGCCCCTGCATTTGCTGCTGCTGCTGTTTTAGGTACATATCCTCCACCATTGCCTTCCACTGAAGCTCAGCCGCTTCCCCGACATCCCCATCTTCTACTACATAGCGTATGATCTCATTTGGGAGCATAGCATCCCATGGCCACTCGAATTGCCTCCTCTTCCTCCTGTTTTTTTCAACTCCTCCAAATACATCGTAACTTCTGAGCGTTGTCGTCTGAAAAACATGCCTTGACCATTCCGGTACCTGTACAAGGGCGCCAAAACCTCATTCCTAAGCCGCTCCCACTCTTGTGATTGATATGATTGATTTGATTGATCTGGTTTGCGTAGGAAAAGCCTCCTCGCAATGCTTTCACACAGCAAAAACACGAGGGAAGCACGGGTGGCCTCTGGGTGTTTGCTAATGCAACACACTGCAGCCTTGCTAACAAAAAGATCAGCATAAGTGTCAGCATCAAGAGTACCATCTTTATCATCTTTTTCGTCGTCGTCTTCGTCGTCTTCATCACCGTCAGTTATATAATCGGATGGCTTCAAATCAAGCTTGTGCTGCTTGAATTTGTCAATATCAGACTTCAACTGCTCCATGAAGACATCCATAACCCGGTCGTGTAAGAGCTTATAGTCTGGGTCACAGTGGAGCCGCTCTGCAGCGTCTTGGCCTTGTTCTATAAGGTGGTAGAGAATCTCGAGAAGATCATAAAAACTCCCGAATGGAAGGGCAATGGAGGGGAGGTTGCATAATAGCGTCTTGGGGTGGTTCTGGTGGAGCCAAAACACATCCGTGTAGATGGTTATGTTATTAGCTTATCACACGTGGCGTTGGATTATCCGGCATGTGATAAAGCTGTTTGCGTGCATAGAACATGGTTTGGTTGGGCCACATGTGATGTTGGATTTTCCGGCGTGTGTGCTCTTTGGGACACTAGTTACTTTACCACACATGACGTTGGATTTTCCTGCATGTGGTAAAGGATCCGTACACTTTGGTTACTGTTACTTTACTACGCGTGACATTGGACTCTTCGGAGTCTAGTAAAGTAACAGGGAGAGGAAAAAAGAATTTTTGTACTATATTGGGAAACGATTAATGTTTAAAAGAATTAACTTATTGGCATTACTGAAAATAATTGTATATCATCTGGTTCATTATTATGGATGGTAGAATTACGTGTGGTTTGATCCCTTAGTAAGCATACGTAGGAAGCCTGGGGCCTTACCCAGGTGCATCCGCAAGATCAAGTATATTTTTGGACTTTGCTTTCGTCACTAAGACCATATCCTATTTATTAGTTTTATAAAGTTTGGTTTGAATTATGTCGGGAGCCTGAAGCCCAGTCAAGGTGAGATTAAATGATTGGTTATATTTCAGTATTACTAATTAGTTGTGGTCAAAAGGTGTTTGTGGTCTTGTTGAGTCTGAAACCTATTTGGATGGATGATTGATCCTGGTCTGAGTCTTTAGAATTGCTCTGTTATCGCCCATGTAGGGTGGGGCTTATTCTGTGAATTGTGTGCTTTTACATTGTGCATGCTGAAGTTTGGGAATTTTAAACTGCATTTTTAACATGTTGAAAATTTTGGGAAATGTCCGTTTTTCAGGGGAAACTGTGCCGAAATTTCGATAGAAAGTCTCGTCTCTCTTTTCCTTGATTTGAAAAATAAAAATAAAGGCTTTATTGTTATTAAGTGAGCCCGGCATCACCTTGATGTCGGAAATACCTCAGGATTCGTCTTGGATTCCGAGGAATTCGAGGTGGGTCTTGTCAAAGTTCTCCAGGGTTAAAAATTTAGTCCTCCATAGTGTAGGACTAAATTTTTCCATCTCTAGTCATGCATGACTATATTTTAGAGTCCTTCATATTTTATTATTTTGAGAAAAACTATGGTACAACACTCATACATTCCACAACTATGTATTATTTAATTTAATTAAACTACTATTTATAGACAATATTCCATATATGACACGTATACGTTGATAAGAACAAGAAATTTTATATATATTTTTTAAACAACACGAATTGAAAACATTTAAAAACGTGACCATATTTAAAAAATAAAATAAAAAATGGATGGGTTTCAATGGTCTGACCTCCAACGATCATGACTCATGACTAAGAATTTTTTATAATATTTTTTAAACACACTTGAAAACATTTAAAAAGGTGACCACATTGATAATTTATCTTCTTGAAAAGCACATACATGGGGCCCACCAAAAATTTGGCATAGGCAAAAGTTGGGCTATATGTGGCCCGGTTGGAGGGCTAAAGGGCCAAATTTGGCCAAAAAAATTTTAGCCCATGGCTGGAGATGAGTTTTGCATTATTTTAAGGCTATATTTGGGATATAACCCATGCGGGAGATGGCTTAAACTCTGAAAATCCCTACTGTATTGGATTGGAGGATACGGCCCATCAGACACTCACACTATACTTGGTACTATCACTAACGATTAAATCCAATTCACCTAGCGTGCGGTTTTATCACGCTAGTGTTACCACACTATACAATTTATAATATAAATGGATTGATAAAACCGCACGCTAGTGTTACGGACACACTGAAATATTTCTCAATATTATATTTTCAAAAGAACTGAAAATAAAAAATAAAAAGTGAAAACGAAGTAGTTACCCAAACGGGCAATAGCAAATCTAAAATTTTAAATTGCACATTTTGACGAAGCCATGCTTACAGTATGTTATCTGACCAAAATTCTTGTTTACTCTTCAATTTTGATGCATGTCACTGTGCAGCAGGTGATCTGGGGCAATGCATGTAAGTTAGCCAGCTGCCCACCCTTGAGGCAAAGGCCTCTTATTCGATTAAATCAATTGCCATCCTTGGAAGTTGCTGTTGTTCATATATCACTATAAAGATTTTGAAATTAACTCAACAACTTGAGATACATTTTCGTACAAAATGGAAATCGCTTGTTACTTGAGGAGGGTTGTGATTCTGCAACTGCAAATCTTGAGTTTTTTGGAACCCCAACATTTTTCTGGTGCTGATCCTACTCATGGGTTCACTCGTGTGCAATTGACTGAACACGACCGCAAATTACAGGTACCATATAACAAATCTCCGGCAGATCGTTACAGCAAAGTGGATGGAGTTGAGAAGTTTTGGGTCTCTACGCCAATGATAAGCCCTTTAAAAAGCACAGTCCAACCGGACCACGCACAGAAATAAGAATTTCTGTATGTATTATTCTTTCCCCTCCTCTCTATCTCTATGCTAATACCCTTTTCAAATTAAGTACCAAATTAATGTTTCTTGTAGTAAATATAGTGTATCAAAGTTGTGTTTACGGCCCACAAACGTCTTCGAGTTCATGATGCGAGAAACGCTAGTGTGATGCCATTCTTTTCACGTGACAAAGACATTATTAAATTAATGACAGAACAGTTCAGTTAAAAGATGACATGTTTTCACAAAATAAAAACTTTTCATTAAATTTGAACATATGACATTTTTGAGTGTTTTTAAGTGTAGAATGTTATCTCAAAATGTGTGTTTGAAACAATATATTGTCTTTGATATTCACAATTCCTAAAAAGTTGCATCTCTTGTTTTCCTAGGGGCATGGTTACACTTCTGGAGTTTGGCAATTTGAAGGCCATTTTTAGTGCCCCAGCGTAGATCCGGCGTTACAATAATGCAGATCTTTGGTGCAGCCCATCAAGCTACAACCCTACAATTAAGGGTGTACGATGGGGACTTGAAGTACTACATACACAATGTGGTGGCTGCAAATATCAGTACAATAAATGGTTCAGACTGAATGTGATTCACTATGTTGTTGCAAGGAAGGTGAAGAAATTTATCGACGGAGAACAAAGTTTGTAAAAGATGACGGTCGAGCTAGCTTCCACTTCACATATGGAGTTTATGCAGCCCCATCTGATTCATCTCACTACATGGAATCAAGGTGGAATGGGATCAAGCTTTTCAAAAAGTGATGGTGAAGGGCCCTAGGGCTGGCTGCTTAACGATGATGACATATTAGAATGAAACTAAAATAAATCAATGAAAGACACTCAAAAATGTGAAGGGCCCTAAATCAACCTCTTGCTTCATTAGGGTATTTTTATCATTTGCCCAAAATACTCATGTGTAAAGAATAAAGAAGAGACAAAGACATTTGTTCAATAATTTGTTGACAATACAATTGCAAAAATTAAGGAAAATATTTTAAGACGTGAATAGCGCGCGTGATTGGAAAAAAAATCTTTTTACCAACAGTTAATATAATAAAATTCAGGCGTGTGTAGAGAGCAGTTAATAGAAACCCAACAAATGGAGTAATTTACTTCTCACAATCATTAACAGAAACACCAAAGAAAACAAAACAACTAACTATAGTTTATATTGTTGGAATGTTCAAACGCCTGTGTCCCAGCCTTCCCTACCTCCCAGTTTCCTCGAAACCAAACTCATCAGCATCAACTCACTCCTTCGCTTTCACCACCATGCGGTGGCCGCCGAGGTCCGGCGGCCTTGGAATCGCCGCCATCGCCTATGTGGTAGTTGACTACATCCGCCACTTGTCGCCTGCGTGGCACGGCCGTCTTCAGCCAGCGCTCTTGTCCGGATTCGCTCTCATTGCCGTCAGTCGCGTCCCCTTCTACAAGCACTGGTCCTCTGAGTTTCGCTCCGTCTTTCCCTTTATTGGTTCTATGCTCTTTATGCTCTTAGCTCTTCTCTTTGAAGCTCTCTGCGTTCGATTTGTCACCGCTGCCCTCGGCCTTGATTGGAACAGGTATTTTTGCTTTTTCTCTTGATTCTCTTTTTGGGTCTGTTTTGATCTGCATTGTTTCTTCATTGAGCTTAGAATAAAGCTACCCAGATGATGAATCTGTTAGAATTTTGGGTTTTGTGCTTTCTTCTGGGTTTTATTTGCTTAAATATTATGTGGGTCGAGTTTGATTTGTGTTGTTTCTCTTGCCATTTCGATTGATGCTCGTAATCTCTGAATTAGCCAATCAATTTGGTCAATTTCATGTTAGGATTAGTGCCGGCATTTTAAGGATCTGATCATACACTTTTCGAATGTTGTTGGATCAGAGATGCCAAATTTAGAATTAATACTCAGATGATGATTAAAGATATCAAATGAAATGTTCATTAATGATATTATTTATTAATAATTGTTCTAAAGGAGCTGCCTTTTTCCTTTTGTTTCTTTGGCTTACAAGGAAGGAGATTTGAACTTAGTTTCTACCCATTAATACCCATCCTATTGCAATGCCCTTCCAGTGCCACTTGTTGTGATAGAGAGCATGGACAAAGCAACTGGGTTTTACGAGTTACAATAGCAATTGTGGTTCAATTTTGGTCTGGGAAAATTTGTTCCCTTCTTCAGTTGGTGAACCCATTGCTTCAGAGTTACTTTGTTGACTACCATTTACATATAGTTAGGGTTTTCAGCCCTTGGCATGTAGCACATTCCATCTATTAGGGATAAAAAAATGAGTACTAATATTCCGTCTTATATTGCCGAAAACAAACATGTTGCTCATCCTACATCTAAAGCACACTCCATGCTCCAAGAGAAACTTTAAAAATAAAAACATTTCCTATGCTTCTAAAGATTCCTCGTTCCACCCTTGCATGTTAGTCTATAGAGTATTGTCATATATTTAAGGTAAGAATTTTTCATTTTGAGTCTTCTAAACCTTTTTCCAGGAATGTTTTTGGCTATTATCATGAAAATGCAATGTCATAAATCTTTTAATGAATAAGTATTAGATCATATAATAAAGATTGGTCATGTTGGATAAGCTATTGCATAAATTATTTCATGTGGTTGCATCCTTGTGTAGACCGTGGTTGTGGCTGGCCTTTACAGGCTATAAAAATGTCCACAACAGCTCTTTGTGACATGACCTGTGAGAGACCCTATTGAACGTTAGGAGATACCAATTGATGTGGGTCCTTTCAAGAACCATTTGGGCTTTGGCGATCAAGTCAATCAGGGATCTGGATCATCATTGGTTCGCTTGCTCGACTCCAATAAACAGTAGCCAGAAAGTATATGATTCGAGGGTCCGAGGTGTACTAAAGTATTGATAAAATATAAGTATTAAATAAAATTTTGATAAAAACACACAAATAATAATTATACAATTCTGTTAAAACTTAAATGATAATATACATCAAGTATTTCTTTAAACTTTTCCCAAATATGTCAGAAAAATGAACAAGAGACTAAATAGCTAGAGATACAAATTATATAATAATAATTTGTCTTCCAGATAAAGAAACTTGGATTTACCTAGAGTAGAAAAACTATCAAATTTCTTAACCTATTGAAACATGTTTTGTCCCTCGTAGTATTCGTATGTTGAGGAAGAAGTGAAATTTTCCAGGCCCAAGCTGCTCCATGGCCATTTAGTCAGGCTAAAGCTTGCTAGGCCAGTTGATTGTAGGCCAAATGCTGACTCTGACAAAGTCAGGAATATTCAGACAAAGAAAAAGCCAAATGTTGCAGGTGGCTAGGGTTACTAAGGCCATACCTTCCTATAATGAGAAATTAATAGATGAGATTGGCGTACCACAGCAACATATATAGTATACAATCTCTTTTTGAAATTTTTATAACTTATGCATAGCTTGGCACCTCCTTCCTTTCATCCTTAAAATTTTCCACAGAAGATATGTCCCAATTGAATGTCCCTGGTAAAAGTAGTTGTGGCGTCATCCCTCTGTTTCTTTTCAGCATTGTTGTTTGGGTTCTGCTTCACAGTTTCTATTTGGTTCTTGTTACTGTAAAATTTCCATTTGCGTGCTTGTTGCTCGTCTTTACATCATTCTGGAAGTTATCAAGTTTGTTGCTGTTCACAACACCATTGGAACACCTTCATCAGCTGCCCCTGTAAGCTTCCATCCTGTACCTGTTCAATTTGTACACTCAAGCATCAATTTCCATTTAATTTACTCCAGTCCTTTAGTCCTTCCCATAAATCATCTTCCAAAGCTTCTTTAAGGACTCAGACAAATGAAAATCATGGTTTCTTCCATAAATATCAAGTTCTTAAATAAGCAATTTTGCTTCTCTCACACATTTGCTAGTCATCTGGAAGGTCTGATATGGTTCTGTCCGTAAAGTGGCTTAACGATGAAATTATGGAGGTGCTTTGTTATGGTTATGCATGTTTGCTCCATGCCTGTTAGCACTTATTTGGCTGTAAAACTGTGTGCTTCAATATAATGCATATTCCAGCATGAAAGTTAGACGACAACTGGACCACAAAAGCTTTAACTGTTAGGGAATGGGTCACAGTGTAATGTAATATAAAGCAAACAAAAAGAATTTGAAAAACACAGAAAAAGATCATGCTGAGATTTTTTTAGTCAATTTTGCAAAGATAAGCAACATTTTTCATTTGCTCTCTTTTAAATAAAGGCCCTGTGCATTATGTGATAATTTGAGATTGATATGTGGGTTTTATCAGATGATTTATGATTTCTGCTTTCCTATATTTCATAGCATCTTTTCATAGACGATACTGTTTCATTGTTCATGAAATTACCCGTAATTTTTAGATAAGTATTTAACAAGAGGGAAGAATAATTGGCTTTTTTAATGTTTGTCACCTCAGTCATACATCTCCTCTTCCCGACACTGGCCAGTGGTTGCTTTTGGCGCTGAATGAGAAGCTTCCTCATCCATTAGTTGAAATATTGAGAGCCCGTATTATTGGACTGCACCATTTCCTCATGTTGTTTGTGATGTTGGCTTTTTCCGTACTGTTTGACTCTGTTAAAGCTCCTGGCCTTGGACTAGGTGCACGCTATATGTTCACCATGGCTATTGGCCGCCTTCTTCGTGCCATAACTTTTGTATCAACAGTTCTGCCATCAGCCCGGCCTTGGTGTGCTACTGCTCGTTTCAATGTCCCTTTATATCCTCATCGCTGGGCTCAGAAATATTATGTTCCTTATGCTTCGGATGCTAATGCTATTCGTGAGTTGTTACGACAGGATATAGCTTTCGGTAAGTACTCAATAGGTTCCTTTTCTTCTTGATCCGAAGCCCCTGGATTTCATTTTCTTGATTGCAACTGTACGACCAAAAGACCATTTACTATCTGACCTTCTGACCCAAGTTTGGTATGAGCTGGGCATGAGTTATAAATTCAGAAGTCTTTTCCCAATTCTCACACATGGATAGGGTCCTTCATGGCCCATGTGAGAGTTCGGGGAAAAAAGAGTTGTGTTGTACAGCATTTTCCTATACAGTATTCCTCTAATGCCGCTCCCTTTTCTACTGCAAATACATTCTCCTTTTAGGATCAGCTGGCAGTATATGTTACAACATGTTTCATTTGTTTCCCGCAGCTGATACTGGAAAATTACTTGGGGACTTCCGGCCGGATTGGGGTCCAATGAGCTTCCTAATAGATTTCTTGCGACCCAGTGAATCGGATGGACCATGGTATAATTTACTGAAGAATGCCGGAGGCGGCTGCAATGACCTCATGTACAGTGGGCATATGCTAGTTGCTGTGTTGACAGCTATGGCTTGGACGGTACTACCTATTATGTGTTTTGAAATTTGTGGCCATTGCCACTTGATGTCTAAGATGCAACCTAGTTGTGCTGTTGATTGTTGATTTCTATAAATCTGATCAAATGTTGCAGGAAGCTTATGGTGGTTTTAGCTCAGTTCTCATATGGTCACTTGTCGCGCATGCTGCACAGAGAGAAATACGGGAACGTCACCATTATAGCGTAGATTGTGTTGTGGCCATTTATGTGGGAATCCTGCTATGGAAGATGACAGGTTTTTTGTGGCCATCCAAGGATGCATCTAGAGATAGGAGGATCACAATGCTCGAGAAGATTCAAAGTCGACTTACCCAAGCTGCTAAGGACTACGACATAGATGAAGTGAGAGAGCTTCTCAGAGGGGTTGAGTTGGGAAGTCAAGAGAGCCTGAGTAATAAAGGGCCAAGCACGGGTATGTGGATATTTGCTTGTGCTATCATAATCACTGCAATTGTCATTGTTGTTCTCGCCTTGACATTGACAACTGATGGATAATTTTCTGCTCATGATTTCCTTCCACGATTTTAGGGGGTTAGAGCTTGTAGTTCCTTGTATTGTATAATTTTGTGAAGAATTGTTCGTGTTGTAGCAGGTTGAGGTTTTCTCATGATATATAGAGAAAATCTTTTGAAATCAAAGGCATAAAGCTAGTGAGTGGATCCAAAAGTAATTAATTCGGACTCTCTACTTAGAACTACATCTTAGGCTTTTATTTCATTCTCTTGTTAATATGAATAGCTATGAAATGGAGGGGTGGGCACGGTCTAGTTTGGTTCGGTTCACCCCTCAAACTGAAACCGAAAATTACACATAGTTCTGCTCCATTCTTCGGTTTACTGGTTTAAGTCACCTAACGTAATGTTTGTTTCGTAGATTTGACACTTGAGGGAATGTGTATTAGATTCTTCTCCCGTTGGTGCTGCAAACATGGGAAAGGAAGAAATGAGCTTTTCATTCTCATGTGTTTCTAAAATGCCCAAAATGGGAGTTTTCCCTTCTTTTTCTTTTTTTTTTAAGGGTGAAAGGTAATGACAATTATACTTTTATATCTGTGCTTTTTTAAAAAAAAATTTCCTTTCGGTCTTCTAATAAATTGATTTTCATTTCCAGCATTAAATCCCATGAATTTTTAGAATGGGATCTCGTATTCATTATAACCATAATAACATAATTTAAATGAGGAATAATGTAATATTAAATTATTTCGAGTAACAATTAGTATACAAATTTTAGTTTGCCAGGTGTAGCAAAATGTTTTTTTAATTTGAAGTTAAATTAAAATTAAAGTAAATTTAGGTTTTAGCCATAAAAAAATTTTCACTTTTAGAAAAAGCCAAAGCTTTTTCAAAAAAGACAGAAAAACCTCTCAACTTTCAAATCAAAGACATGCAAGTGTAAATGATTTCTTAGGAAATCCAAAAATAAATAAGGGCAAATTTGTCCATTTTGGCTTCTTTTACAAAATTTCTCTCTCCTTTGGATTTTTCCAAAGTCTCCCTAAAATTAAAACTAAAATTAACGAAACGGTGAAGGAGAGTGCAGCGTCACGCCTGTAATAGCGCGTGAGATCCAATAACTTGGGAATTGGGCAACAGCTAAATGACCGAATCTTCAATTAGGTCACTTCGAAAGAAATGAACGAATCGGCGAAGTCTATTAAACAAGTCAACCAGCTCTTAAATTCCCGAAAACAAATCCCAAAGTCAACGAGCTTTAATTATTCCAACAATCGAACGGTTCGTAATCAAGAACCTTCATAGCTTCATCCAGCTGCAGACACAGGATATTATTTACTCCTCTTGGGGAGCCGGGAGCGCTACTGTTCTTCGCTGGAAGTATTTTCTTTCATTGTCTTTTCCGATTATCCAAACCGCAGCTAAGGAGAGAAAATTCGTGGGGTGAAATCTCCGTGACCGGAGCATCCAAATGGCGGTTTCTGTTACGGCATCCACAATTTCTTCTTTCAGCTCTGACCGTACGACTCGCATAGCTGCGACTTCTTCATCCTCGGCTTCTTGTTCAAAGCTATCTTCATCGTCTTTTCTGCAAGTTCCTGTACAGCTTCGATGTGTTCGCATCGGAAGAAGTGGAGTCTCGGCTCCCTCACGGCCTCGGATTCTTCCTGTGGTAATATTTTTTCAAATTTCCTAGTCTCATGCTTTGTTTGTTTCCCGAGAAACTCGAGGAATTATACCTGAAAATTGTGAAGCTTGCAAATTCAGCCCTTTTAACCTGAGTTGTGGTTCCTCTTTTTCTGAAAGAATTATATTTCGCTGTTTTATGGTAAAACTTTATTGTTTATGGTTAGAATTGTGTTTGACTTCACTAATTAATTTGATTGTAAACACACAAATAAAATTACAGGGCATATAACTGGAAGCTGGAAACATATTGTTAAAATGTTTATAACCACAACACCAATAACTGCTATTACTTTGCCCCTTGATTTTTCTTGAAGTTCTGAGAAAACCAAAAGCAGCATGGGGTTTTTGGGATTTCCAAATAGGAGTCCTTTTTGGGAGAAGAAAGCTGATTATGTGTAAGTGAGAGCTAATATTCATAAAAAGGTTTAGTCATAGCTAACTCACAGGTAGATAGTTGGATTATTGAAATGGTGATCATTTGATGCGTCTATATTCTTTTTTAACAACACGATGTAAGCAGTAGGCAGAAGGAATGAATTCTGACTATTAGAAAGGTATCCTTGTCTGTGGCTTCATTTAAAATTACTATTTGCTTTCAAATTGCAGAATTTTGAATATCGCAACATACAAGTAATTGTTTGTTTCCTTCTTTTTTTCAAAGCATATAGCATTCATTGCAAAAAGTGCAAATGTTGATTAAAGATATTCACCATACATTGAACAAAAAACTATTGGATAGCAGTCTCCATTTGATCCCTTTGTAACAAGTTTCTTCGTTTTTTCCCATGATAGATTATATAAATATAGTAGCCATCTCATTTCTCTGGACTATAAGCCTCACTACATGTACTTTCCAGTATACACACCATGGTATGCTGACATAATATGGCTTTATCCTCCTGTCTCGCTGGCTATGTGGTTAAGAAACTCAAGACACAGATTTACCATGGTACCAGAGGTCAAACAGAAATTTTTACAGAGTTTAAGAAGGGCATGGAAATTTTTGTGGATTATTTTTGAAAATGTTAGTGGGATTCATTTGGAAGCACTCAGTTATCTCTAACCTTATTATCAGTGAACTAAATTGGCACCAAACCTTTGAAAAATGATAAGAAATCACAATATTATTTAGGGTATTGATGTCCATTGTCAGGGCAATCGTTAATGTGAATTATGTCGTGACAATTTGATCTACCTTTTTGCCACAGAAAGTACCTTTTCATGTCGACTGTTTGGGAATAAAATTGGGAGGGGGTGCCTAGAGAAAAAATAATTAAAAGAATGGGTTGGAAGGTATGTTATTGATCAAAGAATGGGTTGGAAGGTATGGATTAGATTCTAAAACTTGAATTTTGGAAATATCTTGTAAAGATTTTTTCTTTATATATAAGAAGAAATCTCATGTAAATATTTGTGCTAGTGATGTGATGAAAGCCATATATCCAACGACATGCATTCAGTCACAAGCTCTTTAATCAACTAATTTAGAAGCCAATTATTTATACCCCTCTAGTATTGTTCCTCTTATTGCTATTAGCATTCCCTCAAACTACAAGGGAATATTTCATGGGGGATGATGACTTTTCAGTTTTGTAGTTATTCTTCTGGAAGTTGTTGTGACTATTCAATGACTTCGTTTACTGTTTCATTGCTGTCTTTTGAATACGTAGCATATCTGAATTAGGAAGTTTGACTGAATTGGTGATACATTAATTACATGTTTATTTTGAAAAAATTGATATTACTAGGTTGCAGCAAAGAAGCAAACATTTTCCTCCTTTGAGGATTTGCTGGCTACTTCTGACAAACCTGTTTTGGTTGACTTCTATGCAACCTGGTAAGCTTTCTTGTTTGTTTCACTTCTTATTTCATTCATACAGAAATTCTCTAATTATGAATATTAGAATGCACATAAAGGTGCTTATTCTCTCATGCATGTAAGAGAAAAGCCCTTCATTTAAATTATCGACAAGGGATCGTGAGTAGAAATGGTCCTATAATGCTACGGGGCTGTATAGCCATTTTAATTTATCTATGCAGAATGAGTTACTTTCAAACTACTTAACCATTTGTAACTTTCTAATTATTGTTATATTGTCAGTAAAAACTTGACTTCCTGAACAAGATGATAACTGTTCACCTATTAGGTCCCTCCCCCCCCCCCCCCCCTCTCTCTCTCTCTCTCTCTCTCTCTCTCTGTCTCCTTGAAAGGAAGGTAACAAAATCTGTGGTTGACAGGTGTGGTCCTTGTCAATTTATGGCTCCTATCCTCAATGAAGTGAGTATTACTCTGAATGACAAGATCCAGGTGGTGAAATTGACACTGAGAAGTATCCTAGCATTGCTGATAAATACAACATACAGGCATTGCCTACTTTTATCATATTTAAGGATGGAGAACCATATGACCGCTTTGTAAGTTGAATTTGCTTTCTTCTTTCCTGAAAAATACTACTTCACTTGTATTGATGATTAGTTTGCCTCTGGTAGATGATCACATACCTGGAAATGTGTAATCTCTCTCATAATTTCTCATAGTGATTGCATCCTGTACATAGGGCTAGAACATGGAGCGGTATTGTTTTCTTTTTCTTTTTTTGAGTACATGGAGGGGTATTGTTATTGTTGTTGCTGTTATGAATTGATGTTAATTTCACTTTTTAGATTTTGTAATATAGCTATGCATGTGCTTTGGTTTGTCCAATTTCATCAGGTGTGTCCCTTTGCATTCTTTTTTCATTGTTTTGTCTGATTTACATGCTAAATTATGAAGAATATATGCTAAATAAATTATGTAAGTTCTCTGGGCCATGTATTTAAGCCATTACTAGAATAATCATTACCATCATCAGTTTGATATTGGTTTTCTTCTTCTAATTTGACTTCTTCTTCTTCTTTTTTCGGATTCTGAAAATTGATTTCATTCCTTGCAGGAGGGTGCTTTGACTGCCGATCAGCTTGTCGAACGAATAGAAACTACTTTGCAAGTTAAGCAATAGACAGGTGAGCTTTATAGAGAACTCTTATATGAATCTGTTGTGTTCCCCCCCTCTCCCCCCCCCTCTCTCTCCCCGTTTCCTGACCACCAATCTTCTTTTGTCAGTCCAGCTTCTCAGGTTGAACCGGGAAATTGGTCTATTCAGAACATTGGAAGAAATATGGATTTGATGGAGGAGGGCATGGGAAGATCAGTCATTGTTGGATGTTCCTCTGCTTTTTACTCTTTGTATGTAACTGTTTTGTACTTCGAAAAAAGAAAAAGAGAGAATTTGTTCATCTCATTGGTGGATTTTGTGCGGGTAAAGCTTAGGATTTTATGACGACTTCTGTTATACACAACAACACCCAAAAACAGTTTCATTATATTCAAAATCTTGAATTGGAAAGTTGATGGAAATTTGGCGTGATTGATCATATGGGCCTTCATTTGTAATGAAATTTACCGCAGAGTTGAGCTTGAATTGGAGTTTCAGATAAAGACCTTAGAGCATCCATACTGGGGGTGTATATCGGGATGTATGTTAAATATACACCCCTTGTCATTGGAATCGTCTCCAATGGGGAGATGTAAAGGGATGTAAATATACATCACCATCATGGGGATGTAAAATAAAATGTATATTTACATCTATTTTTACATCCCTTGCAAGCAGGACCCACCCGAAAAAAGATAAGAAAAATGAAGAAAAGTCAGCATAAAAGGTTGGGACCCACGGCTATAGTAATTGCTGGAAAAAAAAATTCACATGTTGTTTGTTCATTTGTGGTTTTCATGCTCCCCCCAATGTTTTTGGACGAAATCATATCTTCTCCGAATTTAAATTTTTTTAGGTCTATTTCTTTGAAAAATTAAAATTAACCTAATACAAAAAAATTTAATTTTATAAAGTAAACATAAAATACAAATTTAACACAAAAACGAATTAAGATAAACAAAAAAATTATACATCTTAGATTTACATCTTTTTCTATTGGAGCAAAAAACGTATTTACACCCCCGGAGGTGTAAAAAGGATGTAAAAGTGACTTTACACCCCCGATTAGTCACCATACCATGTTTGGTAATTTGATTCTGTGAATGCTCTTATGTTGGATGTTTTTGCATAAAAATCAAGTTCAATTGGCAATTGGTGAAGAGATACGAGTCCTTTTGAGAATTAATTGCTTACTGCTTATAATCAATTCAAAATTACACAGCCTCAAGATTTTGCGAGTTTGTAGCTCATATAGTTAAAAGCAGTTATCCATGTATTCAAATTCTTGTTAGAGTCCTCCTCCCTTAAGATTGTTTTTAATTAAAAAAAATATAAGTAGCCTCAAAATTTCTGTATAACCCTCCCCAAAATATTGATGAATTTTTTCTTTTCTAAATTCTAACAATCAAATATGTTATGTTGTTACAATTTTTTTTCTTTTCAAATTATGTTGTTGCACTTTTCTTTCGAATTATGCTACATTGTTATGTCCCGATTGTAAATACTATTTATTAATAATCCCTGAGCAAAGCTGCAATGGAGATGGAGATGGAAATGAGAGCTGAGGAAGACATAGAGATAGGAGAAGACATAACCCCACCACTCACTCCCCTCGCCTTCGCTCTCCACGACTCCCTTCTCTCCTCTCACTGCTCTTCCTGCTTCTCTCTCCTCCCTCCCCACCCTTTCCCTCCTCTCCACTTTACCCCTACCTTTCCTCATAATCCCCACCATGTCCTCTCCTCCTCCTCCTTCTACTGCTCCCTTCTGTGCTCCACTTCTGATTCTCCCCTCCACGTGTCCAGCGCCGAGCCCCACCTCCTCCACCTCCTCCAAATCCACCCCTCCACGTACCCCCACGGCGACTCCTCCGACCTGCGCGCCGCCCTCCGCGTCCTCCACTCCCTTCCCGCCACGCGTCCTTCCGCGCGCATCGCCGGCCTCTTAACCAATCACCACAAGCTCCTCCACCACCACGACCACCACAGAATTCGCGACGGCGCCAGGGCTATGTTCCTTGCCAGAAAGATGCGCGATGAAGCTCCAAACGTCTGTTCCGATAATTCTTCTTCAGTTTCTCCAGACGACGCCGTCTTGGAGGAGGCTGCACTGTGCCTGGTGCTAACCAACGCTGTGGAGGTGCAGGATAAGACCGGGCGCACCCTTGGAATTTCCGTCTACGGTCCCAGCTTCTGCTGGATCAACCACAGCTGCTCTCCCAATGCTTGCTACCGGTTTTTGGTGTCGCCCCCGCCACCACCTTGCTCAGCTGAAAAGACGCCTCTCCGCATTGCCCCCTTCGGCCAAGGAACACAAGTAATCCTTGAAATTTTTACTATTTCCATTTTTTCTTTTTAATTTAGTATTTTCAGCTATAAAATTCAGAGCTGTGAGATTGATATTTGTTGCAGATTGAGAGTGGTGTTTGTAGCAATAATGTATTTATGAAAGGTGTTGTGGTCCTTATTGCTTTCTTGTCACTTCTAATTTCTTTTGTTTGTTTGAATTAGAGTTTGAGATTTCCCTGTATTGTTGAACTTTAGCCAATATGAATGCAGAATGCGGTAGTTATGGTCCGAGAGTGATAGTTAGGAGCATCAAGAGAATCAAGAACGGAGAGGAAGTTACAGTTACCTACGCTGACTTGTTGCAGCCAAAGGTATCTTTAATTTCTCCACAAACTGGCTTATAGCTAGACAATCCAGCTCCTTTCTGCTATACGGGGCTTACCCAAATCCTTGGCGATTCGATTTATCATTTACTTATTTCCCTAAAAAGAATTATTTCATTTATGTTCTATGTTAAGAAGTTCTTTCTTTGTGATCATATATTTTGTCATGATTACTACCCCCAGGCAATGAGGCAGTCAGAGTTATGGTCAAGGTATCGGTTTATCTGCTCTTGTACGAGATGTAGTGCGTCACCCCTAACTTATGTGGATCAGGTTTTGGAGGTGGGAATTCATGAAAACTTATTGTTTCTTAGTATGAACTTTCAGAAATCGCTGGGTTCAAGCTGATATCCAAAAAAATTATGATTGCAACATGGTGACAAACTTCTCTATTATTGTTGTTGTGTGCATCCATTTATTACCTATTTGTATCATTCCCTCTGACCTCATGGATCCATATAGTCCTGATAATTTCAGCCATGCTTACTTTTCTTCTAAATAACCACAGTGAGGTAAAGTAACTTGGAGGGTTTCTCATTTTATCCCTCCCTACTGTTTGAACCTTCAACTCCGCCTTCTTGCGACTGCATGCCTAAAATCTAGTAGTTCTTTGGTTCTATACTTTTTATGAACATGGCAGTAATTTAAGAATTCAAGCCAAATGTCTGACTCATGCCTACCCTCATGCCTGAGTTCCAGATTTGTGGCGCTGAAGAATGAAGATGGATGTTGATCTAAATGTTATTTTGATACTATCCTGGTTCTACAATTATATTCAAATTCTTAATTAAATACTAATTCTTAAGTATGTTTGGAGTTATTCCCTAATATCCTTATAATAATTGTTTTACAGAAATTTCCAGAACCCACTAGTATTGGTACATATCACTTTTGTGTTTTTTTTCTCCCCTTATTTATATAGGGTTTGCCAGTAGCTTTGAACAAAAGTACCTTTTCAACTTGAACATGAAGTACCATCCTAACTTTTTTTCTTCTATTCTACCTGGAGATAACTGAATGTTCTGGTGGAGTATCTTGGACAACTATTAACCTTTGGCTCAATACTCCAGGAAATATCTGCAGCCAATTTCAACTCTTCCAGTTTGAGTTCAGATATAAACTTCGATAGAGATAAGGCAACACAAAGGTTGACCGATTACATTGATGATGCTATAGATGACTACCTGTCAATTGGTGATCCTGAATCTTCTTCTGTGAGGCTTGAGCATGTGCTTACCCAAGGTCTCTCAGATAAGCAGTCAGAGTGCAAGGAAGAAACATCTCAGCTGACTTACTGGTTGCACCCCTTGCACCACCTCTCTCTAAATGCCTACACAACATTGGCTTCAGCGTATAAAATCCGTGCTACTGACCTATCTGCTTTATATTCCAAAATGGATGATCATCTACTGAATGCTTTAGACTTGAGCAGGACCAGCACAGCATACTCCTTGTTACTTGCAGGTGCAACTCACCATCTGTTTCGCTCTGAATCTTCTCTAATCGTATCTGTTGCGAATTTCTGGTCGAGTGCAGGGGAGTCCTTGCTAACTCTTGCTAGAAGCTCAGTCTGGAGTCAGTTTGTCCAACGGGATCTACCTGTGTCAAACCCAAGTTCTACTGGAAAGTATAGATGTCCAAACTGCTCATTGGCAGATAAATTTGAAACCGACTCATTTCATGGTCAAGTTCGATATGCAGATTTTGACTATGTATCAAATGAGTTCGTCGATTGCGTCACTAATTTTACACAGAATGTTTGGAACTTTTTGGGTCTCGGTTGCCAGTATCTGAGAGTGGTTAAGAATCCTATAGATTTCAGCTGGCTTGGTACGATAAGATATTCCAGTGTAGGGGAAGATATTGTTCGATCTAGTGGCACTGAAGTGGCTTCTAAGTGTGGGGCTGACAGAAGAATATCTGGAAGTGAAGCAGAGGGATACAACAACCAGGTAAGGATGTGTCTTTTTAAGCTTGGTGTCCATTGCTTACTTTATGGAGGATATCTAGCAAGCATATGTTATGGTAATTCCCATTTGACTCGTAATGTTGATAAAATTTTAGATTTGGAAGAAAGCATTGAATCCTTGTCATGAACCAGATTGAGTTTTAGAACTTGCAAGTTAAATTTATACTTGATTTATTGTTAATTGTTGTATTTAGTTGAAAGTTATCTGCCCATTGAAGTTTTCTGTATCAATTATCAATGTCAGTTTGCATGAAAATTAAAATTTATATTTTGACCACGTTTATATTTTGCCCTCAAAACCGGCTTGTAAAGGAAGGGTGCTCAAGAGCTCTTAAGCCATTCTAGGATATGCTGTTTTGTTAATGTGGGATCTTCCGTCCTAACAGTATTTAGGGATGAGATTTGATTTCATTTGGTAGAGGAGATCAAACCTCACCAATCTACTTTCGGAAAAATCACATAAAGAAAATTATATGAAATTCAAAGGTCTATCACAAAAACTCTTTCACAGTGGTCATGTTAAATAAGGATTGAGCTTCGATTCTTTGGAAAACTTGCAAGAGAAGAGGCAATAAGTTAGGTGTTTGAATATTACGTGTACCTTTGAATTATGTTGGGTGGATATATTAGGCTTGTAACCTAAAACTAATTAGTACCAGTGAACAAGGCCAAGTCATGCTTCCTTCCTTGGTCATTGAAGAGAAAACCACGGTATTTAAAAACAACATGAGTAAATACATAGCTTTTCTTTTTCTTTTATTTTAAATTTTTTATATATAAGTGATATTTAACTTTAAACTATAGGGAGATGGATTCAAACTCGGGTGTAAAATGGGAGCACATCTGTCCTAGCCAACTTGGCTAAGCTCATGCTTGCTTTCTTTTAATTTTTGGGGTGCATTATATTATATATGTCGCTCTCAAATAAACAAGTATAATATAACCAATATCTGTGAGCATGTATTACACTTTTGCCTGAATATTATTCAGACAGAAAAAAGAATAAACTCATTAGTATCAGCCGCTGCCCTGGGACCAAATGAGCACCTCTGGGACGTAGTGGCATCACCATCACCAGAGGTGGTGGTGCTGCCTCCAAAATGTTGGTTGTGCTGGTGATGGTGGCGGTCTTCATGTTTAGCTGGGGGAGGATGGTAGTACAACCGGCTGGTTTGGGGGCAATGAGAATAAGACCTGGAAACTATTCTCGCTCCTTGATCCAAAATCTCCACAAACTTCATCCCCATTTTGCTCTCTTATTAATCTCTGTAATCTTTGTATGTATCTGAGTCTCTCTCCCACTCTTGAGAAAAGAAAGGCTGAGAAAGTGAAAGAAAATGAAGGAAAAAGAGATGAGATTTGAAATTAGTTGGGAGAGAGACTCAGAGAGAGATTTGTGGTGTTCTCTGACGGTAGAGGCGGATGTAGGCTTGTTTATATAGCTGCCTTCCTTCATATTTTGCCTAATATTTTTTTTTAGGTGCTTCGTTGGTCCTTCACATTTTTCCTGTAAATTCCTTTTCTGGCAATGTATTTGCATATCGATCCCTTCATTTCTAGTATATTTGACTTCAGTTATCCATTTATACGACATTTCTCACACTTTGTTTAATTGCTTATATCCCTAGGTTTGTACAAGCACGTAAAGCACTTGTACTTGTATGATTTGTGTAGTTTGAGTGTGATTGCACGTATCTTAGGATTTATTTTTCTCTATGTCGGTAATAAAATCTTGACGTATGAATAATTTGTTATAATGGAATGACCAAGAAATTCCTTGTTCTTCATAATTGAGTTCTTATAAAATGTAAAACAAGATTATGAAATATTGTTGAATGCGTTTTGTAATATTTTAGTAACAAAAAAGGAAAAGGACAAATATGCAATTAAAAGAGTTGCAAGGTAAAGATAAACATATAGATACGCGGAAATACAGGGGCTTAAGAATAATTAAAATTACCGATTTTACCGGGACCAAGACGCGTCAGAGCTAAGGACTCGGATTCTAAATTTGCACACAAAATGGTCGCCTGAGTTGTGCTTACAAGCACCGACTCTGTTATTGGTAATTTTACAACAGAGCAAATAAATCCAAAAAGAAATTATTTTTATTTTTATAGTAAGTCTATATTATTATAAGGATTTTTATTTATTTATTTACTTTCTTTTGTATCTCCGTTTGAGTGTATGTATTCTAAAGTTTCAAAATTGAAATTCTTGGTGGGACTTGTAGTTCTAATATAGCTAAATAAAATTTAGTTCAAATTCAAATTTGAATCTCTCATCCTCTTAAACCATAAATCTTAGTTATTAGGGGTGTTTGTTAGATTCACTCAGGCCTTTGGTGTACTCCTAAGCGGTCATGAGTTCAAACTCTCACGGTACTCGTGTGTGTGAGTTTTACCCCCTCTCCATTCCTAACTTTAGTAACAAAAACAAAAAAATCATAAATCAATATTCTTGTTGAGACCTAAAAATCATATGCTCAAATCACATTAAAGTGAAACCGAATTAAACTTGACTTGCCTTAGAAGGAATTATGAAAAAAAAATGTAAGTAGTGCCTTCACTCTAGGTTTCAATTCTTCATCTCTCGCTATCTTTTGGATTAAACATATCAATTTTCATTAACAAGAAACTTGTAGTTTAAGTGGTTTACATCAATGAGTATATATGAGATCCTGTATTTTAATTCCTCATTCTCAAATAGTAGCTTGTATTTAAAAAGCCTCCACTGGTTGTTTTGTTAGCTCCCAAAAGTCTTGAAGAAATTTCATTCCCTCAATTGAAATTAGAAAGACAAAAAATGCAAGGATGTTTTCGTCGCCAAGACTCACATCGTTGATGTTGTTTGTGCAAATAATCTCGCGGGATAATATTCGCTTCTAGATCCTTCAACCTTCGATTTTCCCTCTCTTTCTTCCTTGATTCATGTAAAAAAGACATGAGTAAATAGACCACACCCGGGGGTGTTGCCCAAAGGCGTTGTATGTATGGTGTGAATCGGATAGTCGGAGCAGTGTGTGGTGGCCGGAGCCGTGTGGAGAAAATATGGAGAGTGGAGAGGGAGAGAGAGCTTCCGGTATGAGAAGTACGTTTAGATGTACCTCGAATGATGAATGAAGTCGTCTATTTAGGAGACTCGGCTAGGGTTTCGTAGGTAATATAATGAGTTTATTCTCTACCCAAATTCGTAAGGATCGAATCTGACTTGATAATATATAAATTAAATGATATTATCTTTTTTTATGAAGATAATATCTGAATTAATGATATTATCTTATTAAGTAAAGATAATATTATATTAATTAAGATTTTTATCCCTATTAATTAATTGGCCAAATAAACCAATTCAATTAATTAATTTAAGAGATAATCTTCTTTTTCACATGACATGCTGTGATTCGAGACGAAAATATTTGCTCCGCACATGTCTTTCAAGTGGGAGGTCAATTGGCAAACGTGATTGTGGGCACTGTGTCTGAATCTGATAGATGATGTGAGAGAAAGTATGTTGAGTAATTCTAGCTGGTTTTGTTTATTGAGTACTTTGCTGCTATCAAATATTTATGAATCTACAAGCTGGGCATGATAAATCAAGGAAAAAGAGGAGGTTCGGAAGAAAAATCTCTTATGCCGGAAAACCATTTCCGTGTTTTCATCTTTGGTCTACCGAGCGCGTTTTCCGTCTCCTCTCTCACTTGGGAAGAAAAAGACCGCACAAAACCAACTTCAAGCCTATTAATAATCCTAGTCCTATTCCTATTCCTATTCCGTCAAGGAAACCCAAATGCCTCTCTATATATTAATCTCATGCCTCACATCACAAACTTTGCCCTTCATTGCAGGTTTGCAGCAAACTGTTGGAGAGCAGAGTGAGTTTTCAAGATACAAATACTCGCAATAATCACAGAATCACAGCAATGGTGTTCATCGCATCCCCCAACCACAAAACCTTAACCCTAAACCTAAACCCAAACGCCACCACCCTCCAAGCTCTGAAGTTCCAAATTGAACAAATTTCCAACGTACCCATCTCTCACCAGCGCCTATTCATCTCCCAAAGCCTCCAATTGTTGACCCAAAGAGGCTCCACCCTCCTCGCCGACCTTGGCATCAAACCCTACTCTACCCTAACACTCCACGTCCCCTTCTTCGGTGGCACCCTACCCCACAAAAATCCCAAACCCCGCCTTGATTTCATCAATTCCAAGCCTCCTGAGGGTTATGTCGCTGGGCTTGGCCGTGGTGCTTCTGGGTTCACCACAAGGTCCGACATTGGGCCTGCCCGATCTGCCCCCGAGCTGCCCGATAGGGCAATTGGGCAGCTTGAGGAAGCAGGGGAGGAAAAAGGGTACGATGAGAATCAGCAATTTGATGATTTTGAAGGCAACGATGTTGGGTTGTTGGCACCAGATGCCAAACTGGATGAAGATGATGAGAAGGATGATGCAATGTGGAAAGCAGTTGATGAGAGAATGGACTCCAGGAGAAAGGACAGGAGAGAGGCTCTGTTGAGAGAAGAGATTGAAAAGTACAGAGCTTCCAATCCCAAGATTACAGAGCAGTTTGCAAGTTTGAAGAGGAATTTGCACACATTGTCTGCCCAAGAATGGGAGAGTATACCTGAAATTGGGGATTATTCAATGAGAAACAAGAAGAGGAGGTTTGAGAGCTTTGTGCCGGTGCCGGATACCCTTTTGGAGAAGGCAACGCAGGAGAAAGAGCTTGTTACTGCAATAGATCCCACTAGTACAGATTTGACTGCCGTGAGGCAGGGCAGAGATATAGTGTTGTCTTTGAAATTGGATAGGATTTCGGATTCTGTCTCGGGGTTGACAGTTGTTGACCCAAAAGGGTATCTTACTGATCTTAAAAGTATGAGCATCACAAGTGATACAGACGTTCATGATAAAAATAAGGCTAGATTGTTGATGACGAGTTTAATGAAGTCAAATCCTAAGAACCCACGTGTGTGGATTTCGGCAGCAAGGTTTGAGGAAGTGGCAGGAAAGATGAAGGCAGCCAGGAAATTGATTCAGGAAGGGTGTGATGAGTGTCCTAAGAGTGAGGATGTGTGGTTGGAGGCTTGTAGGCTTGCTACCCCGAAAGATGCTAAGGCTGTTATTGCTAAGGGAGTTAAATTTATTCCCAATTCAGTCAACTTGTGGATGGAGGCTGCGAAATTGGAGCGTGATGATTTGAACAAGAGCAGGGTCTTGAGGAAAGGGTTGGAACACATTCCTGATTCTGTTAGGCTGTGGAAGGCAGTCGTGGATCTAGCGAATGAGGAGGATGCTAGAAGTTTGCTCAAAAGGGCTGTGGAGTGTTGTCCATTGCACATTGAATTCTGGCTTGCACTCACAAGATTGGAAACTTATGAGAACGCCAAGAAGGTCCTCAATAAGGCAAGGGAGAATCTATCGGAGGAGCCTGCATTTGGATCACCGCAGCTAAGTTGGAAGAAGCTAATGGGAATGTGTCCATGGTTGGGAAGATGATTGAAAGAGGTATAAGGGCTTTGCAAAAAACAGCGGTTATTATTGATAGAGAAGCATGGATGAAAGAGGCTGAAGCTGCTGAACGTGCAGGGTCTATAATGACTTGCCAAGCTATCATTCGGAGCGCAATTGGGATTGGTGTGGAGGAGGAAGATAGGAAGAGGACATGGGTTTCTGATGCAGAGGACTTCATGAAAAAAGGTTCCATTGAAACAGCCCGAGCAATTTATGCGCATGCACTTACTGTCTTTTTAACCAAGAAGAGCATATGGAGGAAAGCGGCTCAGCTTGAAAAGAGCCATGGTACTAGGGAATCTCTTGTTGCTTTGCTTCGTAAAGCGGTGACGTATTGCCCACGGGCTGAAAACTTGTGGCTTTTTGGTGCTAAGGAGAAGTGGCTTGCAGGGGACGTGCCTGCTGCCCGTGCAATCCTCCAAGAAGCTTATGCTGCCATTCCCAACTCTCAAGAAATTTGGCTTGCTGCGTTTAAACTTGAGTTTGAGAATCACGAATCCGAGAGAGCTAAGATGCTTCTTGCCAAAGCCCGAGAAATGGGAGGTAACGAAAGAGTATGGATGAAATCTGCAATTGTTGAGAGGGAATTAGGGAACATTGATGAGGAGAGGAAGTTTCTTGTTGAAGGCTTGAAGCGCTTCCCTTCATTCTTTAAATTGTGGTTAATGCTTGGACAGCTAGGGGAACGGCTTGATCATTTGGAAAAAGCCAAAAAGGCCTATCACTCAGGTCTGAAGCACTGCCCCAATTCTCTACAACTCTGGCTTTCTCTCGCTAATCTAGAGGAGAAAATGATTGGGCTGAGTAAAGCTCGCGCAGTTCTCACAATTGCCAGGAAGAAGAACCCTCAGAACCCTGAACTGTGGCTTGCTTCTGTTCGAGCTGAATTGAGGCATGGCAAGAAGAAGGAATCTGATATTTTGATGGCAAAGGCTTTGCAGGAGTGTCCCAATAGTGGTATCTTGTGGGCAGCAGCTCTCGAGATGGTAGCTCGTCCCCAACGGAAGGCAAAGAGTAAAGATGCCCTTGAGAAATGTCATCATGATCCCCATGTTGTTGCTGCTGTGGCCAAGTTATTATGGCATGACAGGAAGTTGGACAAAGCTAGGAATTGGCTCAACATGGCAGTAATGCTTGCCCCCGATATTGGGGATTTTTGGGCTTTATACTACAAATTTGAACTTCAGCATGGTACTGAGGAGAACCAAAAGGATGTATTGAACAGATGCGTTGCTGCAGGGCCAAAGCATGGAGAAAAATGGCAACCTATTTCAAAGGCCGTGGAGAACTCCCATCAACCAATTGAAGCTATCTTGAAGAAAGTTGTGGCGGCAGCGGAAAATAATAAACAGTAGTTCTGCTTATCATAGAGGTATAAAAATTAACCTTTGCTTCTGATTTTTGCTACTTAGAAGTAGTTGGTGGACAAACTATGCTGATGTATATCTATCCCAGAATTTGGAACTGCAATTGTTTCACATCTTAATTATATGACTGTTTCCTCCAAAAGATTTCCATTTGATTGCTTTTATTTCAGTTCAGCTCTGCATCCATTTGTTCTGACTTGAAATCTGTCTAGATAAAGAAGTTATTTTTAATAGTTCTTGAAATATTACAGGGGATGGAAAAACAGAAATGTTACAGTGGATGCATATGCAGTTACGCTTGATCGATTTGTTTAGCAGAATTTGCAAACGACTTGGCAATAGTTGCGAACATGGAAGTCACCATGCTGTCATAGGGAAGTTGGATTAATCTGCCTTGGGATACATGATTTTAGTTGGATCAATTAGTTTCTTTCTTTCTTATCCTAAATTTTCCTGTTAATTTATTACCTCCAGGCAATGAGGCAGTCAGAGTTATGATCAACGTATCGGTTTATCTGCTCTTATAGGAGATGCGGCCTAACTCATGTATATGGACTATGCTTAGGAGGTAAATTCATGAAAACCTATTATTTATTAATCCAAACTTTCACATATCATCAGAAAGAACCCAGAAGGCTAAACTTCTTTTGATTTTAGCTCCCCCATAATATGATCTGTTATTTTTTATTTGGGAACAAGCTTATTCTTCTACAGAATTTTTTTGAGTTTTTCTAGTATATTAATACTTAAATCTGGATTTTTATTCCTTATGTACTTTTTGCTGGTAACTTTGAAGAGAAGTACCTTTTTCAAATTTGGACCGTGAACTGTATCCTAACCATTTTTCTCCCATTCTACCACTCAGGACTTAATGTCCAAAACTCAGTAGTGCTGAGTATTCTGACGGAGTGTCTTGAGCAAGTACTATAACCTTCAGCTGCAACCCTCAAGGTAATATCAGCAGCCGATTTCAACTCTTTCACTTTTGAGGTCAGATATAAACTTCAATGGAGACAAGGCAACCGAAAGGTTGACTTATTACATTGGTGATGCTAGAGTTGATTTACTCCGGGAAAACTCTGGTTTGATATCTGGGACATCAACTCGGGTTATGAAAAGCCATATTTGGGTGTTGGGTTTGGGTGTCATGAAATTATTTTTTCCTTCAGTTTGTTCTAATTTTGTATTTATTTTAACCCTTTTTTTATTTATTAATTATGAAAAGTCATATTTACCCTAAATTTTGGTTAAATCTAACAGAAAATTAGCATTGTATTATATATTCAATCACAATGACATAGATGATATGTTTACCATAATGTAATATATAAAGCATGATGACTAAAATAGTAATAGTGCAATAACAGTTCAACAAGTTCAGCATATTTTCAGAGAAGGTTTTTTTTTGCAGTGGATGCTTTAGCTCAATTGAGCCAGTTTACTACTTAACCAGACTATTTGGTTTTCAAATCTTCCTTTTTCTCTAAGCTACAAATTGTTCTACGATCTTTGGAAAGTAGTGCCGTAGTGGACTGACTGTGTGTCCACTTTTAGAAAATTGTACGGTTTCTGTTTTGGGGTCTGAAACTGAGGCCGAACTAAGTACAATTGGTTTAGTCCAAAATCACGAAGAAAACCGAATCAAATCAAACCAATTTAAGATGGTTTGGGCTTATGTTCAATTCTTTTTTTTTCTTTTTTTTTTTCCGAAACAATAGCAATTCAATTGAAGAAACAAGGCACAAACCTAGGATACAACAATAAGAACACAGCCCCGAAAGGAGGTTCTTGCAATACAGACTGTAGCAACACCAACTAAGCACAAGTATTACAAGATAGTTAAAAAACAAATATACAACTTGAAACCCAACTAACAAGGAGTTACAGATGAGAAGGATCCTAATTTTGCAGCAACCAGTGCTTAAAAAAGATCAAGATGGAGAACAAACTCTCAAACTTCATGGAACAAGAAACACCCTAAGAGTGGAGGGTATAACCGCTCAACTTCCACAAGGACATTCTAAAGAATATCACAGCATCTCCTAATTCCCCTTGATCCCCAAGCACAATAAAAGTAGATCCACCAAATTCAACAGCTCCACCTCTAGTATAGAGAGATCTAACACTAGATTTACCGCACAAGTAGCATATCTAGCAAGATCAACCAATAACTAGCCCCAAAAGACTGGGAAAAAACCCTCAAGAAAAGGGAATAAACAAACCCTTGCAACAACAAGGAGCAGACAAAACCCAACAAAATTTGGAAGAGAAAACCTCTCCACAACACAATGGGGAGAAGAGAGGCCCGGATTATTAACCGAAGGGGGTGGTTCCAGGGGAGATCCCCTAGAGCCAAGGAGAATTGCAGATCTGAAGAAGAAACGAGACGAAGTATATTAAATTCTCTTTCCTTTTGCATTTTTTCAATATTGTTAGTCATTACAACTTAAAAAATTCACAACTTGCTACATATGTTTTTTTTTTCATTTTCTAGCATATAAAACCATCCTAAAACTCAACATCCCAAAGGTCCATCAAACTCCAAACTCAATATCCATATATGGTTATTTCTAACTTGCTTGCCAATGGGATCTAGTCTAGTGGAAAAAGGTCTTGAGATGCATATGAGAGATCTTAGGTGCGAATCTCCACGACATCATAGTTGTGTCTGTTTGTGATGTTGGCATGCTTTTTAAAATTTTAAAATATGTTATAGTTTTCTTCATATTTACTTGTAATGTGTTTGGTGAAGTATTAATTATTACATGTAGCGAATCAGTGATAAGTAAACGATTAATAAAAAAATAATCAGAGTAATTTCTGTTCTCTTTTTCTTTCATTGGTAAACCAAGCATATGGGATAAACTAACGTCTCCAAGATGAAGAACATCCACATGAGCAAATCATTTTTGTTGTATCAATCACATATATAGAAGCTTCAATCAAGAAGAAAGATAAAATGACATCAAGCTATCTCGTCTTTTTTGGTTTGGTTTGAACAAAAAGTTAGCTCTGAGTTCAAACGTAGAAACTTTGTTGTCTGTGGAAGCATTTGTTGGTATTTTCATATTCTGAGATGGATGTTGTATCCTTTCATTGGTTCTGTTCCTTTCTTTTTATGTGTCACTACCCAAGTTTTGAAAGAAAAGCGCAAGGCCACAATGAACCAAAAACAGTGAAGGGCAGGCCTCCAGTGGCTGAGAAGTTACCTCCCAAATGCACAAACATAATGTTTAAATATACAACATTACAATGAACAAGTTCATAATGATAATAAAATCAAAAGTCTTAAAATTTGAACCGACTGGCTAACAGGGTCTAGCCGAGTGAAAAAAGGGTATTGACAAGCAAACCAGAGGTTTCATGTTCGAATCCCCACGACATTATAGTTGTGTGTCTATGAGAAATCTCTCTCTTCTCTAGTTTATACTACTGCTTATACTTTAAAAAACAAAAACAAAAAAAACAAAACTGATTGAGGCATGGAAAAAAAAATTCAGTTAAGAACAATGAAAGTGAAAAATAAATGCACCAGTGAGAATTAAACAAAAAAAAAAGACAACTGTTAGTGGTTGGGCCACATTAATAGACAAGGAGTAGTTCCTCTTATGAGCAAGGAAAATACTTCCCTCAACCAAGTAAGCAGGAACTCCTACATTTGCATATGTGTCAAATTGTGATTCGCAGAAAGGAGGAGTATCTCTTTATCGGTCATCATCTTCCCTGTGGAAATGTGAAATCAGATCTAAAATTTTACAAAGAAAATAAACATCATTCCTCTGCAGTCTTATGGCGCAAATTGTATGTGCCACTTTCACTATATCGTGACCACACGATCATGGTTGCCGTGTAGCCCATGGATCTGCTCAATCGGTATAATTCAATTTGTGGAAATTGCTACAACCTCACAGGTCAACTGTATCTGAATACATTATAAATTAATATAATAATGATAATAATAATAATGTTAGGCTCATCAGATTATCTCTGCTCCTTACACTATATGTCCTCACAAAAATAAAATAAATAACCAAATCGGAAATTGTTTAACCGTTTGATTATTATCATAATATTTCAATTGCCCGTAAGAAATATCGTATTTGATTTGTCCCTTTAACTATTTATAAACTATCTTACACTTCTAAACAACAAGCGTGAGAAGGATTCTCACACACACACATTACCAAAGTGACATGGAGGTTCAAACCTGAGGCTACTAGTCTACAAATTAAGGTCATTTTTTTACTGGACTAGACCTAATTGGCATGCTTTTTACAATTTCAAATCCTGATGTTTCGTCAACTTCATATTTTACTTGCAATGTGTTTTGTGAAGCACTAGTTATTACACGTAGCGACTTAGTGATCACTAAACAATTAATAAAAAAATCAGAATAATTTCTGTTCTCCTTTTCTTTCATTGGTAATGGTAAACCAAGCATATGGGAACTAACATCTGTCTCCAAGATGAACATCCACATGAGCAAATTATTCGTCTTTTCTTCAAATTTTGTTATCAGTGCAACAATTAATTATACTTTTGGAGACCAACAATTTTTATTTTTTATTTGTTATTTGGTCGAGGAGACCAACAATATAAACTGATACTTTGAAAAATAAAATTGTTATAGACAGCTTGAAAAAATGGGAAAGGGACAGAAAAAGAAAAAGTACAAAGAAGATAGAATGAAAGGTTCAATTTCGACCACATAAGCAGCAAGACCTTCGACCAACAAAGAAAAAAAGGAACAAGACCAATAATCGTAACGCGACAGCACAACAACAACACTAAAAAGGATGTCATGTCTAGGTTTGATTGCATTCACTGTTCAGGGAAGACAATCTCGTGTCTCACATGCTTGCTTTGATTGCATTTGAAGTCATCAAAATTGTAGGATGATCATGATCCTATTGAGTCATAATTACCCCCACTTTTATTGGTTGAATTTCTGAATCTCTTGCAATAGAAATCTTGGATAACATGTTGTGGGCCATAGCCATAGATGAGCTGCACTAGGGAGTGAGTATCTGGGGGTGAATATACTCTTGCCGACACAACCCCAAGCTCCAACTGCCATTCAAACGAGCTCCACCACCGGCCATAATAAATTGTCTTAGTCAAGAAGAAAAGGAGGGATTTGGTTCCCACCTCAACTTTTTAGGGTTTATCTCCTTTTCCCTGAAAATCATCTTGTATTAGTGTTTGTCCTGTTTCAATTTCTCTCTCACCTCACACCTATCCAACTATGTTAATTTGATTGGATAACGTGTCAGACTTTATGCAAGGAGGACCCATTTATCCATAAGTAGTTAGGTCAGTTCACTCACCACACCTTTTTTTTTATAATTTTTTTTAATATAAGCGATATTGAAGGAGTCGGATTTTCTCACACACTGAGAATGTGTCGAGTTTCAAACCTGAAACTACTGATCTACAAGTCCCAAGTTCGCCACTCACCCACAACTAAACACATCACACATGCTTACAAATCATTTTTATTTTTATAGAGCTTGAAGTCTATAATAAATTGGTTAATTAACATAGGTTTTCAGTAATAAAACGTAAATTTTCGATGAAATTATAAATTTTATAGCCACCTTGATCACAATTATCACAAACTATTACTTGATCCAAGAGAAGTAGACGGCAATCCGCAACAGTCATTGATCTGTGAATTATTTCTCACTACCAAACGGCCCCAACCAAAGCATTTCCTCCACTTATTCTCTCTCTTACTCCAACATGGATTAAGGGGGACCAGCAAATTAGCAATCTTGCCGGAATGTTTTCTTACTGATTAGTGTCAGAGCGCTTAATTTTATATATTTTAAATATATATCTATATATATAAAGCAAAAGGTAGAGAATGGTAAAACATTCAAAATACCAACAAATATCATTGGTTAATGTAAATATTAAGAATTGAAATTATTAATTAAATGAGGATAATATGGTAAATTCACACTTTTCATATTTTAAAAAAAAATTAAAATTAAGAGAAAAATCAAAATGAATCCTATTTTTATGGAACACAACTACCCATTATCTTTTAATTCTAAAATAAATATAAATTTTTTTTTTAAAAGTCTCTCACAGGCGCGGAAGTGCATGTGAAGAGGCTAGTATAAAATAATAAAAAAACTAAATGACAAAGTTTATGTTCAATGAGATGCTTGAATGTTTATCAATAGACTAGCCTCTTCACATGCACTTCCGCTCCTACGAGAGACTTTTTTATTTATTTTAATTTTAACATTTATTTTAGAATTAAAAAAATAATGGGTAGTTGTGTTTCTATTATCTGATTTTTCTTTTAATTTTAATTTTTTTTAATATGAAAAAGTATAAATTTACCATATTATTCTCATTTAATTAATAATTTCAATTCTTAATGTTTGCATTAACCAATGGCATTTTATGATATTTTGAATGTTTTACCATTCTCTACCTTTTGCTTTATATATATATTCTACATTTTGCTTTATATATATAGATTATTTATCATGAAAACAAAATAAAATAACATCACAAAATTAAACAATCAAAAATAACAATATAATATAAAAATATTATTCCATATAAAATTTAATATTCAACTATTTTTTCTACATGCTAAAAATGTCACGTTGAATTTAACATCTAACAACTGCAATGACCCGAACAATAAAGGAAGCTACTGCTCTAGCCATGTCTGCCTACCAATGAGTTCAGTCCACGAATTTCTTAAATAAAACTAGATTTGAATTATTTTGATGGCATTTTGTGACTCTCATTCTGCATTATAGTATAATAATATAATACGATTTAACTCATATAGTATGAATACAATTGTCTACTTTTTATTAAAGAAAATGTTATCATAATACCCCACCTTAGATGGGTATCTACCCATCACTTTACATTTCAATTTATAGAGAGGACAGCAAATCCTAACCGTTCACCAAAGCATGGCACGTGGCAAAATCAAGAGTATCCAATTTTAAGATATTTATTATTAGGAGAAAATTTTAGAAATGTCACTTGTACTTATATATAATTTCATTTGTCACGCAAAGAAGAGTATTTTAAACGAGATGTTATTTTAATTTATCGAAATTCCTAAGTAGAATATGTGGCATGTAAAACACACGCAGATTTTGGATAGAGTTACAGTTCCATACGACAAATTAAGCATTTTGAAAAATTGAGATGTGAGTTCTCTTAAATGTTTGTTTTACGATGATGAATTGTAGATGTGACATTTATAAGGTTTTCCCCTTCCTTAAAAAATCAAACCACTTTTAACCTAAGGTTATATTTGAGCATGCGACAGGAGAGAGTGAAGAGCCGAGGAAAATAAGTTTCGCACCAGCGCTAGCGCACTTATAAATACCCACCACCATGCACCCAACTGTCTCACACCATCAAAACCTCTTCTCATATTAATCTTGCTCTCCATCGTACCGTTTCCGATATAATACCCAAAATACCCCGCCATGTCTGAGGAGAAGCACCACCACGGCCTCTTCCACCACCACAAGGATGAAGACAGACCCATTGAAACCTCAGACTACCCTCAGTCTGGTGGTTACTCTGATGAAGGACGTACAGGCAGCGGCTACGGTGGTGGTGGTGGCTACGGTGATGGTGGTGGCTACGGTGATGGTGGTGGCGGCTACGGTGACAACACTGCTTATTCTGGTGAAGGACGTCCCGGCAGCGGCTACGGTGGTGGTGGCGGCTATGGAGAGAGCGCTGATTACTCTGATGGCGGCCGCTACAAGGAGACCGCTGCATATGGCACCACTGGCACCAATGAATCTGAAATTGACTACAAGAAGGAGGAGAAGCACCACAAGCATCTTGAGCACCTAAGCGAGGCCGGGGCTGCTGCTGCTGGTGTTTTTGCCCTGGTATGGATTTAAACACCTTTTATATATGAATCTTCTAATTTTGTTCTTGATTTTAGTTATATATTAATCTTAAATGTGAAGGATCACAGCCAGAAATTCTTACATTTTCTAGGCTCATCTCAATAACTAATTAATCATGCATAGTAAGCAGATCATTGTATACAACGGTTGTATGTAAGAATTTCTCCACGAAGCAGGCCGAATGCTTTTAAGCTTGTTAGGCCTTGTCAACATAGCAAGAGAAGTGTGAAACGTAAATCTTCTCAAGTATCAAATGGATTAAGTTATGTGAGGCCACAAAATGTCGGTTAATTTCCAGGTTTTTTCTGAGACTAATGTAATTAAGATCTGTCCCAGAAATAATTTCACAAAATGGTATCCAGATGAGACGTATAATACAATTAAAATACCAGATCCTAATTAATTAACTCTTATTTAATTTAATAATGACCATGAGATGTGATGTGATGTGCAGCATGAGAAGCACGAGTCAAAGAAAGACCCAGAGCACGCCCACAAGCACAAGATAGAGGAGGAGATTGCTGCAGCAGCTGCAGTTGGGTCTGGTGGGTTTGCCTTCCATGAGCATCATGAGAAGAAAGAGGCAAAGGAAGAAGAGGAAGAGTCTCATGGAAAGAAGCACCACCATCTCTTCTAAATCTACAAATAAATACTATATTTTATATTTATATATATTGTGATTTTACTTATCTGTTATGAGTGAGGTTTGATCTCAACAATGTTATAATTGTTGAGTGCTTATGTGTGCTTGTTAAATGAGTGCTATGTATCTATCTATTTCTCATTGTTGATAATAAATAATATCGTTTACTACTTGTGTGTTTTTATCTATTATTTTTTATTAATTTTTTTTTTTTTTTTTTTTTTTTTTTTTTTTTTTTTTTTTTTTTTTTTTTTTTTTCTAATATAAATATTATTGTTGTGGTGTGTGGTGCGTGTTATCTTAGCCTCTTCTTAAGGACACTGCTTCTCTCTCCCTGGAAAGAGACATTCCTATTTCATGCAAATTACAGTTTGACACATATACAAAAATAATTCATGAAAACATCAAAAGAAAAATCTCTACATACATGTCATTCTGTGATTGGCAAAAAAATAAGAGCTCTTATTTCCTGAGAAGGAGGCAAGTATTTCCCTCTCCTTAATTTCCATCAGGGTCATGGTTCATTTTGTCAATCCCAACTTTAGTAAATTGACTTAGCAAGTATCTGGCCCTATTAGAGAACAGTACGTGGATATTGTACACTTGCTTTTCAATCGTGAGACCATCATGTTCATAATAGTGTCATTTAATATAAAAATAAATTAATTATTATTTTTATAATATTTTATACAAGAGATACTGGGAAGGAGGAGGAAACTGAAGATCTTAGATGGAGGAGTAAATTAGGGCTTCACTAAATTAATTGAATATGATCTTTTACTCTCGTGAAGAATTTCTTGAATACGTGATATTAGAGTATTTAGATGAGCGGAACCACATATAATTATAATATATATATATATATATTTAGGATCCATATATTTGCTTTATTAATCTTTATATCGTATAGTATAAATCCATCTTCTAGACTCTTTCATGTGAAGTAAAGGGTCCCGGGGAATAATGATAAAAGCAATTGTTTCTTTCTCTTCCTTCTTCGTGCCATTTAAGCCAAAACGTAGGGTAGCCATCCATTACATAACCAATTTTAGTTTATGAAAAGTATTACCTTCATCAAAATCACGGAAAAATGACTAAATAGCTCTTTTAAAAAACCCTTTCCATTTAACAATGATGAAAGGAGGACATTACAAGTGAGCAATGAGGGGTTGACTCTAATGACCCTATACCTTCTTTCCTCCCAATAATAATTTTGAGTGAATATGCAACTCAAGTTTTAACTCTCTTTATCATTCTTATCACAAATCGTCCTCATCATTTTAGTCCCCCACATTGCAAATCGATCAATATGACGTTTTAGTACATACCTTGCCACCGTCGCCCATAATATAAGGGAAGGCGGTGGATAGATTATTGTTTTGGAATTTTTCAAATGACAGCGATGGAATTTAAGAAACCCATATTCCATAATTATTTGCAAGAAAAACTTATAATCTTTTTTTGGGTTTAGGAATCCAAATATAAGGGATTACTGTATATATATCCCTTTTATTGAGGGATTCTTCAAATAATTTTATTTGAGGGACGCTCTCTAGGGTACCATACCGATTTTTGTTTTCAACGATCCAAACCATCTATTTTTTAAGTCTTCATTCATAGATCATCTTCGCAAAAAATTAGACAAATCGGAAACCAGTTAGACATCCAATTGTGTCCTACAAAATCAATGAACATGGACTTCAAGAAGGTACTAAAATTTCAATTAAATCTTTGTGTATATATATATATATATTATTGCGTACTTCAGTTTTGTGCAAATGTTAAATCCATCATACTATCTAGCTTTCAATGACCAAACGGTCAAATGGTATTAATTTCTACACGGTCAATTTTTTAGTAAAAATCTTGTTCAATAGAGAGAAAGTTCGATACCTATTTGATAAATATTAGGCATGATTTTGCATTACAATATTCGTTCAGGTTAAGAATGGTAAATCAACCTTTATTTTTCTTTCTGATATCAACTGGGGAGGGCAAGAAACCTACTGGCATAAGTGAAAAGTCTTTGTTGAAGAAATGTCTTCCATACCGGCCGAGAGAGAGAGAGAGAGAGAGAGAGAGAGAGAGAGAGAGAGAGACAGAGACAGAGAGAGAGGGAGAGAGAGCCAAACAATCCAGACCGTCCACCAAGGCTTGGATAACTAGCAATGCATGTGATGTGGCAAGAGCAAGAGAGCCCCACTTCGGGGGGAGAGAGAGAGAGAGAGAGAGAGAGAGAGATCCAACGAATCCAGACCGTCCACCAAGGCATGGATAGGTAGCCATGCATGTGGCAAGAGCAAGAGAGCCCCACTTTAGGTGGATTTTTTACGTACGAGCTTGTGATAGAGAAGAGCCACAAATTAAAGCCAGAAAGAGAGTTTTGGGACACCCAACGCTTATATAAGCCCTCCCATCACCATGCACACCCAACGCAACACCCTTACCTCATAATCTTCCTTCATCCTAGCATTTTCTTCAAAATACCAAAAAAAACCATCAACATGGCTAACCAGGAGCAGCACCCCGGCGGCCTCTTCAACCAGGACAGAGACGAAGACAAATCCTCATCCTTCTCTCAGTCCGGTTATGGAGATCAAGGCCGCACTGGTGGTTACGGCGACAGCACTGGCTATGGCGACTCCACTGGTTACTCTTCTCAAGGACGTGCCGGTGGTGGTGGCGGTGGCTATGGCGACAACACTGATTACTCCGGTGAAGGACGTCGTACTGGCGGAGGAGGCTACGGCGACAGCACTGATTACTCTGGTGGTGAAGAGCGTCGTGCTAGTGGCGGCGGAGGTGGCTACGGCGACAGTTACTCTGGTGAAGGACGTCGAACCGGTCGGGGCGGCGGTGGATACGGAGACAGTTACTCTAGTGAGGGACGTACTGGAAATGTCGGTGGCGACGGAGACAGTTACTCGGAAGAAGGACACGGGGGCCGTGGCGAGACCACTGCTTACTCTTCTGATGGGCCCCGCGGCGGACGGTACAGCGAGACGTCTGAAACCTATGGGTCTCGTGACTCTGGAGACTACAAGAAGCAGGAGAAGCACCACAAACATCTCGAGGAACTTGGGGAGCTAGGTTCTGCTGCTGCTGGCACTTATGCATTGGTAGATTAATGTTTCAACCCTATTTTTCTGATTTAATTTATGATCTTAATTAGGCATACTAATTGTGGATTTATGATCATTCTCAAAGGCATATTAGTGCATGATTTGTGATCGATCATCTAAATTATGATGGATAAGTATACATCACCTATTTTATGATAATCAATCATCTAAATAATATGTATACACTTGTTATATCTAAAAATTTCTCGTATACCCGTTCACTTAAATATAACATAACTGAAGAAGTGGGAGATTAATTAGGCTAAGTTTTATCCAGATCTTATTGACAAATTACTCGATCGTCTATTTCAAAGGGAGGGAAGGCAAGTTGTAGAAGGGGGATAATAAAGCCAACCTGAAAAGACCCATATACCCTTAAATATAACGAAAAAACTAACAGAAGTAACGGTGGGATAATTGCCAATCTTACTTTGCGTTAAGTATAATGATTATGTAGTTATAAGGCCAAATCTTGTTTTGGTTACAACTTAAAACGGACCAAATCAAACTCCAGGACCATCGTAATTTCCTTTTTCTTTTTTTTTCTAACACTAGTGAAAATATAAAAGGAGAAACTTTGGCCCGAATCGAACTATAGGATATATCACATATATAATTTTGAAAGATAATGTTGAGCTTAGATATATAAAAGGAGAAACTTTGACCCTAAAGTTGTTTCTTTTTTTGGGCAGTATGAGAAGCACGAGGCAAAGAAAGACCCAGAGCATGCTCGCAGGCACAGGATAGAGGAGGAGATTGGGGCAACAGGGGCAGTTGGTTCGGGTGGGTATGCCTTCCACGAGCATCATGAGGAGAAAGAGTCAGAGAGAGAAGAGGAAGAGTCTCATGGAAAGAAGCAACACCACCTCTTCTAAATAATCTCAATTAATCAATATCGATCTTTATTGATTACCTATTTAAGTGGTTAATTATTTGTGTTTATCCCTTTAATTATTTGTGTGATGTTTCATTATGATGAATACTCAGTATTTTGTTTCTGAGAATTGATGCATGTTGAGTGTATAAGTAAGACTCTTTGTTTAAAGGCTACTGTATATATCCTGTTTTCTTTTAGCATGTCATGTATTTAATTGTTAATCGTTTACTCAGTGTAACTTTTATATAATTTTTTAGTGGTATTAATTTTTTTTCTTTTATGCAAGCAATATTGAGCGAGCGGGGAATTAAACCTAGGACCTATGCAGGGGTAATTACTCTTAACTACTTAAGCTATAAACCACTTGTGTATAAATCTTAGCCAGACTTAATTAACAACTCAATATATGGATAAGAATATAGAGTTGAGAAAATATGCAGAGGAAAATCATATTGTTGATTTTTTGTTGAATCCCCTTTATCTTGTTGTAACTAAGTGAAAAATATGGTGCTTTGCATATAGAATTCGATAGAAACTGATTATTCTAATCATTCAGTCTTAAATAGTAATACATTCATAAAGGTGAGACCAATTAAGCCATTAAAACACTGCGAATGATTCACGCTAAAACATAATTAAGATCATGAACAAAATAGACCCTACTAGTTAAGTAACTAACATGTCTAGACACCTCACATGCGTTACATTTATTGATTGAAGATCTCAAATTCTTCAAGGGACTAACTTCTCCGAACCAGGAACAACTTTCACATTAGTAGGATCATGACTTGATGGTGGTGATGGTGGATTTGACGGCGGGGATTTAACATGATCGGCTTCATCGCAATAACCCTCGAGTACATCAGTCTCTTCCGCAGTAAACCCTAGCGTGCCAAGCAAGGCAGGCCAACACTGATGCTCAATGGTCCGAATGGCTTCACAACAACTGTGACCCAAGTAAGTCTCACCATTAAGAAAAAATATGACAACCTCACTAGAACATGACTGGAGCTGAAACAAAGAGTCCCAGCAGTTAGAAGATTCTTCATCCAAATTCAACCTGGCTACGAGATTCGAGTTTGATCGAATTATGTTAGGATTCAAAGGGCGAGCACTTGTGGCTAAGAATGGCATAGTCAAGGCTGGAAGAGCTGTAAGAAGGAAGAGCTTGAAAGTTATGTAAGCTGCCATTTTGATTTTGTGGATGAGTAAGGGATTGATACGAAAGAAGGGTTTTATATAGATGGTGAGGTGATTGTGTTATAAAATGGAAGGAAAAAAAAAGCCGTTTCGTGCATTGGATGGTGAAGAGGCTGCTGAGAGTAACTCATAATGACAATAATCACGTGATACTTAACAGCAAGAGAAGTTGATGGGACTCAACTCATCAACTAATAATTATAACAAACGAATTAATGGATAATTTATGGTCTTTGTGATGGTTGGTTTGCTTGCTAGAGTTGGTTTTGTTTGCTGATGGTCAAAAGGATTGACCATTCGTTTGCTTACCGAAAGTTGGTTAGTGTATTCACTATTCGTGCTCATTCCAAAAGATTGATTGAGATCCATAATTGGATGATTAAATTCATGTTTGCTTTACATTTTAATTTCAAATTTGTTCTCAAATTGACAAAGGTGATTTCAACCTATTGTAATGTAAGGTAAGAGAGGACGTTTGAACTCGGGTACAAGGGGCAAGCACACTACATTGACCAACTCGCCTTTACCACATTTGCAATTTTAATTTTCTATCAGATTTTTAGTTCTTGGACTCCAAACTATGCTTCAATTCTCATTGGGATTTGCTTAGAGCTAGACAAATTAATAATTTTGTGATTTGTTGATTAGCTAGATACTGGAGTTGGCTTCATTTTGGGCTTCATTTGGTTCCATTCGGCCTTCGGTTGATGTCTCTTGGATGTTTGTTCGGCTCTGTTTGTTTGAACATATCTATAGCTTACAATACATCTTAATTTTTAGAACATGTCTAATTGTAGTTCCAAAATGTCTCAAAATAAAAATCGAAAGAAAATAATAGCTCCAAAATTATTGCCTCTCAAATGATTTCCCTAGCGTGAAAATGTTGTCATCAAGACAGACTACTTTGTGAATATTAATATGAAGACTACATTCTCTGCTTTTGTGGAAATGTGAGTACATTTTGACTAGATTGACAACTTCTCATTCACAAATCACCAATCCCCAAATAAAAAGTTACTATAATTTTATTCAAAATAGAACTAGTTCTGCCAAATTCTGCTCAACATATTCTGATGTTAATGAACCTCTCAGAATTCCTGTCTGTTGAACAATTTAAAACTGAGAGATGCTAAATAAGAGAAGACTGCATAAGTAAAAGAGATTGTATAAACTATCAAAGAGATGATCAATGAAGCAGACGGGGGAGGAGTTCCGACAAAGCAATTGGTCGGTTTTAGATCGATTCAACGCAAATGTTTACGGGTCTGAATGAGAATTCTTGTTGTCTTATTCCATCCTGCACAAAATAAAACAGGGCAGTTTAAATAGTCACATAAGTTGTGTCAATAAGAACCAGGTAGGTGATCTTAAGGTGCAAATTTCATGCGAACCTGGCCAATAAGTACACGACTACTTTCAATCAGTTCAAGTTGCACATTAGCAGTGTGCCCAGTATCGACCATGGCATCAGGAACCCAAATTTCAGTTGACTACAGGACACAATTGGCTGGCTTCAACAGCAGTAGTCTTGTAATTATGCATAAACAAAAAAAAGTTACAGTATGTCCTGTTTATTTGCATCATAAATCTTGCATATACATACATATGCAATGGAAAAAAAAAGTAGCAAGATAAATTGTTCTCCTCTCCTACAAAATGAAAAGTAGAATCAGCAAAAGCAGCAACTCACATTGAAAAGCAGCAGCTGTGATGCCTCTTGCTTTGAAAGTGAGGAATCATAGCTCAGTCCCAATCACATCGATCTTTTTTCTTTTTCTGGTCCGAGCTTCTTCAACAACATCATTTAAGTCTGCATCTTCGGAAAGAGCATGGGTATTGCAGAAGAGAGATTTTTGGTGAGAGCTACCACTTCCACTAGGACTAGCCTCCTCGTCATCGTGGCGTTGTTGACCTTGTGCATCAGCTGATTTGGTAGGACAAGTAGTAGTGCTCTTGATGATGGATTTGTTCATCATGATCTGGTTGAGTTGTTCCACATCTTGCTCGTGCACCAAATGAAACCCACACTTCTTCACACTCGCGCAAGACTTTAAGCTTATCGACACTCTGCCTTGAAAATAATGATGAGACTGAACAACAAACAAAAGCTTTTTCTTTTTCTGACCGCATATCTTCTGAAATTGTTTACGAGATACATAAATTACCCAAAGGTGATCTGACACAACATCACCTATTTTAAAATATTTTGAAAATCCAAGTGGCCATAATCCAAGTGGGTGACACCTAATTTGAAAATAATGACATTCAGGAATATCAGCCTGAACTTCAAACACAGCACATAAAGCAATTCCGATCGACGTGGTACATGAATCCAGAGGTAGCTCCACAGTTAGGGAAGCTCCCAAACTTTGATTACTGAACCACTCTGGAATTTTCCTTCCAGGAGTTACAATTTCGAAGAGGATTGGGAAACGAGGGCCACGGATTGCCTGTACCATATACATAGATATATATGAGGTTAGTAAGTTGTAATTATTATTATAGCAAACAACAAAAGAGAGATAGACAGAGAGAGAGAACCTCACGCTGAAGCTGAAGCTGAAACTCCAACTGAAGCAGAAGCTGAATCTGAAGGTATCGCTGTAGCATTTTCAGTATTATACTATCGCTGCCTTCATTGTCAACCAATACAAAGCAATTGGGACAATTAAAACTAATAAAACGTATTTCGGAGTTTTTGAAGCCCTTGCCGAAAGAGCTTAGAAAAAATCTTTTTTCGTCTATATCCACTAATGAGCAATTTGACGAAAGATGTGGTAACATTTTTAAGGAAGTGCAACCGGCTATGTCTATATCCACTAATGAGATAAGCTTAGAAAGATCTGGCAATTGTTGAAGCCCTTGGCACCCATTCACCCAAAATAACTTAAGCTTAGAGAGACATCCGATGCTTGCAGGAAGGCTAACAAAATTGTTTCCACTAAGCTTTAATTCTACTAAAGAGGACAAGCAGCCAATATCACTGGGAAGATCCCCTTCACAAAGTCCACGATTACTCAGATCCAATTCCCTCAAAGACAATAAACCATCTAACGAACTTAACACAAAACCATTTCTGTTTTGATATAAACCGGGTGATCCACTTCTACCCAAATCTAGCATGCCTAGTTCTTTCAAACCAACAACAGAGCGTGGCAGCTGTCTTATAGAAGTTCCATACAATTGAAGCAATGTAAGAGACTCCATCTCCCCCATGTTCTCTGGGAGCTTGTCAATTTCTGAGCATCCACCCGCACCCAGTTCTTTAAGAGACTTCAAATTACAAATTTCACTCGGAAGACCCGCAAGATTTTTGCAATCATCTAGAAACAGAAAAGTAAGGCCAACCAGACATCCTATTGATGAAGGTAATTTCTCAATGGACGTCTTTTCTAGCCTAAGAAAGAACAAATTTTTCATTTGCCTTGAAAATTCTGGAATCTTTTTCAATTTTGAGCAAAAGCAAAGCCACAACATATTAAGACATTTGAGATCTGCAATTGACGGGTGAATCTCAACCAAATTCTTACAACTTTCAAAATACAACACCTCAAGATTCGGAATGCCACTGAAATCTGGGGTTGTGGTCAAGTTTTCAGAGTGAGAAAGGTCCATTTCTTTCAAGTTGGGCAAGTCCTGTACAATTCATAACAATTGTAGAATAGATAATTAGCTCAGATTTTTTTTATATTTATAACTAATTTCTAGAATGGCATATGGTCCCTACTCTTACCTTTCTTCCATCCCAAAGCCGAACAAGTTTGCTGTGACGCATCTTAAGTGCAATAAGGAAATTCGGTTGAAAACCTGATGGGAGAAATTTTGAAGGATAATGACTCCATTTGATACTTCTCAAGGAATTAGGAAGAATTATGGGGCTTGAAGAAAAGATCACATTGTCGAATTCAAGAACTTTCAGGTTACACATCTTAGAGAAGGCTTCACAATTCCAATCTGCCATTTCAAGTCTCATCATGCGTAAGGCAATGCCTTTAATTTTGTTTGTTGCCTGTAATTAAGAATAGTAAAGGAAAAGTTAATTGCACATTTAAGTCTAATCATGTGTTAAAGAGAAATCATATATCTTCCAATACTATCTTTATATAACTTCTTAACATGTTGTTTATGAATACATCAAAGATATCAGTAATTAAGTCTAATACTGTGTTAAAGACAAATAATAAATCTTCCAAAATTTAGTATCTTTTATATAACTTATTACCGTATTGTTTATGAATACATGAGAGATATCATCATCATCGCACAATCGACTTCGTCTACCAGGCTCTTCAGGACACTCTCGACGAACAATTTCCAATGCCATTTCTTGTATCAAATCATGCATCCCAACATTCCCATGTGATATAGTTAAGAGTGATTTCTGAACGAGAGCATTTATCCCAATATTACCACATAGGCCACAACTGTCTAGTATTTCAACTACATGCTTCTTGACCATCCCCTTATGAAAAAATGCAACATCAAGAAATATATCCTTGTTCATCTCATCCAATCCATCGTAACTTACTTTGAGCAAATCAATAATTTCCGACTTAGGAATTTTCTGCAGCTTATCCAATTCACTTTTCCATTCATCTTGATCTCTCTTATACACTAAGCATCCCAAAAGTTTAAGAGCTAGTGGGAGGCCTCTGGCATAATTTACAAAACCCTTGGACAATTCCAAGAAACCTTCCTCAGGCTCATTTTTTTTAAAGGCATTCCGACTGAAGAGCTCAAGAGCATCATCATCACCTAATCCCTCTACCTTATATGATACCTGCATATCATGCTTAACTAGCAACCGTTTATCTCTAGTTGTAATAATGATTATACTCCCCTTACCAAACCAATCCTTTTCACCAGCCAACTTTTCAAGTTGGCTTGATTCACTCACATCATCAAGAATGAGAAGAACCTTTTTATTATACAAGCAATTCTTAATGACAGAGGTTCCCCGATGTTCATCCCAAACTTGAGTAATTTGATCCTTTAAGATTGGGGAAAGAAGTTGTCTTTGTAGATGAACAAGATTACCACGTTGAGAAACCTCTCTAACATTAGCAAGAAAGCTGCTAACTTCAAAATGGGTAGAAATGCTATCATAAACTAGCTGAGCAATGGTTGTTTTGCCAATTCCGCCCATCCCCCATATCCCTATAAAGCGAACATCATCCGTAGGATGAGCTGAAAGCAAATCTACTTGCTCACGTATAAACTTCATTCCCACTAACTCTCTGGAATCTAACAATTTGAATCTGTGATTCACTTTGTCCCACACCCAGTCAACAATCTTTTCAACAAGCTTTCTTTCACACCTACAAGGAGGAAAAGTAAAAGGATCATGAAGTCTAAAATATAAGCCATGGGTTTTGTTAAGACATATAGAGAAGTTGTTCATTCATTCATGCTTACTCATTCTTTGAATTTATCCCAGATAAATTGGCTACTTCTGTTAAAGCATCTCTCCAGCGCTTCACCTTATCGATGTCTTCCCTAAACCTTTTCTCATGCTCAGCGAAGGCGTCCGCAAAACTGCCGCTTTGTTTTCTCACATCGGAGGGATCCACATGATAAAACACTGGCAGAATTGTGCCCTTGGATTTCATGCATTGGAGAATCTTTGTAAGCTCATCCAAGCACCAGGAAGAAGATGCATAATTTGGCGAGAGAACAACGATTGCAAGCGTTGATTCTTCGATTGCTTTGATGAGCTCTGAAGAAATAGGTGTCCCTATTTCAAGCTCACGATCATCCTTGAATGTTTTAATGCCCCTGTGCTGCAATTCGTGGTATAAATGGGATACAAAGCTATTTCGAGTGTCCTCACCCCTGAAACTCAAAAACACATCGTGGTTCGGTTGAGGAGCAGACTGATGAGCTGAAGGAAGAAAGGCAGAATCTCTTTGGGTGCTCATCAATGCCATTTGGCAATCTGCTGCTGCTGTAAACACTCGATGAAAATAAGGCTTTCGCTAATTAAATCTTTAAAATCCAAACACTCAACTAATAAATAGAAGATGATGATAAATGGCTTGCAAAAGGAAAAGGATTAAAATTTAGTAATCCAGAGGAAAAATAAGGACGACGTTGAGGAAGCAGATTTGGGTAAATGATAAATAGCTTGCAATGGTCGTCTTGTCATGATGTTATCAACGTTTAAAACAAAACAGATACGCTTTAGTTAATGTTACCTGAACAAAACGGATATGGAAATGTAGACGAAGCAAGCCAACAAGTTCAGCTTAGTGTTACCTCAACACCGAAAAAATTACGAAGCCAGAGAATTTGTAAGACCAGCAAGCCTGCCAGAAACTCACAAAATATACAACTTCTCAAGATCAGCCAAGAAACCAACAAGAAGAAACAAAGCTAGCAGCCTCAGAAAAGAGAGAGACTTGGAAACCGTGTAGTGAGGAGCACACGGTTTCTCTTTTCACCAATGAGGGAGGAAGAACCCCATAAAAGAAAGCTTCATGATTCTTTTGCTTTTCAATGGGTGCTTTCGTTTGATTGGAATGTGGTGAGATTTAATTCAAGGAAATATGCAGGTAGTTACTTGATATTTCCCTCACGATAATAACGAAATTTGGTTAAGGGGTGAAGGATTTTCCTTTTACATGTTTTTTCATACTTCTACAACTCATCAATGAAAAAAATAACTAGTGAATTCTGAAAATTAATCTGGAATTTTTTTGCATACAAGCGCAACACAAAAGTTTATATGTAATTAGAGCAATTTAAGCAAACAATAGACTCAAATGGCTTTGCTTTGCAAGCACATCGGTATTTTAGTTGAAGTTTATGCACACTAGTATTTTTGTTGAAAACTGTATTCAATCCATCGTGGCATCCCTTTCTGAAACAATGCGCAAATGTGTCACCTACTTGACATATTATGATATTAACCATGTGTTACAAAAGATATTACCGCAGAGAGACAAAAATACCACATCTATAAAACAACTGTGTTGGCATTGAAAAGCCTCATCACTACAGCAGTGAACTATAAACTGCATATGCTTTAGCTTATTAATTAATGTTACCTGAACAAAGCAGATATGGTAATGTAGACGAAGCAAGCCAACCAAAACCCACAAAAAATACTTCTCAAGATCAGCCAAGAAATTAACAAGAACAAGCAAAGCTAACAGCCTCAGAAAAGGGGAGATATAAGTAGTGGCCAGCAGACAGACAGAGAGAGAGAGGGAGAGAGAAAGGGAGAGAGGGAGAAAAGGTTGAAACCGTGTAGTTACAGTAAGCACACGCTTTCTCAATGGAGGGCATCATTTCATTTCAGACAAGTTCTGCTCAGAGACCAATTATAAGGGCCACCCACGTCACGCCAATTATTTGAATGGTCGGTTTCTTGGTAAAACTGTGGTGAGATTTAATTCAAGGACATATCAAGGCAATTGCCTGGTCTTTTCCTCACGATACATATGGAGTAAAAGAGAACAATTGATCAAATTTTGGAATTTTCTTTCTATACAACGTTTACTTATGATCCGTCTAGAAATCATCAATAAGGAGAAGAAAAATAAATTTTGTTTACGATGAGAAAAGAAACGAAAAATGTAATTAGAAAAAATTTAAAAGTTTTAAAGCAATTTTTCTAAGAGACATCCATTGTTGCATCCCTTAATACGAAAATGTATCACAAATTCTACGACCATGTTTTGTGTTACACACATATATCAAAGTTCCAGTCTCTTAAGATTTCCATTTTAATTTGTATGGCTGGTGTTTCAAAGTTCCAGTCTTTTCGCTTTTTCTTTTTTATGAAATAGGGAGGAAGAACCCCATTAAATTCTGCTCGGAGACCAAAGGGAGTCCAAGTCTTCTTTGGGCAATGAGTAATTTCATTTGCTTTTCAATGATCGATCATAGAGGAAGGAGGGCATCATTTCATTTCGGACAAGTTCTGCTCAGAGACCAATTATAGGGGCCCCCTACGTCAGGCCATTTATTTGAATGGTCCTTTTCCTGTCAAAACCGTGGTGAGATTTAATTGAAGGACATGTGCAGACAAAAGAATACTGATCTCAATCTTTTTTCTTTTTTTTATCTTTTGGTCGAAAGACTTCTCTCGATCACTGTTAGAAGATTCTTGCTTCTAATTTCACTTTTGCATATCAGCTTTACCGTGTAATTTCCCGCTCAATTTCTCAGAAAAAAGCGTAGAAATGGGTCTGATGGTGTTGTTGACGACGACCTCGAGGAAATGGGTTTGAGGCGTGAGGAGGAAAGAGGGAGTTGGTCTGATAATTATATCCCTTATAAATATGATGGCTTTAATATATCTACGATATATCTATAATAGGTAAAATATTATTGCATAATAGTAAATTATTAGGTAAATTATGTCCAAAATGTGTTTATAAAATTTGAGTATATTATTTGAATAATAAGTACATTTATACTAGGTACATTATTTTTCATAAAAGAAGTAATAAGTACGTTATTTTTTTAACATAAAAATGTATGTATGCTATTATATTTATAAAACAATAAAATAATACATAATTAATCACGTATATTTCATAAATAAATTAAAAATAATATTTTCTTATTAAATCAACCGATTAGGTATGTTAAATATGAATTTATTGTTAAATTTAAAAAAGTTTCCAAATTAATTTGTACATCCATTTGGAGATCTTTCCTAATTCAACGTGTGTCATTAGTTACAATCCAATTAAAATTTGTTTATATAATGGTTCATACATTAATATACAAACTGCAATAATAGCTTAGTTTGGGGTATTTTAAGGAATCGAAAAAGTACAATAAATTCGATTTTGCACTTGATTAGGTAACTTGCCGAGTTGGATCCTAGTCATCGGGTTTTATTTAAAAAAACAGGATTTTATTCAAACAAAAATAAAGAGATGAGTTGTAGTTGAAGAAATATGACTTTCAAAGGGTTAAGCTAAATTTACTATTTATTAAAATAGCAAGACATGCATACATGAATCTTACCCTGAAACAAAACAAAATAATAAAAAAAAACAAATTTTCCAGGAACCAACTTTTCCAAATGAGGAACAATTGTTTTGTTAATTAATAGGTTTATCAGCACGGGTGGTGACGGTGGTGTCGAGGGGGGAATTAAATATGATCGGCTTCATCACAATGAGAAGTGTCAGACGGGGCAGAGAGAAGGAGGGGGGGAAGGGGGGAGGAGGAAAAGGTTTGAAACCGTGTAGTTACAGTAACCAATTATAGGAGCCCCCATGTCAGGCCATTTATTTGAATTGTTGGTTTCTTGGTAAAACTGTGGTGAGATTTAATTGGAGGACATATCAGGGCAATTACTTGATCTTTTCCTCATGATATATATGGAGTAGAAGAGAACAATCGATCAAATATATGGATTCCCCTTCGCTACAACGTTTACTTATGATCCGTCTAGAACTCATAAAAAGAAAGAGAGAAAAAAAAAAAAAAAAAAAAAAAAAAAAAACAATGAGAAAAGAAACAAAAAATGTAATTAGAAAAATTTAAAAGTTCTAAGGCAATTTGTCAAAGAGACATCCATTGTTGCATCCCTTAATACGCAAATGTATCACAAATTCCACAACCATGTTTTGTGTTACGTATATATATTTTAGTCTTTTGAAATTTACATTTTTATTTGTATGGCTGTGTTCTTAATTATATTGTTTTGACCTCCATCTCTCTTTTTTCATAACTACACTCCACATTGCAAGTATCGTTTTTGGAATACCAACATCACAAATTATAATTGATTGACATAATGGCTAATTAAAAGCCAATTAATATAATCATTCTCGATTTATAGATGCTAGAATTGAATATAGCAAGATCAAACAAAGCCTTACTAATTATTAATTTATTAAAATAGCAAACATGCATACATAATTTTTTATAATTTTACCAAACAAAAAAAAAAAAAAAAAAAAAAAAAAAATTATTCAAAGAACCAACTTCAGACCATACCAGCATACTATTTTATTATTATTTAATAAGGTTTATCAACAACAGGTGGTGATGGTGTTGACAGAGGGAATTGAATATGATGGGTTTCATCACAATAACCCTTGAGTACATCAGTCTCCTCGGTTGTAAACCCTAGCGTGCTAAGCAAGGCAGGCCAACACTGATGCTCAATGGTACGAATGGCTTCACAACAACCATGCCCTAAGTAAATCTCACCATTCACAAAAAACATGACAACCTCACTAGAACATGCCTGGAGCTAAAACAAAGAGTCCCAACAGTTCGATGATTCTTCATCCAAATTCAACCTAGCTTCGAGGTTCGCATTGGATCCAATTAGGTTATAGTTTAAAGAACGAGCACTAGTGGTGGCCCTGAATAGTGGCATGGTCGTCAACAAAGCAAGAAGAGTGAGATGGAAGAGGTTGGAATATGCTGCCATCTTCATTTTGGATGATTGAGAGATTGATGTAATGTGTGAGGAAGGGGGAATCCAAGGGTTTATATATAGAGGCCAGATAGAGCAAGAGGAATTTAGTGTTACAAAAATGTTGCGTGCATGGAGAGATGGGGTGGTGCAGGCTCGTCAATCATAATTATTAATATCACTTATGCATGTGTTATTACTATTTGGGCCTAAAAATTGACACACCCAGCCCAGCGAAAATGAGGCCCAGAGTTTTTTTTTTTTTTTTTTTTTTTTTTTTTTTTTTTTTTTTTTTTTTTTTTTTTTTTTTTTTTTTTTTTTTTTTTTTTTTTTTTTTTTTTTTTTTTTTTTTTTTTTTTTTTTTTTTTTTTTTTTTTTTTTTTTTTTTTTTTTTTTTTTTTTTTTTTTTTTTTTTTTTTTTTTTTTTTTTTTTTTTTTTTTTTTTTTTTTTTTTTTTTTTTTTTTTTTTTTTTTTTTTTTTTTTTTTTTTTTTTTTTTTTTTTTTTTTTTTTTTTTTTTTTTTTTTTTTTTTTTTTTTTTTTTTTTTTTTTTTTTTTTTTTTTTTTTTTTTTTTTTTTTTTTTTTTTTTTTTTTTTTTTTTTTTTTTTTTTTTTTTTTTTTTTTTTTTTTTTTTTTTTTTAATATAGGGAGCGGTATAATTGTCCCTCCTTCCTTGTACAGCACCTAAATAGGATCGACAAGTTCTCAATTCAGTACATTTTTCCTTTTTTGGTCAGAAGACTCAGAACTAAATTAACATTTTTCACGCATTATTTCACTACAACAGTATGAAAGCACAGCATAGAAAGGTTGCTCTGGAAATGTTCTTTTACTCGCGGCCTATAGGAAGTAATTATCCCAACACATTGAAAGTAACAACTAAGAAGAGGTAAATGCACAAGGTAAAAATGATCCCCTGGAAGCAGAGCACAAGTTAAAACTATGGCATATACATTAGGATTTATCATGCACTTTTGTTAGCAACATGGGAGACTTGAGAAACTATCAGTGCTAATTAACTCATCCGTTGCGGTATATATATGCAGAGTTCAGATCCTCTGTCCATGTGTTTGTGTGTGTCCCTGCCTTATTTTTTAGACACCTAGCATCTCACTTAACCACTTTAACAGAGTTAGTCTTTTTTATTTCACTGCGTTTCCCCAACCCTTCCCGCTGATTTTTTTCTCCCACAGGCAGAAGAATACTAGTGGAAAGAAGAAAAAATAGAAAGAAGAGAGAGAGAAGGGGGAAGGGGGAAACGCAGGGAAAATAAAAGAGATAACAGAGTTAGAGTAGAACTGTTAAAGTAAGGTTAAGTGGGATGCTAGGTGTCAAAAATTAAGGCAGGGACATGGAGGGACACACAGAAACATGGACAGAGGATCTGAAATCCTATATGCAGGCTTACAAGTTCGCAGTTCGCCACATAAAGATTGCATGTTATACAAATTAATAAAAGATAAAACGTTCTTTTCCCCCCCTGGGCAGAGCAGTTAACTCTAAAAGTTAAGGTATTTCTCATCTTAAAAAAATAATTACAAGAATAAGATAAAATAAACATGGTAAAACAACAAAAGACAACAATCCACTCAAACATGCCATCAGACTAACTGCTTCACATAAGGAACTCAAATTGCAAATCAATAATTTGATGAAGTAAACTACTTGATAAGGCGCTCAATATAATGCATATCAGACATGAAACTTGCGCACATATCAATTATCAACTACACATATTTAACTCAAAACCAGTAAGGCTAAAACTTGATACTTCAGCCTCTGTGAATCAACTTGGTAGAGAAAAGGAGTTTCAAGCTGAAATTTCACCCACCTCCTCATGCTACCCTTTCCACCAGTGCGAACTGCACCGGCCATCTTCATAAGTTTCTCCCGATTCATCTGCATAAAAAGTGGGTATTGTAAGATGAAGAGACGAGTTTTCAACTGAAATATATATTAAACAATTCAAGAGCCCAAAACATTGCATCTCAAGTTACATTATTGTTATTCTGTATATTAAGCAATAAAACCTACAATACGACCCAGAATTTTTTTTTTTTTTTCTCAATCTGTTTCATTTTTTTTTTTTTTTTTTTTTTTTTTTTTTACAAATTTTACAATATTTTCAATATAAGAGAACAAATCAACTCTACTCTCTTCTTCTATCTTGTTCTCTTCAATCTCGTACTATACTTCATTTATATGTTCCATTGAGAATTAAAGTAGCAAATAAATCTTATTTCTAAACTGTATGCCTAAAACATATACATTTTTATTCTTGTATTGGCCATTAGCCTAGCTATTCTCATTGTTAACCTTCACACTGATAGTCAGCTGAACCAAGATCATACAGCAAAGCATGGAGCTGACCTCACAATAACAAGACCCCATAGTTAAAGCAAATCTCAAATTTGGGGATAACCTGACCAATAAACTGTATACAATATGTGGACTTGAACCTACAGCAGAAACCATCTAAGCACAACAAGATACTCCTCAGTTACCAAACATGTTGATTTACAGTGTGCATTTTCATGGCATACAGAAGCTTACTTGTCTGTTTTCAGTACATTATCCGGAGTTATCTGTTTATAGAATAGCACTAGGTGACTAGGTTCATTTCATTCTGAAAACAATAAAATCTGACACAGCAGTTTAAATAGAGGAACAGAAAATTACAGCACATCCTGCAAACTATACAAACAAGATGTAACAAGAGAATTACTCTCTCTCCTCCTACCTAATACAAGAACTATGAACAGGGATAGAATGACGCAATCAAATTTAGAACTTTGAGAATGCCACCAATTGCTTGTTTTTCCTCATCATTAATTGAACAACTTATTTACGAACAACTTAAGAAGATTCACAACCCAAAAATATCATAGTATACCCTGCATTTATGTATTTGGAAATGGAAAAGTTTTTTTTTGGACAAGTACATAACCAAAATGTAATAAGAGAACAGCTCTCCTCCTACCTCATTGAATGATTGAACCAAGCACAAAATAATTTAGACTTTCTTGAATCTTTTGCTGATTGGTTCATCGTCGTCGTCAGAGCTATCACTTCCTGGTTCATTGTCATCAGAGCTACCAAATAAACAGTCAAGGCCCCACCCAATGCCATCCCTTGAATTTGATGATTTAGCAAAGCTTAGACGTTTGAGGTTTTTTATAACAAGCGGCAGCTCTCTCATTGCACTTCTGTCTAAATAAAGTTCCTCTAAAGACTCCATGTCCACTGGCAATTTGTCAAGTTTGAGCAACCCCAGAGGATTTTAAGAGACTTCAGATTGCATATCACACTCGGTAGACCCAAGAGACTTTTGCAACAATTTATATGCAATTCACCAAGGCCAACTAGATGTTCAATTGATGAAGGTATTTGCTCAATTAGACACAAGCCTAATTTAACCACACACAAAAAAAAAAAAGAAAAAAAAACAAAAAAAAACCAACTAATTTAACAGAAAAAACTCTAAATTAATTTAGAAGAATAAATCCTAAATTCAAAGGAAGAGGATGCTTACCAAAGTAAACTCTCTAGACTGGCCTTCTACTGCCCTTGTGGTTAAGTGCGCTTGCACTAACTCCTAGTGGTCTTGGGTTCAAAGGTTGGTACCACATTCTCTACAAAACCCAAAAAGTAAACTCTCCAGAGAGAAAAAATTATATTATGTGGTGGTGCCAAAACAATTTCCACTGAAAACAGAGCCAAAATACAGGGCTGGAAATTGAAGAAGAAACGAAGAAATATCCCAAGAAAGAGTGAACACATCCAATGACCATAAAAGTCAAGGAAAAAAAAGAAAGGAAGGAAAAACGTGAAATATACTGCCAAAGTGATGACCAAGACCAACAATGTGAAATGAAATTTCGAGGCAAAAGTGATCTGGTCCAAGCAAGTTCCCAACTTTGGTTTTATTTTTCTAGAGAGGAAGATATTTACATGACATCTTGAAGCAGTCCACTTTAATTGTGTCCCCGATATGGTCCAAACAAGTTCCTTCTCTGTTTCCAGAAATGATAATTCACTAGTTTTATTTTATTTTATTTTTCATATAAGCTGTTTTCTTATTTTGTTGGTGTTTTTTATATATATATACCTACCTACCTTCCAAGTAATAGTTTTTTATTTTATTTTATTATTTTTTTCTTAAAGTTTTATCTTTTTATTGCTTTCTGATGACCTTCATGAATGACCTGCAATGATTAAACTTACAACATGACACAGAAATTTGTTTTACGTCTCAATTTTTTCAAATTTTTTTTTCAAAACCAATTTTACAATATCTCAAATAAAGAACTAATCAAGTCTATTTTCTGCTATCTTGTTTCTTCAATCTCATACTATGCTTGATTTATATCTTCCATTGAGAATTATTTCAATAAAGTAAAGGTTGCTCTGAAAATGTTCTTTTACTCAAAGCCTATAAGAAGTAAATATTCTAACACATCGAAATTAACAAGTTAATCCAAGTCATATCCACTCAGAAAATATCTCGAACGCAGGAAAAGGACAAACAATTTAGGGAAAATGAAGTCCTGGAAGCAGAGCGCAAGTTTGTTTTGTAAATCTGTAGCATATATATACTTTAGGTTTTGTTCTACTGTTTTCTGTGTACACAAGTAGCTATATGAAGGCTTAGTCCATTTTCAAAAGAAAACAAACTATTTCTAAAAAAAAAAAAAAAAAAAAAAAAAAAAAAAAAAAAACAAAAAAAACTGAAAATTGAATTCATCAACATCATCACCCCCAATTCAGTAACAGAAAAAAACTCTAAATTTAATTTAGAAGAATAAACCCTAAATTCAAAGGAATAGGATGCTTACCGTTAACTGATATGAGAGAGAGAAACCCAGCGGAGAGAGATCTCAGTTCGATTTCTATGGAGAAAATGAACGACAGAGACAGAGACGGAGAGCGCGAATGAGAGAGAGCGAGAGAGGGCGCTGAGTTCCGGGGAGAGGGTGGGGATAAGAAGGTATTTATACGCGTTAGTTGGGCCAAAGTAAACTCTCCAGACTGGCATTCTCTACAAAACCCAAAAAGCAAACTCTCCAGAGAGCAGTCCACTTTAATTATTTCCCCTAATATACAGACAGCTTCCTTCTCTGTTTCCAAATATGATGATTGGCATTGTCTCAAGTATTGCCTCATGGCTGCTACTAAGAACATCCACAATGGTGCTCTCTATTTCTTAGTTAAAATTTGAGTAAAAATATAAAAAAGCTATTTTATAAGCTCTCTAAAAAATTTCAACTCCAACCATACTCCCTTATTTAGAGTCATAAATGCTATAACTCTTTTTTGATTGGTCAATCTCTATTAAAAAATAAAATAAAAATTAGTTAGCATTAAATGAAAGTTTGAAATACTTATTAAATAAAGCAGCATTAAATTATAGGGAGTCACTAGGAGTCCTTTCTCTATCCTCAGATTTAGGAGCTCCTACAGGACTCCCTATTTTAAGAGGTGAATAGGGAGCGTGGTTGGAGTTGCATTTTTACGATTCCTCCTTAAAATTTGTCTAAGGAGGTGGTTTAAGGAGCCCATTGTGAATGTTATCTTACTGTTTTCGCTGATTGAGAACTTGTGGTTGTGGTTGGTTCATTCTCATAAATTTGAAACTTTGTGAATAACACTAGTTTTCCTCATCAGAGCTACCACTTCCACTATTAATTGGGCCTGCCTCGTCATCGTATCCATATACTGCTGGCTTCGAGATTTTCAGTATTCGGCTGAGTTCTTCCAAATCTCTCTTGTACACCAAACGGGCTCCACATTTCTTTATAATCGAGCTTGTTTTCAGTTCTTTTTTCCCAGATTCTTTTGACCAATACTGCCCTTCAAATGATAACTGATGACTGCTTGAGGCATCCCTGAGATAGGGACCATTGCGAGGCAAATAGAAAACGAAAAGGTGTTGTGACCTAAGATCCCCGACTATAAAAGTATCATCATACGGTTTCCATGAAAAGCGAATTTGGAAAATATTGTAGTCTGGATGTGCAGAATCTTCAAAAAACAACACATAAAGCAATCCCAACCCAGTCACTACATGTTTGTGGAGGCAGCTCCACAATTATTGAATCTCCCACACTTAGATTATCGAACCAATCTGGAATTTCACTTACAGGCCATACAATACGGTCATCATGATACCTTACCTGTACCAAAAGAATTACAATTATATTTACTTACTATAGAGAAAGAAAACCACGAATATATATATATATAATATATTCATTCAGCGAGAGAGAGAGTGTGTGTGTACCTCAGCGGCCAATCCCATTATCATTGCAAATATTCTATTAATCCAGCCTTCTTCTTCAACCAATCTGAAGCAATTAAAACAAGTAAACATAAAACCATACACATTGGCTCCTTCGCTCAACTTTGATGGATCTGACAGCCTTTTTAAGGAAGTACAGTCGTCTACATGTACAAATAATGGGGATCTCTTTGGCGGAAGATCTGGCAATTGCCCAAGCCTTTCGCACCTCTGCAATCGAAGAATCCAAAGCTCAGAAAGGAATCTAATGCTTGAGGGAAGGCTAACGAAATTGTTTCCCCTAAGGCCCAACTCTTTTAAAGAAGACAAGCAGCCGATATCATCTGGAATGGCTCCTTCACCAATATTACAATCACTCAGATCTAATTTTGTCAAAGACCCTAAACGATTTAGAGAGGGCAACACCAAACCCCAACGCTCAGGGTCAGGATTCTTTCTAATTCCAAATATGCGGTCAACGCCCCACCCAATGCCATCCCTTGAAGCAACTGATCCACTAAGGGATAGAGTTTTGAGATTTTTCATGCCAACTTTCGAGCATCCGTAGCCATAAAGGCTTTTAAGAGACTTCAAATTGCATATCGCACTCGGTAGACCCAAGAGACTTTTGCAATCATGTATATCTAGACAAACAAGGCCAACCAGACGTCCAATTGATGAAGGTATTTGCTTGATAGCAGTCTCACATAGAACAATCGTTTTCAAATTCTGCATATGTTCCCCAAATTCTGGAATCTTTTTCACTTTTGAGCAGCCCGAAAGACTAAAGAATTCAAGAGAATCCATTTCCAACTCACTTGGGAGACTCTGTATACTTTTACATTGATAAAAACTTAAAACCTTTAGCTTTTTGTGAACTGCAATAGACAGGTGAACCTCGCCTAATTTCTTACAGCCGCCAAGATTCAATTTCTCAAGATTTGGAATGCGTGTGAAATCTGGGATACTGGTCAATTTATCAGAGTTACTAAGATCCATATATTTCAAATTCGGAAAATCCTGCCAGTACATAAAAGTTGTAGAATTATAAGTTTCAAAAAACCTTGCAAGTTAAAACAAGGTACAATACAACCATACTCAATATAATTATAATTATGGTACACAATGTTCATGTATAAACTAATCTCTCTGCTTCCTGAACCCTAGCCCCCCTCTCTTCTAGCGCCGCCAAGGTAGAAGTGGTCACCGACCCTTCTCCCCCCCCCCCCCCCCCCTCCCCTCCCCTCTTCCCTCCTCGCTCCTCCTTTCCTCCTATCCTCCCTTCCCCCCCTTTTCTCCTCCATCTTTTTGGTTCTTTATTCTGGTTGTTTTTCGGTTTTTTCTCCATCTTCTCCCCCTTCTCTTTTTTCCTGGTTCCCTCTCCCCCTCTCTCCTTCGTCCCCCTTCCTCTCCTCCCTTCTCTGTTCTCTTTTCCAGATTTCTACCTTCACTTTTCCTGTTTTTTTTTACTTTTGCTTTCTGTTCTTTTCTCCCATCTCCTTCTTTTAATTTCTTTTTTGATTTTCTCCTTTACCCCCTTTTTTCTCCCCTACCTGCTCCTCCCTCTTCCATTCCCCCCCCCCCCCCCCCCCAAATTTTTCCCTCCACGGGTGCTGCTCTGTTTTTGCAGAGCCAGTTCCTCTTTTTTTAAGTTTAATTTGTTTTGTCTTTTAGGCCGTGTAGGCTTCGGTTTTATTTTCTGGTGTTATTTACAGGTATCTGCAATGCATTTTCTCTCCTCATTGTTGGAGGCTGCGTCACATCGGTTGGTCTTAACCACTATCATCGGCTCCTTGACTCCACGGATGTTTCTTCTGTTGTTTATCCTCGATGGAACTGTTGGAGTTTGGGATGTCCTTAAAGTGCAAATCGCACTTATTGCCTGGATTATGGTAGTGCTACTCCTACTTGGTATAGCTTTGGTGGCTTGCCCACCACCATTTTCTGTTGATCACTGGTATTTCCTTGGTGGGTGTCGGCTAGCTATGGTGGCGCGGCTTGTTAATGTAGGATTGTGCGGCATTTGTCCGTTAATGGTGTTAGGGTTTTCTAATGTTGTGCTGAGCTTTGTGGGCTTTTGCATTTTGTGGGTTTTATACCTTTATGTGGGCCCTTCGCCTCTATGTGGGCTTTATGCTTTTATGTATGCCTTATGCATTTTGCTAGTTTTATTTATAGTGGGCTATGTCTGTATGCGTTGCATTTTGTGTGAACTCAATTATTTGAGTTCATTTTGATGTAATATGGCATTTGACCTTCTATTAAATGAAACAAGATTTCGTCCAAAAAAAATAAATATAATTATAATTAAAAAAATTACAAAATGCCATATTTCAAGAATCTTACCTTTGCTCCATCCCAAAGCCGGACAAGTTTGCTTTCCCTCATTTTTAGTTTAGAAAGCAAATGTGGTTCAAAACTTGATGGGAGCGATTTGGAAGGATACCGACTCCAACGGATAATTCTTAAGGAATTTGGAAGAAATTTAGGGCCTGAAGAAAACATCACATTATCAAAGTGAAGGAGCCTTAACCCGTGCATCTCATTGAAGGCTTCAGTACAATTCCAGGGCACTTCTTCTAATTTGGGCAGAGCTAGGACCATGCCTTCAATTGCTCCTGTTCCCTAATATATATAATTAAGAAAAAGGAAAAAGTTAATTCATCTCATCTCATTAAAGTCTAATATCTCTAAATAACTTCTCATTTGAAAAATGGCATATATTTTGGTCCAAGTATATATAGTATCTCTAAATAACTTCTTACCGTATTGTTCATGAATACATGAGAAATGTCACTGTGATGCCACAAAAGACTGCGTTTACTAGGCTCGGGAGACTCTTCACGAACAATTTTCCATGCCATTTCTTGTATCAAATCATGCATCTCAACAATGTTGCTACGAAAGTGGCATTTCTCAATAGTTAAGAGAGATTTCTCAATAGAATATCTATCTCAATATGACTGGAAATGTCAAGGATACAGTCTAGTATTTGAATTACTTGCTCTTTATTCTTCCCTCTATGGAGACACGCAACATGTAGAAAAATTTTCTTCTCCATCTGTTTTAGTCCATCATAACTTACTTTGAGTGAATCAAAAATATCTGGATCAGGAATTTTGTTTAGATTATGCAACACACTCTTCCACGCATCATGATCTCTCCCATACAAAGCACGCCCCAAAGTTTTAAGAGCTAATGGAAGGCCTTTGGCATAATCTAGGAAATGCCGAGACAGTTCCTGAAAACCTTCCTTAGGCTGATCTTTCTTAAAGGCATGTCGACAAAAGAGCTCAAGAGCTTTATCATCCTTTAATACAACGACCTTATACAGTTTCTCTATACCATGCTCAACCAGTAGACGCTCATCCCTAGTTGTGATGATAATTCTACTCCCCACACCGAACCATTTTTTATTTCCAACCAGTTTTTCTAATTGGTTTAGTTGACCCACATCATCAAGCACGAGAAGAACCTTTTTATTCCATAAACGGTTTCTGAATGAAAAGGGTTCCGGCTTCTTCATCCCCAACATAGGCAACATTTTCTTTCAAGATTGGGAAAAGAATTTGTCTTTGTAGATTAACTAGACCACCTTGTTTTCCAGAAACCTCTCTCACATTAGATAGAAACCAGCTAAGTTCAAAATGATGGGAAATTCTCTCGAAAACTAGCTTAGCAAGGGTTGTTTTGCCTACCCCGCCCATCCCCCATATCCCTATAAAGCGAACATCATTATCTTTGGGAGCTAATTGCAAATGTAGTTGCTCAAGTGCAGAATCAATTCCGACTAACTTGTCTAGAGAACCTGACAGCATGAACGTTGGATGCACTTTCCTAAACACACATTTGACAATGTGTTTAATAAGCTCTGCTTCCGACCTACCAGGAAGAAATATAAAATAACCATTAATTCATAAATATAACATCCAAGGTTATTGATTAAGGCAAGAACTGAAACGTAACATCCAAGTAGAGCTCTTGTTAAGAAACAAGCAAGTTGTTAATCCATGCATGCTTACGGATAATTCTTTGAATCCCACCCAGAGATATTGGCTATTTTTGTTAAAGCAGCTCTCCACCGATTCACCATCTCTACATCTCCACTAAACTCTTCATGCTTTGAATCCCACCCGAAGAGATTGGCTACTTTTCTTAAAGGAGCTCTCCACCAATTCACCACCCTAAACTTTTCTTCATGCTTAGTGAAGGCTTCCGCAAAAATCCCCCTTTGATTTCGTACATCGGAAGGATCCACGTGATAAAAGATTGGCAGAATTCTCTTGGTGTCTTGCATGCATTCAAGAATCTTGGAAAGTTCATCCAAGCACCAGGCGGAAGAAGCGTAATTTGGGGAGAGAATAATGATGGCGAGATGCGATTCTTTGACTGCGGTCAATAACTCCGGAGAAATAGTTGCTCCTATTTCAAGGTCTCGGTCGTCCTTGAAAGTTTTAATTGCTTGCCAGTACTGCAGTTCATGGTATAAATGGGATAGAAAACCACTGCGAGTGTCTTCACCCCTGAAACTCAAAAAGACATCATGCTTCCAATGGGGAGGAGCCCATTCAGCTGAAGTACGAGATGTAGAGGCTCTTTGGGTGCTCAAGGCCATGAGAAAAAGACAGTTCCTGGAAATATGGTTCGGCAAACACTCAGGAAATACATAAAATGAAAATGGTAGCTTTAATTTTTATTTTGGGTAATTGAAAAGAGAAGAAGGGAAGAGAGCAAATACCTAGCAAAACAAACTAGAGATTAATGAAATGGAAACGTAACAACTCAAACAACAGCTTAGCGGCGATGGGGGTTTGAAACTAGAGTCAGCAATTCCAAGATCGCCACTCTGATACCATGCTAAAATATGAGAACTGTGAGAGAATATTTGTTTGTGAGAATTTTCTATGTATTCTTCTCCTTGTAGGAGGTTATATTTATAGTACAACGAAACTTTAATGGGCAGGTAAATAATAAATTCCTATTTCTATTTACGATAAGAAAGCAGGAATTAAAGTAAATCAATTATAATTATAATAGGAATTCTTAGTGTGAAAAAAACGTAAGTCAATAGTCTACAAGTCACGCCAACAAAACACACCAACTCGAACAATATCTCAGCAGAACAACAAATTAACAAATCACAAAGCCAGAGAATTGGCAAGAAAACAACCACAAGAACCAATCCCTTCAAAAACCCACCCAAAAAAAACAGAGAGAGGGTAGTGAACACACTTTCTATTTTTTTCTGTGGGTGGTAGAGCCCGTGGGTCTGGTGTCTTTTCTTTTCTTTTTTGCAATAAAAAGATAAACTTCAATTCATGAATGAAACCACCAATTTTATTCAATCCGAAGACAAAGCCACCAATTTTCCCTTTTTCTAATTAATATCATAGCGCAAGTCAAAAAATGAAATTTTCCATGTGGTGGCAAAACAATTTGCACAGGAAAGAGACTCAAAAGACAGGACAAAAAACTAAAGAAGCGAGGAAATCCCCAAGAAAGAGCTTACCCGTAAGCGAGAGGGAGAGAGATGGAATACCGCGTCGTGGTGACCAAATTGGAAACATTGTCAAAGGGTGAATGATTTCTTTTTTGACCCAAGAAAAGTATGGATGTGTACCAAACTCCATACTTTGGTAGGTAGTTACTATCCATATTATACGTGAATAATAGATTTCAAAAACATTATAAAAGGTTTAATTGGATGAAGCGATTTCTAACTCTAGAAATTCAGATGACATTATAAAGTTAAATTGTTTGTTTCGATTATTACAATTCATGTATCCTAAATGTCTAGTTGCATTAATATTTTCATGTGTACAAAAAAAGGCATATTGGAGTCCAACCGCACTATCTATAAAACAGTTATTTTTATTATTATTGATGTTTCACCTTTTAAGATCTCTACTTATTAATGATTAATAATACATTTTTTTATAACTATAATTCACTAATGAAACCATGAAAGAAAGAAAACTCTAATTAATTATTAAGAACGATTCAATACAACAAACAAACGATCAATAATGAAACATTGATGTGAAGGAAGTTGAGGTTCCTTCAAGCCTAACACGTGGACAACACATATTGGGTGACATGGGAGCATGTGTGGCCGTTAGGCCCAACACGTGAAGCCTTGCTTTGGTACCATGAAGGAAGTTGAGGTTCCACTCCAAAACCAATTGGCAATGGATGGAGTAGCCCGACTCCTTATAAACCAAGGCTTGGTCCCTTAACTTTTCAATGTGGGACAAACACTCTCAACATGATGCACACTGTAAATATAAGTTCCTCAACCAAATTCTCTAATCATCATCATAGCAAACCAAAGTAAACTCTCTAGACTGGCCTTCTACCTACCCTTGTGGTTAAGTGCGCTTGCACTAACTCCTAGTGGTCTTGGGTTCAAAGGTTGGTACCACATTCTCTACAAAACCCAAAAAGTGAACTCTCCAGAGAGAAAAAATTATATTATGTGGTGGTGCCAAAACAATTTCCACTGAAAACAGAGCCAAAATACAGGGCTGGAAATTGAAGAAGAAACGAAGAAATATCCCAAGAAAGAGTGAACACGTCCAATGACCACAAAAGTCAAGGAAAAAAAAGGAAAGGAAGGAAAAACGTGAAATATACTGCCAAAGTGATGACCAAGACCAACAATGTGAAATGAAATTTCAAGGCAAAAGTGATCTGGTCCAAGCAAGTTCCCAACTTTGGTTTTATTTTTCTAGAGAGGAAGATATTTACATGACATCTTGAAGCAGTCCACTTTAATTGTGTCCCCGATATGGTCCAAACAAGTTCCTTCTCTGTTTCCAGAAATGATAATTCACTAGTTTTATTTTATTTTATTTTTCATATAAGCTGTTTTCTTATTTTGTTGGTGTTTTTTATTATATATATACCTACCTACCTTCCAAGTAATAGTTTTTTATTTTATTTTATTATTTTTTTCTTAAAATTTTATCTTTTTATCGCTTTCTGATGACCTTCATGAATGACCTGCAATGATTAAACTTATCATATTCGGAAGATTCATATGTGACCCCAAAAATAAATTTAAAGGAAGAAAGAAAAAAGGCACTGCTTCAGATCATATGTGACTTAAAATCCACAAAGTTGGGAACTTTATGATATCATGTAAGAAAAAAAAAAAAAAAAAAAAAAAAACTAATACTACTAGCAATTATTGAAACCACAGATAAGTTGAATGGCTATTAAAGTGAGTTGAATGGATATGAACATCATGTGTGATGCCAAAACAACTTCCATAGGAAAGAGACCGAAGAAGAAATGAGGAGCTCCCCAAGAAAGAGCTCAACACGTCCAATATTCAGGATAAGGGTCGAGGTGAAAAAAAACAGAAAAAGAAAAAGAAAAACATGAAAGTGTTTTACAAAGTGAAAGGACTAATGTTTTCCACCAAAAAAGTCAAAGGAAATTTCAAGGAAAGCTTCCGTGGTTTGGGATGTGTCATTTTTCTTTGCCTTTTTCTTTTCCTACTAAAGTGACTGGCTTTGGTCTAGTCCATGTTTGTTTGCACAGGAAAGTTCAAATAAAAGACAGAGGAGAGGGCGCTGTAGAGGTGGAAAACCGCGTCACCCCACTATAGAAAGGAAATAATGAGAATGACTATGTTTTCCACAACACCCCGTTGAAACTTCCTTGCTGGGATGCGTTCTCTTTCTTCTCACCAGAGTGATTGTGTCCTGTTTTTTTACTTTTTATTTCCTTTCTCAAGCTTACTGATGCCAAGGGAATTGAACACATAATATTAATTGTTGAGTTAATGGCCTGAGTTATAATTAATTGCGCTCTTAGTTCAGTTTTGATATTAGAATATTTAACAAACCCAATTGTGTAGTTGCGTTATTACTTATCTGAGTACAAAAAGAAAGGGTATTGGAGTTATAATGGGACTCCCGCACTATTTTATTATTATTATTTTTTTTAACATTGGAGGAAAGAAACTCTACTAGTTTCTTGGGAGGAGGAATCCTCATTATTTTTTTTTAACATTGGATTTGGGCTTCTTGGGGAGGAGGAATCCTCCACCATTGGATTTGGGCTTCTTGTTTGTTTTGTTGGTTTGGAAGTTTGTTGTTTTGTTTTGTCCCTGATATGTAGTTGTCTGCTTGTTGCTTCTCCTATTGCAAAGATGGTGTTGGGCTTTATCTGTAACCATTTGTTATGAATGAAAGTCCAGTTTTGAAAAATATATATATCCCCTAGGGAAACACATGGAGATTGATTTTGTCATAAAATTTATCAAACCGTTTACTCCATGTTCTTGTCATAAGATTTTTAATTTATATTATTTCACCAATTTCATTAATTAACTTTAAAAAACTTAGTAATTTGAGGATCAAGCATATTGATCCACACAAAAATCCACGTAATTTTATATTATTTCCCGTTTAGTCTAACGCCAAAAAAATTCACAAGGACTCTTTTCATTGAAGAACTCTTGGCATCGCCGCCGTCCTTTTGCACCCAGCAACCCCATTCTTTTAGATAAACAGATCTGAAACCAAAATGAAATTTTAAGAATGGAAGAGAAGCCAGCAACCCCATTCTTTTGCACCACCAGTGCTTTCAATCAAAGACTCTTAAAAACCTGTCCAAGAAATCTCAAAAGTCCCCACGCCATTACTATAGATACACCTGTCCATTTTTAAGTAACATTAAAAACCTCACATGTGAAGAGCTCATAGTCCTGTCCTAAAACACAATAATTCGACCCAAAAAAAGTCCTACAACACAATATGCTGGGGCCCAATATCAGAGTTGTGAAGGAAGTTAAGGTTCTACATCAAAATTAATTGGCAATGGGAGAGTAGCCGAACTCCTTATAAATCCAAGTTATGTCCCTTAACTTTTTAATGTAGGAAGCCTAATATGCAGACAACACATATTAGGTGACGTCAAAGAATGTGTGGTCATTGGGCCCCAACACATGAAGCCCTGATACAATGAAGGAAGTTGAGGTTCTAAGATTAGAATTACGTGACAGTTTAACTGAGACGTGTGCACAGTATATAAAGAATCATAGACTACTAGTACAAACCGAGAGGAAAGCTACATCCTCATTTGTTGTAGTCTTATGCTTTGACTACTCACTTACTGCCATTGCAGATAATGCAACAGATTCTGCCCTTCATGATCAATTTCACATTGTGAATAGGTGGAGATTCAAGACTTTTGAGTCTCATCCACCTGTGTTCTTCATCAGATGATTCAATTATCAACAGCATCCCTGTTGATAATTCTCATGAAAGAAAAACAGGATAGCGGAGATGGCTCTTGGATTGGGAGGTTTAGCTGCATTTGTCAAATAATATAAAATGGATCAATTCTGGGGTCATTGCCACAAGGAGCACAAAAGGACAAACTTGTAGAGGAGTTCCAACAAGTTTGCCACTTGCAGAGATAACAAAGGGGAGGCCAGAAAGCTTTTATGCTGACGTCCTCCATCCACCAGCCTTGCAGAACAAGCCAACACTGTTTTTCTACAACTTGAGTACCTTCCGTATTCACCAGATTTAGTAATCCCTTCATCACCATAGCCTTCAATTAAAATAAGAAAGGAAAACCATTACAAAAGATACAACATAAAGAAATAAAAAATTTATTTTCCCTTCTTTTGGTCAGAAGTCTCAGAACTATACCAACATTTTTGACACATTATTTCACTGGAGCAATAGTTTGATAATACATCATTTAATAACTTCTATAGCAATAGTTATTTTACTCGAGGCCTATATGAAGTAAATATCCTAAAGCATAGAAATTAACAAGTTAATCCAAGTCCTAAGCAAGGACCATCCACTCAGAATATATCTCGAACGTAGTACAAGGACAAACAATTTAGGAAAACACCAAAAGAAGAGGTAAGTGCAGAAGGAAAAAGGATATGCTGTTTTCTGTTAGCAACATAGGAGAATTGAGAAACTATCCATGTTAATTAACACATTGGTTGAAGTAGCACAACTTGAAGTTAAAGAAAATCTCAAATTTGGGGATGACCTGCCCAACTGTATCAAACATATACAACATGTGGAGTGGACTTGAACCTACAGCAGAAACCATTCAAGCAGAATAAGATACCTCCCAAGTTACCAACCATGTTCTAAATGCTTCAGTTACTAACCATTTCAGCAGAAACCATCCAGCAGTGCAGAGACTCAGGTTCATCAACATTAAGGCCTCTTCCAATGTTAACGAGAATACCCTTTGGAGAGCAAGCATCGATGACTTCAAAATCGACAATGTCGTTGGTCTCCTCAGAAGTGATCAGAGTTCACACAACCAACTAACTCCATGGAACTTAGATGGTATTCCTTGTACTTCAACTCTGGCTTTGCCAATTCTTCCCAAGCCAATAATGCCAACTGTTTTTCCAAGAGAACTGAAATGAAATTAAGAAAGGAAAATCATTATAAAAGATACAACATAAGCAATTAGCAATGAAAATAAGCTGATTTTACTTGACCACATTAGGCTATGTCCAGCACCTTTCAAATTTAATTATGTTAATTGCTCCACTCCTGCTAATTTTTGTTGTAAAGCTAAAACTCACATTTCCTTTTGCCGCTCCTTCTCTGTTATTCTCTCTTCCCTCATGAACTAACCACCTCTCCTTTCCTTTCCTGATTTTCTATCGAAATAAATTTAAATAACAGCAAAGATGCAAATTTACACGCCTGCTGCAAAATCCAACAGCAGCTATAATCGTAAAGCAGCAATGAGCAAGCCAAATAATGCAGCAAATTTCCTTCACTCACATTCCTTTAGAAACTCCAAGGAAAACGGCTGAATCAATAGCAGGCCTACACTTGTCCATATCTCCATATTCCTTGTAAATAACCTTAGCTCTAGAGAAATCTACCGAAGCTGTATATAATAGGAAATACTATACTCATTTCAATATAGTGGAAACAGAGGAAATATACGTACAATAATTACAATTCTCTCTGCGTCTTATTCTTTCATCCTTTTTTCCTAGATTTTTCACACACATTCTTTCTTCATTATTAACTATTTTCTCCTTCTTTTTTTTTCTTTTGGTCAGAAGACCCAGAACAATACTAACATTTTCCACACATTAATTCACTATAGCAACAGTTTGGTAGCACAGCATTGAATGGTTGCTCTGAAAATGTTCATTTACTCGAGGCCTAAATATTCTGACACATTGTTTTCTATTTCCATGGCTCTCTCTTTCCATCGCTTTCTCTCCATGGTTCTCTCTTTTCATGGCTCCCTCTATCGCTCTCCCACCACCCTATTAAGTTGATGATTGGAACAAACAATCGAGTTTGGGCAGCAGGGTCGCTCATGTATTGTTCTAATCCTTATGAGTTTTGGTTGGCTAAATGTATCGTTCCAGAACGCTAACATACCACGATTCGGTACGTGCAATCCAGTTTGAAATTCATAAGGGGGGTGAGTGATTTGGGTAACTATGGTCAGAAGACTCAGAACTATACTAACATTTTCCACACATTATTTCACTATAGCAAAAGTTTGATAGCACAGCATTGAAAGGTTGCTCTGAAAATGTTCTTGTACTTGAGGCCTATAGGAAGTAAATATTCTAACACATTGAAATGAACAAGTTAATCCAAGTCATATCCACTCAGAAAATATCTCGAACATATAAAAAGGGCAAACAATTTAAGGAAAAATGAAGTCCTGGAAGCGGAGCACAAGTTAGTTTTGTAAATCTATAGCATATTATATACATTTTAGGATTTGTTCTGTTGTTTTCTGTTTGCAACATAGGAGAAATTATCATTTTTAATTAACACATTGATAAAAGTGGCTATATGCAGGCTTAGTCCATTTTCAGACAAAACTACTTAGTAAGATTATATTCTTAGAGCACAACATTAACAGTATGCAGAAACAAGTTTATTTAAGCACAACAAGATACCTCCTGAGTTACCAATAAAACCTGATGTTCATTCAGCAGTGTGCAGTTCTAAATGCTTCAGTTGGGCAACATCTGCAAATGTTCATTCAGAGTGTGCATTTTCATGGCATACAGACACCTTACTTGTCTGTTTTCAGTACATTATCTGACACAGCAGTTGAAATAGCACAAAATTAGAGGAACACAAAATTACAGCATGTCCTGCAAACTATACAAACAGGATGTAACAAGAGAATTACTCTCTCCTCCTACCTAATATAAGAACTAAATATGATGCAATCAAATTTGAAACTTTGTGAATGCCACCAATGCATTGCTTTCTTTTCGTCAAATTTGAAGCTAGATGAGAGACAGGTATTATTAAATACTTCAATACGACCAATTGGACCTGCCTCGTCACAGTACATCAAACGGCTGAATTCTTCCAAATCTCTCTTGTACACCAAACGGGCCCTACATTCCTTTATAATCGAGCTTGTTTTGAGCTCTTTCAAACCTCTAATTGAAGAATAATGCGTTACGAACGAAAACCGATGACTGGTTGAGGCATCCGTGAGGCTTGGATGATCGCGAGGCAAATAAAAAACACCAAGGTGTTCTGACGAAATCATCCAAATATCTTTTAGAAAGACTTGAAGGTCATCCAAATATCTCTGAGATGATCGAACTTCAATTTTTAAATCCTCATATCCAAGAAGGGATGCGGGACTATCAAAATATTCAGAATCATCAAAAACAACACATAAAGCAATCCCAACCCAGTCGCTGCTATTTGATGGGTGTGGAGGGAGAGGCAGCTCCACAGTTATTGAATCTCCCACACTTGGATTACCAGACAAACGTTTCAGATCCATGGTGTTCTGAAAAAGGACCTTAAGACTGTAATGAGTAGCATCATTAATAGCATGGCTTCAACCCTTGGCGCCTGTGGTGATCTTAACAGAAATGTTCTTGCTCCTCCTGCTCCAATACAAAGAAAAGATTACCTTTTCGCACAGCAGACTGCAGAGAACATTGCAGCACAGCTACTCATTACAGTCTTAAGGTCCTTTTTCAGAACACCATGGATCTGAAACGTTTGTCTGGTGGTCAAACGAAGTGAACCAATTCCAAACTTATCGGCAAGATCATCCATGGTCAAGTATAGTTGGTTTGACACTTTTCCACAAGGGTTCAACCTATATGTTGGTGGTGGTATGGGAAGAACGCATAGGTTGGAAACCACTTTTCCCCGTTTGGCTGAACCACTTTTCTCCGTAAGGTCCAAATATCTCAGCTTTTTTAGAACTGCAACATAGGGGTGAACCTCAACTAAACTCGTACAAAAATCTAGCCACAAAATCTCAAGATTTGGAATGCCTGTGAAATCTGGGGTACTTGTCAATTGATCAGAGTAACTAAGGTCCATAAATTTCAAGTTTGGCAAGACCTGTACAGTACATAAAAATTGTAAAATAATAATTTAAAATAAACCCTTACTTAGTTGAACAAGTTACAATTATATCCAAATTATGTATATATAAAAGAATTCTAAAACGCCATATTTCAATAATCTCTCACCTTTGCTCCATCCCAAAGACGGGAAACTTTGCCGTCCCTCATGTTTGGTTCAACAAGGAAACGTGGTTCGAAACTTGATGGGAGTGATTTAGAAGGGTACCAACTCCAACAGATAGTTCTTAAGGAATTTGGAAGATCTTTGGGGGCTGAAGAAACGATCACATTATCAAAGTGAAGAAGCCTTAATCCGTGCATCTTAGAGAAGGCTGCAGTATAATTCCAATTCACCTCTTCTAATTTCGGCAAACGCAAGCCAATGGCTTCAATTGCTCCGGTTCCTAATAATTAAGAAAAAAATGAAAAGGTAATTGCACATTCAAGTCTAATATGTTTTAAAAGAAATTACATATATTTTCTTCCAAAAATAATATTTCTACATAGCTTCTTACTGTATTGTTTATGATAACACGAGAGATATCATCGTGAAGCCACAAAAGACTTCGTTGACCAGGCTCTTGGATACACTCTTGACGAACAATTTCCCATGCCATTTCTTGTATCAAATCATGCATCTCAACAGTGTCGTTCCGAGAGTCTAATTGCAAATGTAGTTGCTCAAGGGCAAAATCAATTCCGACTAACTTCTCTTGAGAATCTAACAACCTAAATGGAGTAACTTTGGTCCACACACGTTTGACAATGACTTTGATAAGCTCTCTCTACAAGGAAGAAAAGTGAACTAACTATCAGGAGGGTACACATTACATATAATTAACAAGGTGTTGCATCAAATGAAGAACTAAAACTTAGCATCCAAGTAAAGCCCTCTAAATTTGTTAAGAAATGGGCACGTTTCATGCATGCATGCTTACTGATAATTCTTTGAATCCAACCCAGAGAGATTGGCAACTTCTTTTAAAGCATCTCTCCACTGCTTCACCTTGTCTACATCTTCACTGAACTTTTCTTCATGCTTAGTGAATGCTTCCGTAAAACTCGCCCTTCGATTTCGCACATCATAAGGATCAACCTCATAAAAGATTGGTATAATTCTCTTGCTGTCTTTCATGCATTCAAGAATTTTTGAAAGTTCATCCAAGCACCAGGTGGAAGAAGCGTAATTTGGGGAGAGAATAATGATGGCAAGATGTGATTGTTTGACTGCGGTCAACAGCTCCGGAGAAATACTTGCTCCTATTTCAAGGTCTCTGTCGTCCTCGAAAGTTTTTATTGCTTGCCAGTACTGCAGTTCGTGGTATAAATGAGATATAAAACCCCTGCGCGAGTGTCTTCTCCCCTGAAACTCAAAAACACATCATGCTTCCAATGTGGAGGAGCCCATTCAGCGGAAGTACCAGATGTAGAGGCTCTTTGGGTGCTCAGGGCCATTGGAAAAGAAAAACAAGCCATATAAATCAGGTAGCTTTAGTTTATTTTTTGGTAATTGAAAATGTATTGAGCAAATACCCAGCAAAACAAACTAGAGATCAATGAAAAGGACACATAAACTCTAACAATAAGCTCAGCGAATTGGCAGGAAAAGAACCAACCGAAAAAAAAACAAGATGCAAAGTTGACTGTCTGCAGAAGACAAAAAGGCACTGAAAATACTCAATACGAAAGTTGTAGGCAATATATAGATGAAAAAGAGAGGGGATGTAGGAAAGGAAATAATGGAAGAGGGAGATAGAAAGACAGAGATGGAAAACTGTGTCCGCGTATTGACCGTAGAAAACCGCACACGGTTTCAATTGGAATCTAAAGTCAATAAGAATATTTAACTGTCAAATTGCATAGGCAATAATAAATTAAAGGTAAGTTAGGTGGCTATTAAAAATAATACAAATTTATAAATAAACTCAATCTTAGACATGTATTTATAAAAAAACCAAGCACTATTTAAACATAGAAACACACCCAAAATCAACCCCAAAATCAACAATTGTATATTTTTTGGGTGTGTTTATAAATGGGTTTTGAGTGTGTGTAATGATGGGTTTTGGGTGTGTTTATAAAGTGTTTTAGGTGTTGGGTTTTTTTATAATTTCAGCTCCCATTTTGGGTGTTTTAGTGAAACTCCCTTAAAATAATCTCGGTCAGCCAAATTTTGCAATCATCATCATAGCACAAGCCATAAAATAATTAAACTAGAGAGCCAAAAGACATAGCAAGAAACTGAAGAAACAACAAGGAAATCCTAAACAAAGAGCTGAACACTTCCAATACCCACATAAGGTCAAGGAAAAAAGAAAGGAAAAACCTGTACTACCATAGTTGTTATAAACTTCTAAGAAAGTTCCCAACCCTTTTATTTGAGAAAAATATTCCCATCTTTCGTTTTTATTTCTCTTAAGTCCTGTTTGGTTCACGGAACGGATTTGAGGGAAAATCATTTATCAAGGAATGGGAAATGAAGATTCATTTATCATGTTTGGTAATCCTGAGAAAGTAATCAAGAAGTACCACTTTATTTCCTTTCACATATTTGGTTTGTGTATGAATGCAAAACAAAGTTTGTTTAATTTTCCAATTATACCCATATGAAATCAAATAAAACAAGAATGCATCTAATGCTATATTATAATTCTAAATTGTTAACGGGTACAATATGGTCATGAAATATGTGCATTTAATGTTGACTCATTTTTCCAAACTTTCCCTTGAGGAGGAAAACAAAACCCAAGTGGGGAGGAGGGCTTCACTTTCCCCCCTACTTTCCAATGTACAAGGCAACGATTTCTCATGCATGGACTTACCAAACATAAGAAAGTAATTGATTTCCCATCCCCAATCCTCCTTTCCTATGAAATTTTGGCAATCAATTGGAAGGTGACATGTATAAAAGGGAATATGCCCTAGGTTAAATACTTATGCCAATTATATATCATTTAATTAGCTAATTATCTTGACTTAAAATGAGAATATTTTCCCTAAATCAAAGAATTTGAATGACATCAAATCTCCTTGATACACTCTACATCCTTATTCAAGAGAGAGAATAATTAATTATTCTCACAAATCCTACCAAAGATGGACTCTATATAAAGACAAGTTATCTACACACATGAGGTAATTCTAAACCTAATTTCGATAACCCTAGTACAAACACAAGGCTCACGCCTCCTCTCTCTCTCTCTCTCTCTCTCTCTCTCTCTCTCCTCTCTCTCCTCTCTCTCTCTCTCTCGGCTCCGCCGACCCTCCCTCTCGCTCTCGCCTTCGGCCAACTCTCTCTTCTTCTTGGAGTCCCCAAAAAGCAAACTCCATACCTTTCTGTTTTATCTACATCTCATGAGACCATATACTGACTTAGTCATCGGAGGGCCCTTGGGCCACCACCACACTGGTGTTCTCCGATTGACCACCGTTGTTTTGTAGATTTAGAGGAAGAATTCAATCAAGAGCAAGGAGGATCTTCAATGAATATTCTCACAGGAGGAAATTTGCCCAAATAGATGTTGTACCACCTACTCTGACTGCATTTATTTTTATTTTTTTGACAAAGCAATATTCTAAACTACTCAAATGTGTGGTGAGGGGAATCGAATTCAAGTGCCCTCCGACACTTTTGTTTTTTATTTTTTGGTAAAGAGATATTCTAAATTACTCAAATAGTACAATGAGGGGATGTATGGTACGATCGTAATGAGACTTTTTAAAAAGAACAATGTATGGTGCAATTTATGTAACTCATAATATACACAATTTTTGTGAAAACGAGTCTCAATTTGAGCTAGCGTTTAAGGAACTGTTTAAGAGGGATTAATTTGTTAGTGAGGCCATGCTTACTAGTTATAGTCTAACAGTGGACTTGGCCAAAAAATTAAGCACTATTACATGCAAAACGATGCTTTACATGCAGCTCTCCTTGCTAATATAATTGCATTCACATAACAAATTCATTTTGCAAAATCAATCCTTGTTGGGAGGCTCTTCTCCACGTTTGCTTACACTACTACAAAAAGCAAAAAAGACGACCAGAAAAAAACGACGGTTTAAGGGAAAATTGTCGTTGTATTTGAAAAGACGACGGTTTTATAAAACTGTCGTGTAAGAATAACTTAAACACCTAAAAAATGAAGATTACAATGGTTGTTTTTAAAAAACGACACACCTAATTAAAAAAGTGACGTCTTATTGAAAAAAGTGAACTATGAGCCCACAAACAACGGCAAAAAGTATGAATAGACCGACGTAGAAAGTAAAGATGATGGTGTAAAAAACAGCCGCCGTTTTTACTCCGTAATTAACACGACCAAGTTTTCGTATACGGTGACGTATAATTTCCAACAAATCTACGTCGGTATATTACAAAATACCGTTGTATTAAATAAATGTACAATGATGGCAAAGATAAATTTATCGACTTATTTATTGTATAGTACTACGACGGTATCTTTAACTCTAACCACGTTGGTTTGTTCAATTAACGACGTATAATAAAATTTACCATCGTATTTATTCACTTTATACGTCTACCATTATATCTAAACCGTCGTCTTTATAATATTATTTTTTACTATTTATTTCTTGGATTTTGGTATCCTACAACGGTAGACCAACTTAATGACAAGAATTGTAATAACCACGACGGTTTATATAGAAAACCACCGACAGAATCATATTTTTCTAAGATCCCAAGAGATACGTCGTGACCACAACTCTGAAAACATCATGTTTCCATCGAGGAGGAGCCGATTCAGATGAAAGAGATGCAGAGGCTCTTTGGGTGCTCAAGGCCATTGGAAAAGACGGTTCCTCAAAATCTGGCTTTGAACACACTCAGTAGAAACATAGAAAGAAGATGGTATAGTGCTAGCTTTAATTTTTCTTTTGGTAATTGAAAATGTATTAAGCAAAAGAGAATAAAGAAAACAAACTACAGATCAATGAAAAGGAAATGTCAACTGTGGACAATAAGCTCAGCAGACCACCAAAACAATCACAAAGCCAGAGAATTTGCAGGAAAAGAACCAACCCAACCAAAAACAAGATGCAAAATTGACTGTCTGCAGACAAATAGAAAACAACACACAGAAAATAATCAATTCGAAAGTTGTAGGAGTAGATGAAATAGAGAACGAAAATACTTGCCTTATTTTTCTGTCGATCACAATTTAACACGGTACATGTATGCAAAAAATAATTCAGAACTTTTAGTCACCCTTGTAGTAAAGAGGCACTATGAAGACAACAAAGATGCACTAATGGGGATAACAAAGAGGCAATATGAGAGGAATGGGCTATTATTGAATAAATGTTTTGAAAATGTTTATTTTAGCACAACCCAAAAATAATTAATGAAAACACAATAGAGATAATGAAAGCAGGGTAGGGCACGTAGGAAAGGAAATAATGGAAGAGACAGAGACAGAGACAGAGACAGAGAGATGGAAAACTCTGTGTCCGCGTGGTGGTGTTGACCAAAGAAAACCACACACGGTTTCAATTGGAATCTAAGTCAATAATAAAGTTTAACTATCATCATCATAGTACAAACCATTAAAGAATCAAACCAGAGAGCCCAAAGACAGGGCAAGAAATTGAAGAAAAAACAAGATTCCAAAGAAAGAGCTGAACACGTCCAATACCCACACAAAAGGTCAAGGAAAAACGTGACTACCAAAGTGTTACAAACTTCTAAGCAAGTTACCAATTTTATTTTTTTTTAAAGAAAACTATCCCCATCTTTCGTTTTTATTTCTTTGAAGAGGATGTTGTGCCACCTACTCCCACTGTTTTTATTTTTATTTTTTGACAAAGTAATATTCTAAACTACTCAAATGTACAATCAGGAAATCGAACTCATGTGCCCAACCTGACACTTTTTCTTTTTATTTTTTGATAAAGCAATATTCTAAATTACTCAAATATATGGAGAGGGAAATTGAACTTGAGTGCATACTCCGACAATTTTGATTTTAAAACATATATGCACGCAACTGTGTAGTTGCTTAAACCTCAAAAATCTCTCCATTTGATTTTAAGTCCTAACTTCTTACTTCTCCTCCTCTTCTTAAATTGGTTGGTTTTGATTTCTAAATACTCTAACAAGACTTTTTAAAGAGAACATCATATGGTACGATTTATGTAACTCATAATATACATGATTTTTGTCAACACGAGTCTCATTTTGAGCTAGCTTTTAATGAACTGTTTAAGAGGGATTAATTTCTGAGTTAGGCCATGTTTACTAGTTACAGTCTAGCAGTGGACTTGGCCAAAAAACTTAAGCACTATTACATGCAAATTGATGTTTTACATTCAGCTCCCCTTGCTAATAGAATTGCATTGACATAACAAGTCAACTTTGCAAAATCAAAGAAATCCGAGTTGGGAGGCTCTTGTCCACTTTTGCTTACCCAACTTAATTCTTCCGGTTTTTACGAGTACAGTTCTGATTTTTTTTTCCCCCCAGAAAACTTGACAGACTCAGATATTTCTTGGAATTCCCTAACAGGAATTTCTTGTTTGTTTGCGAACATTTCCAAAATAAGAACAAATAATAACAAAGAATTGAGGGTATAAAGAACATTAGAGATCAAAAATATTTAGCAGTATAAGGCAATGTCAGGAATTTGCAACATCTTAAACACTGACAAATTTTCACTCAAAATTCTAAACACGCTGTAATTTATCCTGAACCAAATAGCATCAATGAACAGCCTTTTAAAAATAAATTCTTGAGGATTAAGATTAGAATTATGATGGGTTAAGGTTCAACCCCTTTATATGTAACGAAAAGAATCATATAACAAATTGATGTTTTTTCAATGCAAGTTAGGATATAAGTTGAAGCAAACTTGTAAATTCTGAAAGCAAACAAAATCGCAACAAATCCTTCCTATACCTACTATCATGTGAGATTCACAATGCTCAGAGAGTTTAACTGAGACTTGTGTACTTATATATTCGGAATAGACACTAACACAATTGCCAAACTCACTCTGCGTTTTCTTCGGGTTACATCTCCAGTCGGTACTGTCATAAGAAGATGTTTTGATCCTCTCTTCCTGCTGTTGCAGAGGATGCAATATATTCAGATCAGTCATCATCATCCTCATTTGTAGTACCATAATGTTAAAGGGAACAAAATTCATGTTCATGTCAGTAACACAAATGTAAAGCGCCCTCATGCATACGAGAACACATGATGTGCCGGATGGTCAGGAAATGTCTAACTGCAGTAATTTGAATGCTTTCTGGCAGATGACAATTACAGAAAGAACCTGAAAATTCAGAACCTAAACTAAACAATTAATATCAAGAAGGCCAAGTGTTAACTTAGCAGCCATGTCACCATTAACCCCAGGAGACACTATAATTCCCATTTGCATAATGATGCGGATCGGCCTATGTTATGGAATAGACCGGTGTAGCCAATTTAGTCAAATACTATCTGAACAATGGAATGGCCTTTCAATAGGAATGAATGTATTCAATTGCTGTACATTCCTTTAAAGCCAAACACCAGTCAAGAATATACTATATTAGTGATAATTTTCAAATCGCTTTTCATCTCGACATGCCATCTTTATAGTAAACACTAAGCACAGGTCCAGAAGTTACAAAACACAGTGATCAAGGGTAAATGCAAGGCAAATGGTAATCAGACATTTGTTCAACCAGTAAAGCTAGGCACAGTAAGTACGGATGCGTAATACAATAACTGCAGAGCTCCATGTAACCGAAAAAAATAAAGCAGAACTCTCATGCACACTGAAATACTAACCATCCTTGTACGGAAAGAAACACTTTTCTTAAGAACACCACTCTCTGGCATTCTGGAACATCCGCAACCATGGGCTAGGGCCTTTCTTGTCCACATCCCACTGCTGGGGATACCATGGGAATTGCCACATTAAGAAGCAACGCTCTGGATGAGGCATCATCGCAAGATGCCTCCCATCTGGGGAACAAATTGCCGCAACTCCCAAGGGAGAGCCATTGAGGTTGAAAGGGTAAAGTTCTGTCTCGTTACCATCATCATCACAATATCTTACTGGTGCCAACTTTGAGTGTAGCACACGATCAAGAACACCGTCATCGGGGAAATATGCTCTTCCCTCACCATGGGCAGCCCACACACCTAATGTACTGCCCTCCATTCCTCTAAACATTATAGCAGGCGAATCCTTTATTGTCACACTGGTGAACCGGCATTCAAACCGTCCCGACTCGTTGTGAATGAACCTGGGTTGTGAAGGATCCCCACCACCACCTAACGCTCCTCCAACTTGAGGACCTGGAACCCACCCCAAAAGAGCCATAAGCTGACAGCCATTGCAAACACCAAGACTAAAAGTGTCTGGTCGCTTGTAAAACTCCTGAAATTGATTTAGAAGGGGCTGATTAAATCGAATGGAAGCAGACCAACCCTTTGCAGAATCGAGCACATCAGCGTAGCTAAAACCTCCAACAAACACAATTCCACGGAATTCATGCAGTGATATGGATCCATTAAGAAGGTCTGACATTGTAACATCCCATGGTTCAAAACCAGCAGCATAAAATGCTGCAGCCATTTCTCTGTCCCCATTGCTGCCTTCTTCTCGAATTACAGCCACTTTGGGTTTGCATGCAATGCTCATATACTTTTCATCTGTGAAAGAGGGAGTGAAAGACAATTCCCATGAAGGCTCATGCCTATCTTTCAACCCTTCTTTCTCTAGATCCACACAAGAAGCCAATCTTTGAAATTTTTCCAGCTGAAAACTAGTTTCCTCCCACAAGTCCCTCAGGGAAGAAGTACTCCCATTCAAATGTGTTACCCCATCGACCTTTAATTCTATTGAGGGTGTGGCACTAACTTGTCCAAGGATCTCAGCAGAAATACTTTCACTGCTTAGTTTTTCCATTACCAAATCCAAATTTTCCCTGCTTACCTCGATAATCAGACCAAGTTCTTCAGCAAAAAGTGTTTGGAATAGGCCCTTCCCATGTGAAGTCAAGTCCAAGGTAATGCCACGATTCCCAGAAAATGCCATTTCAAGGGCACAGACCAATAGCCCACCATCACTAATATCATGACCAGCAGAGATCAATTGGTCAGCAAGAAGGACCTGAACTCCTTCAAAAACTCGCTTAAGATAACGAACATCCTCAATGTCAGGACACTGTTTCCCAATTTGGTCAAAAACCTGAGCAAGAGCAGACCCACCTATCCTCCGCTTTCCCTTTGCCAAATCAATGTGAAGCAGCACACCATCATCCCCGAGCTTTAAATCGGGGGTTACTGTTTTTGTTATGTCAGGACAAGTACAATATACACTCATTACAAGATTGCCAGGAGCCTTAATAACCTCACCTGCAACATGAGCTGCCATGGAAAGACTGTCCTTCCCGCCATCAATAGCAATGCCAAGTTCAATCATAGCATCTGATAGAGCTATAGCAGCATCATACATAGCTGCTCCTTCTCCATCAAGCTTGGCCGCATACATCCAATTTCCACTTGCTTTAACATCAGATAGAGAAGTGACCTTTGCCCAAACAAGATTTGTCAGTGCTTCTCCAACAGCCAATCTCGCCATTGCTTTTGGATCCAGCAAACCTTTAATTGGCTGCTCCCCAATGGCACATGCACCTCCAGTCAAGTCAGTAAAAGTCTGAGCGATTACAGCAACATCAGAAAGTGGAATTTGTAGGGGGCCAACAGTTTGCTGCTGTGCTACAAGACCAGTAACACACCTGTCTACTTTTGATGTCAAGAAGCGCTTTGAACAAACAGATGGAAGTCTCAATACCCTCTTAAGAGAATCCATCACTGTGACTCCAGGAGCAATATCAAGTGGCTCTCGTGCATCTGCCATCCGGTGGAATTCAAAACTTTTTTGTGGCATATCACCAAGTACTTTCTCAAGCTCCAAATCGACTGCAGGAGGAGGGGGAGGGAGTCCACTGGATTGACACTTCTGAATGGCTACGCTATCAATTAAAACAACACGCCCCTCACCATTTATTGTTCCAATTACAGCCATAGAAACCCTTTCTCTTTCACATATTGATTGCAAGAGGCTGCGGCTTTCAGGCTTCACCAAGATTGCATCTTGCTCCTGATATTCTGCACCCCATATCTCCAAGACAGACATTGTGTGATCACCAACCACAATTGCTCGGATATCAATCTGGCCACCCTTTGGATATATAATTTCCTTAACAACGTTGCAGTTTCCACCAGCTCCCTGATCATGAATGCTAATGATTGGGTTATCCTCCCCCATCTCTATGCAGGCACGAACCACACGATAAAGTTTTTGTGCCATCTCCGCATCTCCTCTCTGTACAGCATTAAAATCAAGCTCCACATCATTTTGGCCACTAACCATGCTTGATGCAGCCCCACCCCCCATTCCAATCCGATAAGCAGGGCCTCCAATCTTTACAACCAACATTCCAATGTCAGGCTCTCCCTTTGATATATGGGTGTGATCAATCTGCCCAATGCCCCCACTAAACATGATTGGCTTCAACCATTCTCGTCTATCACCACTTGGGAGTCTCATTCCAAATGTCCTAGTGTAGCCCTGAATCAAGGGCTCACCAAATTTGTTTCCATAGTCCGATGCACCATTGCTAGCATCTATGAGTATCTGCAGAGGTGAAGCCAAATTTGATGGATATGTAAAGATGGATCTTCCCAAGGTGCATAAGAGCCCTCCATATTGAGATTCCCAACACAATAACCAGCTGTAGATGCTACAACAAAAGACCCTCTTCCAGTTGCATGGGTATCCCTAATTCGACCCCCTGCACCCGTCTCTGCACCAGGGTAAGGGGCTACAGCACATGGGAAATTATGTGTCTCGGCAGTAAATAAAATATCAAGGTCCCGAGTAGCTATGTTCAACGGACATGTTGAACCTGGCTGAACTGGTCGCATTTGTTTCACCAGAAAGCCCTTGATTGCACTTGAGTTATCCTTGAACCCAATCACAGAATTGTTTGGGTTTGCCTGCAAAGTGCTCTTCACAATCTGCATTAGAGTTCTATCCATAGGTTGTCCATCTATAAGAATTTTACCAGTAAAAAACCAGTGTCTGCTATGCTCGCTGTTGGATTGTGCAATATCAAACAGTTCAACAGTTGTTGGATTCCGCTTGATTTCGTCCCTGAATAGCCTAGTGTAGTATTGGAGATCTTGCTCATCAAATGCTAAACCCATTTCCTGATTTATCTCCTCCAATGCCTTCCGACCTCTCTCCATGACAGGTACTTGACGAACTTCGTCCAAAACTACACTCGTTTCAAATGAAACAAGCTTCTGAGTATACACACACTCAGTCATCCGATCATGAACCATTGCAGCAAACTCACTAATTTGATGATCTTGTAGTGTTCCCTTACTGAACAACAAGTACCTCCTTGACCGTTCCAAACGAGTCACCTCTATCAATCCACATGCTCGACAAATTGAGACAGCATTGGAAGACCAGGCTGTTGTAAATGACAACCGAGGCCCAACCTCAACAATGACTGTATTCAGTCCTTCCTGTCTTTTCTTTTCAAGAAAGCTCTCAGTCCCCAAATTCTCGGGCTCAAAAGTCTCCTGAAGAAGCCACCTAAGAACCGGAAGCTTGTCACTAGAAAGCTGTGAATTGAGCCCAATGTTGAAACACTGCTCAGTTTTCAAACCAACTATCTGATTTGAAATTTTTGTCTGAACTGTCTTGAGAAGCTCAGATGAAGCACTCTCCTGCATAAGCGGGACCCGATAAAAATGAATAACTTCCGCAGCAGGCTTCTCAACCAAGCTTGATTGCTCATCTACCAAACTGCTCACACCACCAGAAACAACAGCTCGGGGCTTTTCTTGAGCACGACACCTCAATGAAACACCTCTCCTATTAGCAAAACCCAATTCTGAACTTCGACCCTGAACCGTGCCCCAAAGCACATGGCTTCTTCCTCTAAAAGAATTTCTATGCAAAAACAGGCTCTGCCTATTGGTACCCTGGAAAGAACCCAAAAAAAAAAACAACGTACATTTCAATCAAGAATTTTTAATAAACTGCTACCATTTCTTAATAATCAAACTAGAGGCAATGAAGATAATTACTTGTAAGAATTCAGCAGCAGCCGTTATTTCCCGAACACCAGCCATCTCCTAAACCTTTAAGAAACCAAAACGAAGAAAGAAAAGAAAAAAACTCAAAACAAATAGATTTCAGAAATTGTTTTCCGCTGAAACAAACAGAAGCAGAGCATAAACTCACCTTCAATTTGATTACTGAGCAGCCGGGGGTGGAAGTCGACAAATATTAGAAGGCGACAACACGGTGTACGTTATGGGTGTGTCTGCCAATTACTGGCCTGCCATAGTTGAGCCTTGAAGTAGGGTTTTGGGATGAAGTAAAACCCTGAAGAGAAGAACTCGCAGCAGAGAAAATATGAAAAACCCAAAAATCAAAATAAATAAAAAGATTGAAATTCGAAGAAGAGAATAAACGCTGAAAGAATTTGGGAAAGAAGTTGTTTACCTTGGTGATGAAATGGCGAGAGAATCGGAGGAAACAGAAATGAAAAAGAGAAAAGAATTTGGGAAGATTGGGAAGAAGGTGGCGCGATGGAGACTGGAGTTGAGTGGTGAGTGAGAGAGAGAGAGAGAGAGACCCTAAGCTGGAGGGAAATTTTGGTAAAAGACGAGGCTGTGTTAATGAGACGGTGCGTTTTGGGTTGTACGATGGGTTTCTTACAATGATCTCTGTTTGTTTTTTTTTTAGAAAGAAGAAAATAAAAAGGTAATAAAATATGTGTTTTTATGAATATCCTAGCAAAAACATGAAAATAAAAAATTTGCTTTTGTGAAAAACCTTTCTGGTTTAGAAAGTCTACAATCAACCACTGATGTTTTGCATACCTACTGTTTAAAGGGTGGGACATACTACATTTACCTTTTAATACAAGTGATATTGGTGCAAGGAGGAATAGAACCTAGGACCTCGGATTCAGGATAAATTCTCTAATCATTTCAGCTACAAGCTCTATACACGTACTACAATAATGAACTTCTAATATTGTTCCAAAATTTAATATAATAATACAAAATAATAAGGACTATTTTAAACAAGAAGCTGAAAGGAACTGATATAGCACCATAATTTATACAGTATGACAAGTGTACAGAAATAAGTTTGCACATATTGCACATAAAAACTTGGATAGTTTTTAATGAGATTGAATCATGATGGATTCCAAACATCAAACATATTGGTGTAATTATGCAGATACAATGCAAAACAGTTCCCCGTCTTCTGTCCTTCAATAGTTTGAGGTACCAGACCACATCTGCAGCAAGATAAGCTTGACCATCAACATACATTTTTGTTGTTGTTATTTGTATCTTCAGGTCCAGTACTTTTCAATTTCCAACACTATTCTTCAGAGGATCCTCCCAGAAAACACAACCCACCTGCTCACAAAGTTATCAGTTTCATATTCCAATGTAATTTCTGATAGCCCATCTTTAGTCCATTTTTTCCACCTTTCAAGTAAAAATGTTTCAAAATTATTATTATGGTGAGTATGATGATTTATCTGACCAAATTCGATCTTTCCAAAATTCAACAAGCCAATTCTCAAACTCAGAGTCAGACCGCTTTTTAAACAATACCGGACTAGAAGAGCTAAGGAAGACGATGCGCATTTCAGAGTCCAGCCACAGACAGGCCAACTCTGGGGAAAATGGGTTGAGATATGAAACCAACCAAACAAAATACAAATGCAAAAACAAGAGACAAAACCAGCTAATAAAGTAAGATCATTGCCAATAGGGGTCTAGCATAGTGAAAAAGGGCATCACATGCAGTCGCATATCAGCAGTTTTAAGTTCGAACCCACATCCGCATGTGTGTGTGATAAAACACCCTCTTCTTATAATTTAGACTAAAGTAATCACTATATTTACAGTCGGTACTTTTTCCTCTGTACAATTTTTTTTCAGAACCCCAACCCAAGCATGGCATTGGCAACGGAAACATTGTGGATGCCTACAGCAAAGCACCTATGCAGTTCAAATATGACTCATCAGTCTCCACCTTGCAAGCTGATCAGGAGCTTCACTTTCTTGAATTGCAAGGGGCCGACGGTCTGTCTTCTTTATATCTTCATGTCCCATAATAAAATTTAAAATCACCAAAAATGTATCTCAATTTCAGTATATCCAAAAATGTAGCATGGCCCGATTGGGTAATTGGAAAAATTGTGTCCGACTGCCATGTATTCAAAAATCTTCGAAAGTTCGTCGAGGCACCAACGCGAACAAGCAAACGAAATGGCTGCAAATCTTACAAATAATATAACTGAAATCGTGTATACTAACCTGCGATAAAACCTTATATTAAACAAAAATAATTTTGTGCTGGGAATTCTCATGGTTTATTATCATGGTTTACAATTTGCTTGGAACTTTGTCAGCAATTCCATTAAGATTGAAGCTAAAGTGAATCTGATTTTGTGGTCCAAGTTAATAATGGCTGGTTTTGTTTTCTGTCATTGGGCATTTGGGCCCAAATATACGAAAATGAAAAATCAGTAAACTTGAATGGAAATGGCTCCTCTTCCTTCCACCCATTCTAATTCCCATTTCAGGAAAATAAACATGACATAACATAATCTACTTGCTTATTTGCATGTTTGCTGCAGCTAATGCACAAATATCTCTAATTCCGCTGTGTGTGGCTGTGGAGCAAATAAATTTGGAAATGGCATCTCCAATTTGCATCTATATACATGTATGCATCACAGTAATCACAGTGGCTCTCTGTCATTTATCATCTCTTCATTAAGAACTGAAAGAGAAAAGTTCATTTGTATATCTACGCTGAGACACCAGGAACCAAAAAAATTATGATGACAAGTGTCAATTCTCATGCTGAAGTGAGTTTTGGGGTAGGATGAAGAGCAATGCTCATATTAACAGTAATCACAAGCTTCCATTGCAGCAAGAAGCATTCAGAATAAAGTCCTACAAAACTTATAGCTCCTTTGCATTATGACTTGCATCAGAAATTCAAGATACAGACCCATCATCCAGAATCAGGCCACTAAAAGTTTTCCGTGCCTTAAGTATACGGTTTAGAACGCAAAAGACAGTTAATTTTACCTCCATTTCACTGTGGATGGTGAAATTTTACCTTGGAATGCTATGTTAAACACAATTAGGTAACTCAGTTCTCCATTTTCCCTCCAATAAGGTGCTTCTTATTGATTGTGCCTTCAATCCTACAGCATGATAATCATTTTCCCTCTTTTTCTTGCTAGGAAAAAAAACAAGGAGTTGTAGCAACACAGATACTACTTTATGTGACAGAAACCTGCATCTCATGAATATACAAAGTAATTTAACCATATTACTAGGCATTAACTTTATTATTCCGGGAAAGAAGGAACATATTACATTATAAGGTATTGAAATTTGAAATGGTTTCAACTTCTAGTCTTCTTTTCATTACTCTTAGGCAATTAATTATACCAACAAAAAATTGCAACAAAAATTGAGAAAAGTGAGATTAAAGAGAAGATTTCACCAAAATTAAACCATGAAATTAAGTGGAGGAAGCAACACCAACATCAACAGCCAATTCTTGCATTTGCAGCTCCTTCCTCTTAATATACTGATTCAAAATGGCAAGCCTGGCAGTCTCGAACGCAAAGTAACCCAAAGCAGAAAAGCAAGCGCTGTGAAGAACTCTGGGCCCAACTCCTCTCGTCAACCCCACCCACCCCTCCTCCATTAAAATCTGCTTCACCGTCCCCGAAACCCCACTCTTTGCAGCACCAGTCATCAGCCTCGTCTTCACCACATCAAGCGGGGTCGTAATGGAGGCCGATATTGCACCGGCCAATGCCCCACAGATCACGCTCTGTAGCGGCTCCAAATGGGTTTGCTTCGTCTTGCTCAGAACCGCAGATTTCAAATACTCGAACGAAGAATAGCTCAAGACACCCGCAGGCAAGTTCCTCAGTAATGTCGCAGAGTACCCTGCGTACAGACCCAAGACGCCGTCATTTTCCAGGATCTTCAACAGCACCTGCCACGACCTCCCTTTGGCCCCGGCTTGCATTCTCTGCGTGATGAGCTCCTTCGGGACCATAATTGCGGAAGATACAATATTGCCCATGGCTCCGGCCGTGGGAGGGATAAGAACGGGAGGGTAGTTGGGTAATTTGGAGAGCACCGACTTACCCAGCTCGCAGGTGCCGAAGTAGATGGCGGAGGAGCCGGTGGAGCCGACGATGACAGCGGATATGCCGCTGTAAAATCCCGAGATGCCCTTGGTCTGGAAGGTCTTGAGGACTGCGTCGAAGGCGTTTGCGTAAATGTCTGAGGCGCCTTTGGTCTGGAGCTTCGTCTTGATGGTGTCCAGAGGGTGGAGGCAGAAGTAGGTGAAGGCTCCGGCGATTCCTCCGCCGCCTGCGCCGATGAGGGCGCGCTCGAACACCGTGAGGTTCTTCAGTAAAATCTGGGTCTTGGGCCGGGTCTTGGGTCGGGAATTGGAAAACCAATTTGGGGCGGGGGAGGTGGTTGTGGAGGTGGTGGAGGCAAAGAATGGGATGTGGTTTTGGGTTGGGGTGAGGGTAGATTGGGAATTTGGGGTGATGAAATGGGTGAAGAGGCTATGGAAGTCATTGGAGGTTTGGGAATGGAGGTGGTGGTGGTAATGGTTTTGATTGGGTGAGGGGAGGCCTAGAGAAGCTGAGAGTCTGTTATCCATGGCTGGCTCACTCAATTTTCTCTCTCCGGAGGTGAGCTTTATTCCCTATTCAGAATTTCAGATGAGAGAGCGAGCGCCATGGAAAATGAGAGTAGGAGGATGTCGGTTTGGCTGAACAAACAGAGTAGGTAGCGTATGTGGGAAATTGGAAGTGGGGTGTATTTTGGGCTAAAGACATTTATCACATTTTCTTACTGGATTTTTTGTTATGGTGAATGTATGGGCCATTACTCATCAAAATTTATGGGCCTCTTTCTGTTTGTTAGGTCAAATTCTTATATTTTTCTGTTTGTTGGGCCTGCCAAACGCTTTTTTCTTTTTAATACAAGCGATAATCTAAACTATAGGGGGATGAGATTTCTCATACACAATCAAGATGTCATGGGAGTTCGAACTTGAAACCTCTTATCTGCAAGTCAATTCCCTTTATCCACTGGCTAAAACCCATTGGCCTTTCAAAACTCTTACATTTTTAAGTTTTCATAATATGTTCATTTCTATTTATTTGCACATCCGTTGCAGGCACTTCTCCATGATGGTAAAATACGAAATGGTTAAAAAAAATTGTGTTTCAACCGTTGGATGGCTTCTTACTAACAATATTGTTCTATGATGAATCTGGCTTGGCAACAAATGAGCAAATTTTTTAAACTCGAATGGGTCTAACCTAATAAAAAATGGTCTTGACTTACAGACTATAGGTCTCGGGTTCGAACATTCATGACATCTTGTGTGTGTGAGAGAGAGAGAAACCCCCTTCCCTGTAGTTTAAACTATGTTTGTACTTAAAAAAAATAAAATTGTGAAACCCGAACTAACAAAACTTGTAAGTGTTGTTAAAAGTCCAATGTGCCCCTAAAAATAGATCATGAGCTTGGCACATGATCGTTTTTAAAGAAAAAATAGACGAAAGTTCCAATCAAATGCGCACTCACTAGAGGCTACGTTGTACTGACACGTTGCCTAGCTGCCGTGTCAGAGTGTCGGACACTCCTCGAATACGCCTGGACACGCGTGTCCACCAGTCAAAGTCGTGTCCATGGTCAAGACATGGGTCAACTCATAGTCAAGACACTGCTTGAAAAAAAAATAGGGGGGGGGGGGGGGAAGGGAGAGGGAGAGAGAGAAGAAGAAGAAGAAGGAAAAATGAGAGAGAGAGAGAGAGAGAGAGAGAGAGAGAGAGAGAGAGAGAGAGAAGAAAGAAAAGAGGAAGAGAGGAAGAAGATGGAAAAGGAAAAAGAATAAAGAAAGAGAAAGATAGAAAAAGAGGAAAAAGAAAAAGAATAAAGAAAGAGAAAGGGGGTTCGGATGCGTTTTTGTCAAATGCACTACCCAACAAAAGTAATGTTTCTTATTTTATTGAGCATGCATTTTTTTTAATTATATATATTATTATTATTTTAATTACCGTGTTCTAACCGTGCCCATCTCCTACTTTTTTCATGTCACTTTCTGTGTCACTCTGTCCTCACCTAATCTTCACTTTCTGTGTAGCTCAAGAGTAATCTCACTTGAGCTTCCTCTCCAAGAGCTGCTATCTTGCAGAAATAGTAGAACACACACCACCATGAAACCCAAGGTCTCAAGCTGTAACATCCTCTCGCCGTCCTAGCTTGTTGTTTGCTGCACGGTTCTGTCGGAAGGATATCGTTGGACCGCTGCCCTTTAATTATTTTTAGTTTGGTAAGGCTCCTCAGTAAGTTCATTATTTCGGTAAGGCTTCTTCACTTCCTTGTTCTCTTTTTTCTTTGGACTCTCTTTTGTATATAGGGAGTACAATAGCAGCGATTATCTTTTGTATCCCATTGAAACTTGTATTGGAATGGGTAGATTGATTGGTTGCCTTTGTGGCTATTATAATCAAGTCTTTCGGCTTTTATCAATGATATATCTATGGCTTTTTATCACAAAATGGTCCATGAGGTTGTTTTTTTGTGACGTAGCACATGTGTTGAGCACGAAAAATCTCTATATTATTGGATGCGTGAGCTCCACACATGTGCCACGTCATCAATTTAACAAAAAATTTGACATAAGCTAACGGCAAGGACCATTTTGATATATGGAGGCTAACCTGAAGGACCATTAGTGTTACAAAAAAATATTTGGGACGAAATGTGATAATTTCACAAACTTCATGGACCATTTGTGATAAAAAGCCTATATCTATAGTCTGGCAAAAAAATTGCAATTTGCACACAAAAAAATTGCCATACGTATGTTGTATAAATGTGCTTCTATTGGCAGTTACGTATGATAATTCTGTTTTCATTATCAAAGCCATTTATCTTATCATCTTGTTTGTATCTCAAGTGTTTGGAGGTTAGATTTGGAAAATTGCAATTTAACTATAGGCATTTATCCTTTGCAGCAAATTTCTTGGAACCAACCATCCACGTACCAAGTGATGGCGTTGCCATCTTTTCCTTCAACTGAATCAGCTACTCAATGGAAGTATGATGTGTTTTTGAGTTTTAGAGGTGAAGACACCCGCAATGGTTTTACATCCCATTTATACCACGAGTTGCAGTGGCGATCAATTAAAACATTCAAGGACGACTCAAAGCTTGAAAAAGGCACCACTATTTCTCAAGAACTCTCGACAGCAATCGAACAATCGAGGTTTGCCATCATCATTCTCTCGCCAAACTATGCTTCTTCCTCATGGTGCTTGGATGAACTTACAAAAATTCTTGAATGCATGAAAGCAAGAGACACAATTCTCCCCATTTTTTATCATGTGGATCCCTCTCATGTTCGAAATCAAACGGGGACTTTCTTGGAAGCCTTCATTAAGCATGAAGAAAAGCTTAGGGAAGACATAGAAAAAGTTAAACAGTGGAGGGCTGCTTTAACAAATGTGGCTAATCGCACTGGGTGGGATTCCAAGGATAAGTAAGCATTAATGAACAACTAGCTCATGTCTTTACAACACCAATAAATGTGTATGTTTCTTTTCAGGTCTGGCTTTTGATCCAACTAAATTTTATACTTATGACTGATGTTATTCATCTGATCATATCTTCTTTGTAGGTGTGAAAGTGAACTTATTAAAGATGTTCTCAAACACGTATGGAATAAACTGCAACCTTCATTCACCTTGTCATTAGGTTCCATAGAAAAGTTAGTTGGAACCGATTCTACACTGCTAGAACTTCGTTTGCTTTTAGATCTTGAGGCAAATGATGTTCGCTATATAGGGATTTGTGGGATGGGTGGGATGGGCAAGACAACCATTTCTAGGCTAGTTTATGAGAGAATTTCCCATACTTTTGAAGTTAGCAACTTTCTTGCAGACGTCAGAAAGTATGGTCAAAATGGTTTAGTCCAGTTACAAAAACAACTTCTGTCCCATATATTGAAGAAACAAAACATAAAAATTTGGGATGTTTATAGTGGAAGCACTATGATAAAGAACTGTTTCTGTGACAAAAAGGTTCTTCTCATTCTTGATGATGTGGATCAATTAAATCAACTGGAAATGTTGGTCGGAAAGAAAGAGTGGTTTGGAACAGGGAGCAGAATCATCGTTACAACTAGAGATGAACGAGTGCTACTTGAACATGGTATAGAGAAATCATACAAGGTCAAGGGATTAAATAACAATAAAGCTCTTCAACTATTTAGTTGGAACGCCTTCAAGAAATATAGACCTGAAAAACAATATCTGGAACTGTCTAAGTGTTTCATTCAATATTCCAGGGGCCTTCCATTGGCTCTTAAAACTTTGGGGTCTTACTTATATAAAAGAAGTCTCGATGAATGGAGTAGTGCCTTGGATAAACTAGAGAAAGTTCCTAATGTAACGATTTTCCACACTCTCAAAATAAGTTACGATGGACTTGATGAGATGGAGAAGAGAATGTTTCTTGATGTTGCATGTTTCCATAAGGGAAAGGAAAAGGGACAAGTAATTGAAATGCTAGACAGTCGTGGCTTCTGTGGAAGTATTGGGATACAAGTTCTTCATGAGAAATCTATCTTAACTATTGAGTATGGAAATGGTTTTGAACCCGACAAAGTGCAAATGCATGATTTGATGCAGGAAATGGCATGGGAAATTGTTCGTCAAGAATCTTATGATGACATCGGTCAACGAAGTCGGTTATGGCTTCGCAACGACATTCTTCATGTACTCGCGAATAATACAGTAAGAAGTTTTGTAGTTTCTTCTTAACACAGTATAAAACTTGACTATGGAATTCACTGGTCCTTTGTTCTTATGTATTATGGAACAGAAGCAATTGAAGCCATGGTCTTATGCTTGCCTAAAGTAGAAGAGGTACACTGGAATCCTGAAGCCTTCTCTAAGATGAGCAAACTAAAGGTGCTCCAATTTGATAATTTGATCATTTCTCCAGGCCCCAAAACTCTCCCTAATTCCATAAGAATTTTGGAATGGAGATGCTATCCTTCCAAATTTCTCCCACCAAGTTTCCAACCGGAATTTCTTACTAAACTTAGCTTGCCTCATAGCGAAATTGTTCAGCTTTGGAATGGAGTAAAGGTAAGATATAAAACACGTGTCATCTTACAAATTATCATGTTAGTTATTTTTTAATAAAAAGCTAATTACTCTACCATTTTGTCATGTATTGTGCAGTACATAGGTAACTTGAAATCTTTAGATCTTTCTTTCTCAAGAAACCTCATCAGGACCCCAGATTTCACGGGTACTCCGAATCTTGAAACCTTTAACGTTATGGGTTGTACGAATTTAGTTGAGATTCACCCATCCATTTCAGTTCTCAAAAGGCTTAAAACTTTGAATTTGGGACATTGTGGAAGAGTAGAGAGTTTCCCAAGTCATGAGGTAGTAACGAAATCTCTTCATCAATTTTTCCACCTTGCTTATGAAATATCTCAAAATCTTTCTCATCATTTTATGGATCACCTCAACCATTGCAGATGCCAGGCGGAAAAAAGAAAAAACCATTGCAGGTTCTTCATTTCAGCATATGCTGGAGAAAGAGTCCTGAACCTTGGGGTGTGGTGTTGCCTTCTCTAGATGGTTTGTGCTGTTTGGAGAGATTAGATCTAAGTGATTGTAATCTTTATGAAGGAGCGATCCCCGATGGTATTGGCTGTTTGTTCTCTCTACGAGATTTAAATCTTAGTGGTAACAATTTTGTTATCCTTCCTTCAGGCATTACTCGGCTTTGTAATCTTAGGTTTCTTAACCTGAAGAGGTGTGAAAGGCTTCAAGAATTGCCAGATCTTCCATCAAACAGATGGTTATGCATAAATGCAGACGACTGTACTTGCTTAAAAGTAGTACCAGTTGCATCAGAGTTAAGCACATATCTCACTCTACTGAGTAGGTTCAGTTCTATCAATTGCTTTGGCTTGGTTGACAATGTAGGCGGCATTAATATACTAGTTTCAATTCTAAGGCGATTCCTTGAGGCATTCTATCTAAGGCAATTTCTTGAGGCACGCATCTCTCTCTCTACTTCTCTCTCTTTATACACACTTTATACACACACACATATATATAATAATTGTTCTTCATGTACGGTACTGTACAGGTACCGAGATTTCAATTCAAACTAGACATTGTAACTCCTGGAAATGTGATTCCTAAATGGTTCAATTATCAAAGAGTGGGAGATTCGATAATGCTGAAGGTACCTTCGCATTTAAAAGGCAAGAACAGGTTGGGAATTGTGTTATGTGCTGTTTTTGCAGATGAGCAAAATGCCCTTCTTGATGAATTCAATTCTTTCACAATTCTATGTTCGTCCTCCGCATTTGGCTCTGTTTATGGGCCTATTTTTGAAGTAGGCCATCTCGTGTCAGATCACATTTGGGTATCTTATGCTCCTCTTTCCCATTGGTATTATAGGAGACCAATTTTGATTGATTTCGAAGCATGTTATTGTGGTTCACAGAGGAAAGGCATGGGACCAAGGTTCAGGAGGATCAAGAAATGTGGGGCCTTTTTGGTGAACCATGACATTGACTCTCACAAATCATCAGAAGGTGCACCTGCACCAGGTGCCATCCTCAAGAGAACACATGAACATGACGAAAGATTGCCCCGCAAAAGATCCAGGGAAGACTAATCATCTTGTGCTTGCTCTGCTCTTCTCCAGGGAAGATTCACATTTGTAGCACCTCATCAAATCAAATGTATTGTTTTCCAGTTTCCATTCATTTAGCCATAAGTTAACTTTATTTGGTTCAAACTTCAAACCCATAGTGTGGGATATGCATGCAGCCGATAAAAGTAAGGCTTCGGAATATACTTGATTTGATTGATGATACCTTGTGTAAAACCACTATGTGGCTTGGAGGAAGACGACCTTACACCAGTTGTTTCTTTATCCTGCTATTTCATCTTGGAGGCTGTTTCAGTACTTAGAATGTTGTCTCAATCCTAGTTGCCAATCCACAGATCAGAGAGTTGAAAATGCACACTAATTTGGTTTGCTCTCTAAATCGTAAAGCCTCAACACTTGCTCTTTTATTGCATTTGAATATGCCGTCCAACAGCACGATAGGTGAGAGATGCTGGCAACACAAATCCTAGCTTCATTGAGACCATTGATTTCAAGGATTTCTTGATATCAATTACTAAATAATTACAAGCACTTCCTATTTTCTAGCAGTGTTTATACAGGGGAATTGTAGAAAGAATATGGATTGATATTGTCGTATGTGCATTGCACATATTTGAGACTTTTGCTGAGTATTCCAAAATCTCAGCGTTTCATCACCAGCTGCCGATGCTACGGTGCAACCATCTGGGCTCTGTCGATAATTTAAATCATAATAGGATTTACTTTTTTGTCTAACAGAGAACATGATTTATAACAAATTCATTTACAAAGTTGTTCATAGTGAGTTCTGCAACTTTAGCCATTGATGGGTATTTCCAAAGAGTAAGCTGATTCTGAGTAAACCCATGTGAGCTAAGCAGTTCTCGTTCATTCTTGTTCCACAGCAAAGCACAAACCTGAGAGCCAGTGTCAACCGAATTCAGGCATGCACCCGTGTGAGTGTTCCAGAACTTTATGCACCGATCACCCCTGCCTCCACCAGAAGCCAGCAAGTTGCCCTGGAAAGGACACCAAGCAAGGGCTTTTACAGCAGCTGTATGGTCTTCAAGCCTGTGAAGCCACTGTGTTGGTGAATTTGAAGATGCCACTGATTTGTCCCATATATGGAGTAGGTTATCATTTCCTCCACTTGCTAATTGTTGGCCTGAGGCCGACCATTTAAGCCCACAAACCTCTTGTTCATGTCCTCGGTACGTCTCGACAATATGCGATCTAATTCTTACATCATTATTAACTATACAACCATCCATTCCTCCAGTTGTGAGAATGTGGTTGTTCCATGCCAAAGAGCCTACTCGGGATTGGTGGCAACCTCTCAAGGTTCACAGCTAAGGAAAGAAATATCACAACAAATCATGAATATTACGAAAATTGGGGACCAGATAACATAGAATAGAAAGGGAGGAAAATGAAAAGTACAAGGATTAATGACAAGAAACCAACCTGCCGATTTGCAGTTGAATCCCATAGCTGTACTTCGGAATTATCCAGTCCAATGGCAATGTGGCGTCCATCAGGAGCCCAATTTACACTGGTAACAGGTCCGCTTTCATCCTCAAATGTGACCAGTTCTGAAGTAGAACCACTAGTAGCATCCCACAAATAAACTGTGGTTGCAAGCGCGATTGCAAGAACATTAGAGCTTCCCCAATCCAACAAATTCAGGTAGTAATCATCAACAAGGTCAAGAGCATCCAGTGTTCTATATGAAGTCTGCATATATCATCAAATCCAAAGCAGTTAGTTAAAACACAACTTTTTTGAAATAACAAGTTAAGTGGAAGCAAATATTAATTCTTCCATGAGATCAAAATCAAATGCATACGCACTTGAGGAATGTGTCTCCGCAGCTTTGCCGGTTTATCCTGTGGTAAAGAAGAGAACTCGCGCGGGAAGAGCTCTACAGGGGCAGGAGGCTTGTTCTTGAAAGCAAGTATTTCGAGTCTGATTCATGTTCATTGCTTCTGCCAACTGCTTCCGACAGGCGTCTTTGGATGGGGAAGAGACCATAGCTACGTTTCCTTACCTTTCCTACCTTCAGTAAGCATGTAGTGCGCATAATCAAAATCCATTGCAGACCTATTTGGTATGAACCTGCCCAACTGGTAGTCACATGATACAAGCACATCAGAATATCAGTCACTACAGAATACAAATCCCTTTTTAATCAAATTTCGAATCACTTTTCAAATTTAATTTATTATCATATTAGAGCTAAAAATAGATGAACACATACATACAGATCAAAGGGTAACAAGATTAAGAAATGAAATTCAATTTAACATCAGATCATAGATGAACCCAAAACCCTATACATACATTACGTTTACAAGGATAACAAGATTAAGAAATGAAAGTCCAAAGATTAACAAAAATCCAATTCAGAGTCAAACAGAAGCCCTAATTTCATTAATCAAATTCAATTTAACATCAGATCACAAAATAGATGAACCCTAAACCCTAAACATACAATACAAACTACAAGGGTAACAAGATTCAGAAATGAAAACCAATCAATAACGAAAGTCCAATTTTTCAGCAATCAAATAGATTGAACCCTAATAAAGATCAACTTGGTAAAAAAAGGAAGAAAAAAAAACTTCCATTTTCCCGAGAATTCCTTTTCTGAAGAAACTGTTCTTGAAGAGGGCACCGAGACCCTGACTTCAAGTTAGATGAAGAACTCATTGATCCTGCATCCATTTGGTTTAATACCACAACAGAATATATGTATGTGTATATATCAATGAAAAATGAAAACAATAAGAAAGAAGAAACAGAGAAAGAAATATCAAAATCCTGCAAATGGATTGATCAGTGTGCAAAACCAAAACCTGCAAAAGAGAGTTAGATTCAAGAAACACAAAACCAAGTTATACACAAAGAAAGAAAATTGGTCTCCGAGCGTTGTAAAGAGTTGTGTAATCAGAGAGAGAGACTGTGAGTGGGTATAATCAAGTTGAATTTGTGGGTTTATATAATGATGAGATGAAAATGGGATGATTAATGATTTTCAGAATGAATATTTCGGATTTGGGAAGACCTCCAACGGCTATATTTACAAGATTAGAGATAGAGCCGTCGTCATTTTATGTGACAAAAAGGCCCCTCCATTGGTTCCGTTTTGGGTAGGTGTAATTGGAAATGGGAATTGGGCTATCTATTAGGCCTATATTGGTGATGTTCAGGCCCTTTTTTTTTTGGGCCGAAGTTCTAAATTACAACATGATTTTTCTTTGTTTGAAATTAATACATGATTAGAAACATGTAACTTACCCTAAAATTTCAATGAGAAAATTCAAATGTATTTTTAATTTCTTGAATGTGGCATTTATTTTTTTATATAAGCAATATTGAGGGAGGGAGGGAATAGAATCTAGGACTCGAATGCGGTAATAAATATTCTTAATCACTTAAATTACGATAGAATCGAAAAATATTTGGTACATTCTATCCCAATATTAGATTAAATCATCCTTGGTAGTTCCAAAAAATTCGAGCTCCCAATAATTCTTGTTTTCACCAAACGTAAAAAGAACATTGGGATGGTATCCAATCAAATCAAAGATGGATCCAATAAAATCAACCAGAGGGTGTTCGTTTACATTGCAGGTGTATGTTCTGTTGCCTATTTTTGCACGATCTCAAAGTCCTCGCAAGGTGCAAAATAAATAATATATATTGCTACGGAAAGCCCAATGTCATAAAATGTAACCCCAACCATGTAAAGCACAACTCAAACACATAGGAGAAGCCGATCCCTTTGCAGTATATTCAACATGAACATGCTCAATCAGTCTTCGATGGAACAAAATTTGGGTGGTAAAAAGTTTTTGGGAGGCACAAAAATTGTGCTTGTGGCGGCAGGTAGTGTGGGATATGCTGCCATTGAAGGTAGGCTACAGAATATACCTGATTTGAATGATACATTGTGTAAATCACTATGCGGCTTTAAAAGAAATCATTATATGGTACTGAAATAGAATCACGTGATATAATTTGTTGAAAATAATCAAATCATCCAAGGGACCAGAGTTGGTGCAAGCATTTGTTACTTCACGGGTTCTTTGCATCCCTATACTCTTTTGATGTCATCAAGCTTCACAGGCAAAGTGTTGTGTGTCAAAGGCTGCATTGCCCTAGCTATATCTAGCAACTGTTTAGCTGTTGGGTGGGGTCCTTCCTTTGATCTGCAACTCAGGCTTTCCTCAGATGCAAAGCTAAAGCAATATCATTTCATATGCACACAGAAAAAAAATTTCTTCAATGGTGAAAGGTGAAGGATTTTTTTTATGCATTCATTTTGGGAAATACGATGATTAATATGTATAATTAATGGTTATGGGCAAGTTGATGAATAATTGGACCAATATCTCTCTATTAAATTTCTCTGTTACATATATATACTGATCTTTTTGTCTTGGTATTGTCTTTTATATATATATATATATATATATATAATTATAATTAATTTCTCTTTCTCTCAACCATGAAAACTGTTGTGCTTGTCCCTTCTTCAATTTGTTTTTCAGGCAGTACATTTCTTTCACTTTGAAAAAAGATAATTCAAATTAAAGCACAGCCTTAAAAGCATCGATTTACTTAACATACAGAAAATTGGAAGCATCACCTTCAGGCATCATCCCAAATTAGGAATAACATCATGGACCACTCAAAGTGGAGAGAATCAAGTAATTAAAAGTAGGGAATTATTCTAATTTCTGTTTTTTCTGTGTTTATTAACACATGGATATTAAAATTATTTCAATTCTAAACTTATGTTTGTTTACCAACACGTAAGAAATATTATAAATATATATATATATTTCACGTTAAAATTTGTAATCATACGGTCAAAACAAGGAATTAGATTAACTAATGGGGAGTACATAGTTGATTTAATTAAAATTGCTTAATTCTCTTATTCTTTGAATACAAGAGATAGTATAAACTATAAGGGGAGGGGGTTTCTCACACACACTACTAGGGTGATATGAGGGTTCGAACTCGAGACCATTGGACTGAAAGTCAAGATCTTTTTCTACTGGATTAGATCCCGTTGACAATTTCTCTATTCTTATGTTCCCCGATTCATGACTTTCCTCATTTTTAGGAAGTAAGTATTCACCAGAAGTTAATGATAATTAGCTCCTAATATGAAACAAACTGCAACATAACATTCCATCGAATTTTCACTTCCAATATAAGGATTTGGTAAACCATGTTCCTCCAAAGTGCAATAAAATCTCAATCCACTTCAATATATATCCAAACAAAAAGGGAAGTTGAGATGTCAGGAATGATGCAGACACATCACCACTTTTGAGGCCTTTCAAAGTGCATCCACTTCCACTTGGATGCATACAAACACAACATTATAATGCGTTTCTGGGATTTTAATCTACGACTTACGGAAATGAATTTTGCAGGAACCTTGCAATGCTTTACACGTAATTTTGTGTCCCTAGCTAGCTCTGTGTTACCTTGTAGCTTTCATTGTAAAAGAGAAAAGAGAACTGACAAGGAAAAGAAAGGAAAAAAGCATTTTTGTGTGCAGGAGATTCTCCAATTTTCAGAGTGATGTTTCTAGTTCCTAAACATGTATAAAGATGCAAGTAACCTCATTGAAAGTCTTCCTTCTTCAATCCAATTTTGACATTAGAAAACAAAAGTTATATGAGCTAGTCTTCTACGTACACCAAATTAATCTAGTAGTATTTTTCTTCTTAATGTCGAAAGATGCTCTTACGGGTTTAGGGTTTAGGTAGTAATTTTCTTCTATGTAAACCAAATTAATCTAGTAGTAATTTTCCATTTGGCGTTGATAAACGGTAATTTATCCTACTAGGTCCCCAAAGTATAAGGAAAATAAAATAACATATGTTTTCTTTCGTATTTCAATGAAAAGAAGAATAAACTCAATAAGTTAAAAGAAATAGTGACAATTACAGTTAGTTGTATCAATCACAAACTGTCGTGGGGTATTCCAAAATGAGAAGAGGAGCAGATGGTGTTTCTAAAGATAAAGAATCACAAAGAGAATCGAAAAGTGGGTTGGTAAACAATATACCAACAACTTGGCATCTATGCCTCCTAACGGTTATGCTTATTGTCATTCATTACAAGGAAGTGAGTAGGCACCACATCACAAGCAATTAAGGGCACAACCACAGCATTTATACGGTAATGATAGTGACAAAATGGATGGGAACACCTTTTTTTTCCTTTCCATTTTAGAAAAATGCAATATTTTATTCAACAAAAAAAATTAAAAAAACAAATAAGGACGGTTCTCACTCTATAAAACTATCAATAGACAATGAGAAGTTAGTTAACCTATAAGCGACTCCGTTACACAATCTCGGAATCATTTCAATGCCAATGTGATTCCCAAATAGCAAGCCTATTGAATATGTTTCTAATAGAATTGAACCCACTTGTCTAAGTGAGTTCATGCTCTTTTAGAGATAATAACTAATTTGTAACTCAAATGATTAAGAACAGTTACTTTTACACTCGAGATCATGTGGTCAAATCCCTACTCCATTACCACTTGTATAATTTTATTTTATTTTAAGGAAAGGTGTACCATTCAATTTATGCATGGTCGATCCCTCAACTGAAGAGTGCTTTTTTACTTTAATTTCTTTTTTTTAATTTGGCACATAGACAAACAAAAAATACAACTGTTTAGTACAACTCAATAAAAGCACAAGTATTCCTTTGTTATAGAAATGGTCCCCATATGTAAAGCAAGAGGCCGACCATTCCAAGTAGGTTTTGTGGTTGTGTCAAATCATAAAAAAGAAAAGGACCCAACTTTACAATTTTGGCTTCTTGTCCGCAAAGCAAGCCTTTGGAAGCCTCTCCTCCTCCTACCTCTCTCTCTCTCTCTCTCTCATCAATATTTTGCTGTACTTACTACCACCACTTACTTTAATCAATTTCCCAATTATTATTTTGCAACACCAACCAAATACCAAATAGGCGGCCTTCAAGCTGGTTACCCTTAATCATTTTATTTTAATAATTATAGTGGCATTATTAGTTACCCACTTCCATTTTCCATTATATAAATAAAGTACCCCTACCTTTTAGCTTTTGGGATTAACAACAAAAGTGAATTAGTGATCCTAAAACCACTGTTTAGATTAGGATTACTTTCTCTTTATTTGATTCAAACTTGCCATATTCTAAGTTTATTTTGAACTAGAATTATTGTTGGTTGGACACCAAGATTTGGTGGGGTGTGCTTATATGATCAAACACTTGTTCAACTCCATTTTGTTTTTAAAAGAGATTAAATAATTTAGTTGGCAAAAGAACCAACTTTTCTGAAATATCATGGAGGCTGTCATGTTAGCCCTAGCATAGGAACATTCTCCCTCCAAAAAGAAAAGACATTGCCAGCTGCTACCATTCATAGTTAACATAAAAACAAAGAAAAAATAAGTTAAGAGTTCAGGAATATTTTTGTGAGGTGCTATTTGTAGTATGAGTTTAGGAATACCCACAAAGGATTAATGCAAAGATGAAAGCATAGTAACCATGCATGGTTAATTCAGATACATAGAAACACATCGACAACTTCAAACAGACAATGTCCACTAGCCACAAAATGCCAAAGAAATTTCGGCTTGGCATAAAAGCCTGTAACTACAAATAGAGACTAGATTTCAAACATACACCAAACTCACAAAGAATTGACACAATTATTTTAATAAATATTCTAATTTATATACGTAAAATTTATTATTAATATATATATATATAATATCAATCATTGCTAAGGAAATTCTACTAAAAACAGTGGAGGGTTTTTTTATGTTCTCCAATAACAGTACTTTCTCTAAGTACATTTTGTTCATCAAGGTAGCCACTGCTATTTTCATGCTTAGAACTATTTATTTATTTATTTACTTAATTTAATTGGCAGAAGCCACTCAAAGTTTATATGACAGAAAAATTGTTCTGTTTTGTATATATTTTTTAGGCATGACCAAACAAATTCCTTTTCTTTTCTTTTCTTTTGTTTATGCATCCTTCTAATGTTTTTTTCCTCTTTTTCTTCATTGAAAGTCAACAACCATAAGGAAAGAAGAGCTAAGAAATAATCAAAAACCAAAATTGGGCACATTATTTTTATTATTTTTTATGTTTTGGATAATGAAGGAAGCCTTGGTTGACCGATTCTCTAACCAAGCACGAAGTCTTAAGCCCTAGGCTAAAACTCCACACCTATGCAATCCATCTAGAAACTATAAGAAAAATCAAGGCAAGAAATTCAGCAATAGCAGTCAAAAGTGAGGGCGATTACAAAATTTCTACAAAACGAGAACAGCCACTTTGGTGGAACATGTACCCCTTTTTTTTTTTTTTTTTTTTTTTGTAGGTGGAACATGTACCCTAAACAACTACAAACTATCTATGTTTACCGTTATTTATGGAAGCTGATTTTTCCATTTTCATTTTATTCAATTACACTCCCTTTTGCTTTTTAATCAATTTTGTTCTTTCTCTTTCTTATTCTACTCTTACCCTACATTAATTTCTTTTTACTTCACTTTTATATTATTTCTTTTTCTTTATACTTAATTTTCCAACTTGCACTCTATTTTCAGTTTTTTTCCTTTAATCGAGTAAGTAATCATTAACATTTGTCTAGGCAAAATTATATGGTTCTACTGTTGCAAAACTCATGCCCTGGGAATAAACCTTGAAGTCACTTTTTTTTTTTTTTTTTTTTTTTTTTTTTGTTTGGGGAATTTTGGGAAAAAAAAATTTAAGTGGCCACAAAGAAATAGAAAACAAAGAAAGAGTAATTAGAGAGTATTTGCTTTGGGTAAGAAAAACGATTGTTCTATTCCATGAATTGCTAGGGTAAGGGTCGGATAAGAAAAAGAACAAAATAAAAAACAAAATTGATTAAAAAGTGTTAAAAAGCAAAAGGAAATATAAGTGAATTAAAAAAAAAAGGAAAATTAACTCCCTTATTATTATTATTATTATTATTATTATTATTATAACTTTTCAAGAATCAAATGTGGTTTGGGTCAAATTCTGAGCCAAACAAAAGTCTAAAGATCATCAAACTAATTCTTGATTGTGGGATCCAACGCCACGATCATTGTAGACATCAAAAAACAAACATGGCAGTTCACCTAACCAAATTTTATATATATATAAAAAAAATAAAAAAAATAAAATAAAAAAAAAAAAAAAAAGGTCTCTTATTTAAGGAAATTCTCAAATTTAGGGTTTTCTTTGGTCAAGCTGGCTAAATAAAATTAAAACCATGGTCACTGCTATAATTACCTCTGCAACGTCCTTTCGTAAATTGATGAAAAGCTCTTTGACATGACCCCAAAAAATCACGAAGGATCAGGGTTTTGTCCCTTTTTGTTAATTTCTTGTGCTGCCTTGTCCATCAAGTTATCCCCATCCAATCAAGCATTTCATTTTATATAGAAAAACTTCCTTGCAATAGAGATAACATTGTTTTACTATTCTCGATCAATAACATTATGACACATAAAAAAGTTACCCTAAACATCATTGTGTTATTGATCGAAGATAAGAAAAAACTATTATCCTCATTACATGAAAGTGTTAATAACCACCTAGAACCAACTGCTTCTTTGTCTCACTATTTCTATTGCTTCACTTAGTTACAATTTTTTTTTGGCTAACTATATTGAAATTACAAAAGGAAACTATAATTAATCATTTTGTTTTTTTTTTTTGGGGTTCTTTTTTTTTTTTTTTTTTTTTTTTTTTTTTTTTTTTTTTTTTTTAAGGAGCCAAAAGGCACACAAAGATCGACACTCTACCAGTAGTCTCATTAAATCCTTTCTAGGAAGCCACATGGGACAAATCTCAAGATAGGAAAGAGTGTCACACATGTCGTGAACTATCAAAAGGTTGGTACTGCATTCCAAATAAGCAAAAATATAAGTCAGATGTCCACGCAACCGCGGGGTAAGAGGTCAATATGCAGCGTCATATTGTTTGATGCATACTTGAGTGGGATGACCCAAGCGCCCACAGGTAAAATAGTAATGAGGGAGATACTCATATTTGAATTCCACCATCTTTTCCCCAACTTCCGGGAAAGTGACCATGGTGCGTCGAAGAAGTGGTAAAGTAACATCAAAGCGCACGCATATGCGGATAAAATGACTCACACAATCATAATTATAATTAGAGATTACATTACACGGGTGTGAATTAATAATCAAAATTGCTTTTAATCCCGAGCAATTACCCATGTAATGCAATCTCTAGATCACTTGAATATTTTAAACAAATCAAATTATTAAATCAATATGAACTCGGTTTATATTGGATTCTACACTGGAAGAGTGTAACCTTCCATCATGGATTCTGCTTAAATACTAAGCACATAGAAAACAAAGAGATATCAATTCTTTTTTTCTTTTTGTTGGAAGAAAATATTAATTCATCCAAACAAACAAACGTGAAAGCATAGGCATTGATGCAATAAGATGGAAAACGTGATAAGATAAGGTGCAACGCGGGAGTTTATGTATAATACAATTATATTAATGTGGACTAATTAAAATCCGTTAGATTAATCGAGTGGTTAATATTATCTTAGATGCATATAAATGCAGAGGCTCGGGATCCTTCAAATTTTAAGTTAAATTTTAGGTAAAAACGTATAAAAGTTATTTTAGGAGCTCTCTATAAAATTTAAACTTCAATCATGCTCTCTAGTTTAAAGAGTCATAAATGCTATAACTCTTTTTTAATTGGTCCATCTCTATTAAAAAAATAATATAAAAAATAGTTAGCATTAATTAAAGGTTTGAAATACTCATTAAATACAGCAACATTAAATTATAGGGAGTCACTAGGAGTCCTCTCTCCCTCTCTCTCCTCAAATTTAGGAGCTCCTAAAGGTCTCCTTATTTTAGAATGTGGGTATGGAGCATAGTTAAAGGTCTCCCTTACATGGGGTAGGTGGTTTAAGGAATCCATTGTAGATACTCTTATCCCTTGTAAGGAAAGGAAGTTGGACTATCAATTTTCGATGATTCAAGGGGGAAAAAGAAAAACTCTAATTTTTTTAATTATAAGAAGAAAAAAATCTAGTTTTAAATTATAAAAAAAAAAGTCTGGACAATTATAATTTTAATCTTCATAGTTTGATTTATTTTCTACTTTGGTCATTGTCATTTTTAATGTTGGCAATTTTAGTCATGTAGTTTTGTTTAGGCAACAATTAAGTCCTACATGTGGAAATTACTGCGTTTTAAATTAATTGCAAAAATTGTAGAGATACAAAAAGTAGTTGCATGTTGCCACATAGAATTCCATCAATTAAATTGACGGAATTTATAATTTGGTCTAGATTACATACCAAACAAAAGTACATGTTTGAAATTGTCAAAATTGAAATGGTGCATACCAAAATGAAAAATGACTCAAATTACGTAGACAAAAATATACGTCAGTTTTCTTTATGGTGTGTTTAATAATTAGGAATTGGAATTCTTATAAGAAATTGAATTCCACTTATGGAGGATTCCTGCGTTTTCTTCACATCAAGGAATTGAAAAGTAAGTGGGGCCCACACAAAATTAGGAATTGAATTCCTGATTTTGGAGGAATTCAATTCTTGGGTGGGAGGTGGTATTCTAATTCATAGAGAACTAATCCATTATGAATTCATCTTTTTAGTAATTAGCACAACTCTTATCCTAATTTCATATGATTTAGGCCCAGTTTGGGATTGCTGTCACTTTTAAAAAAAGTTGCTTTTGCTGTGCTTTGAAAATAATTAGCTGTAAAGTAAAGCAACTCCATGTTTGGTAAACAATATTTTTAAAGTGTTGTTAGTACAAAAAGCAGTGTCAAAACCGTTTGGTAAAATTTAATATAAAATTGTTGTAACTGTGAACAATGACTAAAATAGACATAATGTTAAAAGTGTTATGTACTAATCATGTGGTGGTAGTGATGGAGTGGAGGTAGTGGTGGTGATGAAGGTGGAGTTGGTGGTTGTGGTAGTGGTGGGGATGGCGATTGTGGAGCTGCTGGTGGTGGTGGTAGTGGCAGCATGATGGTGTTTGTGGTGTTGGTTGTGGAGGTGATAGTGGATGTGGAGGTTTTGGAGGAGGAGGTGGTGGTGGTGGTGGTGATGGTGGTGGTGAAGGTAGAGGAGGTGGTGGTGGAGGTGGAGGAGGTGGTGGTGAAGGTGGTGGAGGAGGTAGATGAGGTGGTGGTTGTGGTAGTGGTGGCAGAGGATGAGGAGGAGAAGGATGTGGTGGTGGTGGAGGTAGTGAATGTGGTGGTGCAAGTGGTGGAGTTGGATGTGGAAGTGGAGGTGGTGTCATTTTTTAAAATGAATGATGGTATTTTGGGCATTAAAAAAATTCATTAAAAGTTCATTTTTGCTTCTTTTGAAAGCACCTTTGAAAAGCAACCCAGAGCCTGCTTTTAAAAGCTATAGTCAAAAGGCCACTACTTTTAAAATAATCGGGATATTTTATTTTTACCAAACACCTTAAACTGCTTAACTTTAAAGTGAAGCAGGTTTTTGGCGAAAAAAAAACAATCACAAATGGGGCCCTAGTAAACAACTTCAATATGAATATGGAATCTAACTCCTTTCAATCTATATGGTTTAGTAAACAACTTCAATAGAAATCCGGAATCTAATTCTTCTCAATCCAACTTCTCCTCAATTCAATTCATCCTAATCCAAATACAAATTAATAAACATGCCATTAATCAATTAGGGAATGGGGAATTCCGAATTAGAATGTAAGACCTCTTTAAATATTGGAAAGAAAAATACCACTATATCAAAAATTAGAAAAAATAATAATAATTAAGATACATGTAATGATATACATAAAACATGCATTGAACTTTATATTTATATCAGCAAACAAGAAAAAAAAAACTACATATTTATATAATTCATGTCACCAATGTAGTTTCTTCTACAAAATCAATGATCTTCGTGCACATATATATGAAACATTGTTGTTGTAAAAATGAGATATATATATATATATATATATATCAAGTTTTTAAGTTGCTGGTGGTTTGTGGCACATTAATTGGTGCAATATTGGGATATTCACAAACTCATACATTCTCCTCGTTTGGGTTCAAAATCTAGTGCTTTTGCGTTATAAACGACATCAAATCTCTCTAATCATCCGTTTGGATGAAGGAATTGAAAATTACATAGAATTCTAAAATGATGGAATTTAGATTTCCATAATTTCAATTTATGGCAATTGAAGATTTCATCATTTGGATTTATGTATGTCGAATTTTGTAAATGGCACTACGAAAATTGTGAACTGACACATATTTTGGTGGAAATGAAACTTAGGAATTTGATGCCCCAATTTCCACAATTTTTTCCGTTCATCATTTAATAAATTTCGCTTTTAAGTTGTTAAACAAAGAAATTGTCCATTATCCTCTTAAATTCCTAACTTTTAGCTAAATTCCTAGTTATTTTCCCTCATCCAAAAGGAAGGTAGAGCTTCTTCCTCCTGCATTTCCATCCCTACCCTCTCCAACATCGCTTCAGTGTAAAATCAATGGACAATTTCGCCATTTGTTCGCCACGTAACTCCCCATGAAGTCTATTATCGTCATTCTGCTATTCTTCCAATGGTTTCAAACTTAACACCACAAGTAATTTGTACTTTTATTTCTAAACTTTAGTACAAATTTAAATCAAGCTACTCTCTTCAATTGATTTTTTTTTTAACACACATTTTAACTAGCTTTTTAAATTTTAGGATAATTAACTAGCTTTTTACACTTAGCTCACAATCCAATGTCTTTTTTCTTTGTATTACTCTAATGTATCTTTTGAAAATGTAAATGAGGATCCCGTGAGAAAAATTGGGAATAAACAAGTGATGTGATTGTCTATGATTATATATATTTAAATTTCTTTGTTGAGTTTTTGGGTTCTATGGGTATATTTTTGAAATGTTTTTTCGTAGTCCTAAAAATGTGTCCGAACAATTGCAAACTTTCTCTTTTGTAAGGTTTTGTTTTGTTTTTTCTTTTGATAGCGACATCGAGAACATTTTTCAAAATAATCAAAAGGTATTGTAAAATTATCACAAATAAAATTGACAGTTACCCAATACATTCTTCTTATTGTGAGAAAATACTCGGTTTGGGAGAGCAAGATGAGTAAGATGGTATGTGACTGTATTATACACTCTAGGACTAAAACCTGCATTGTACACTCTAGGACCTCATAACACTATATTCATTTGAGCTACGAGTTCTTTTCATACCAAACACTTGTTAAAAAATGTTAAGAATATTAACTGCTTCCATATAGTTAGTTATTACTAATGAGATATAAACATGCATCTAAGGCAAAAACCAAACATGCATCAATGAAAAATAACTTAGTAGCAATAATTGATACATCACTCCCATATAATAAAGTCTCAAAAAGGGACCATCTTGGAAATATCACATAGTGGCGTTGTGTGACTAAGATTGCATATTATGCATGATGACTGATTATGTTACTTACAAAATATCCTGAGTTTGATAAGGTTGTCGAAGATATTTTTTATGATGTGGGCTCATCTATTTGAGTATTCCAAATTGTTGAAGAAGCTATTGGAGATGTTTTAGGATTGATATTAAATCAAATTAATAATCAAGTAGATTTTGTTTACAGAATTGTTGTTGGCATTTCTCATTCAACGTGTTTTAAAATGATGAAATTGTAAATATGAGTTTAGCTAAGTTGGTTAGAGCGAATTTGCTCTCCACTTTGCACGCGAGTAAGAATATCGCTTATATATATAAATAAAAAAAAGATGAAATTTTGTTTTTTTATTTTTTTATTTTAAGAATGCACCTATAATTTTAGAGTGCTAATAACAGTTTCTTATTTTATGGATGTTTTTTATAAATGAAAAACTTTGGGTGGACTTTCCATCTTGGACTTGTATCTTCTCAACTAGTTAGTTCTCATTTGCAGACATTGAAGACTGAGATTGTATTTGTATGTCTTTAAAAGACGGGAAACAAAATAATACTTGAATAAAATTCTACATATGAATTTGGGAAAATTATTGAAAGAAGGAGAAAATCCGTAAGGAAAGAAAAAGAAACAAAGAAGGGAATTTTGATTTATTTTATCGGTATTCAATTTTCCACAGCTTTGACTAGTACTTTTTACAGACTCGGACACCCCACCCCCTAAATTCTTTCTCTTTCCAGGGATTTTTCTCTCTCCTCTGTTCCCTCCTCCGTCCGGTTCTCTTCCTCCCCGTTCCCTTCTCCGACGCCGTTTCGTCTCTTCTTTTTCTCACCTTCTAAATTCCTCTCTGAACCCCGTATTCCTCTTCAAAGCCGCCTTCTTTCGCCCTCAGTCTTTCCATAACCAGCTCTCCACGGTCCACGGCTTCGAGCTCAGCTTCTTCTTTGCTTGGAGTCAAAGCTCAGAAATGGAGGTCTTTGGGTTTCAGCAGATCTACGAGGCTTACTGTAAAGAGAGATAGAGAGAGAGCTGAGCAGAGGTGTTGGTGGCGGTGGTGGTGACGTGGCCGTTAATGGTATTGTACGGACGCGCGAGAGCGAAAGCGAGAGAAAGTTGGAAGGTAGATGATGAACGGAGCTCCGCCGAGGGATCGGAGAGGGTGGTGGCGTTACGGTAATTTCTCTCACATGGAATGGCAGATCTTGTTAGCTCCGGGAATGCCAACCGTGACATCGACCAGGTCTCTCTCTCTAAATTTTCTTCATCAAAATTTTAGTACGTGTTAATTTGAAGAGAGCCCTTGTGAACCTGTGCAAATGTAAATAAAAGGAGAGAAAATTAAAAGATCCTTAACTTGTTTTGTGCCTGTTTTGTTACTTTAAAATCAGAAGAGTTGTTTTTGCCTCTTCTTTTACATGTAAAAGGTGGAAATTGGGTGGAGAATTCTTTATTTTTAGCCATATTTATGTTATATTTTTTGGTAACAGCCTTCCTCACATGTATGTGAAAAATGTGAGAGGTTTTGATTTCGTACTCGGAGAACGGCTTTGTAGAAATGTTTTTGGGAACATATCTTGTAAGGTTTTGATTTATGAGGTTCTGGGTTCATCTTTTCTTGCATAGTGATGCAATAATGGGTGTTTGTAAAGGACCAAACAGACCTTAAGATTTAAATTCTTTATTTTTATTTTCTCCAAGCACATTTATAATCCAGATTGACATCTGGGTTTGGTCCAAGGACATGTGTACAGTACTTACATCTTCAATTGATAAGTGGCTAGTCATTATTGCCACAGGGTGATCTAATGGCAATGGCATTACGTGCAACCACATTTCACTTTTTCTTCAGGGTGTAAAACCTGCTGCTCAATTTGGAACAGAATCGATTGTAATTTTAGCAGATTCAAAATATTGTAGAAGTTTGGAGTTAGAGATTAATTATCTTAGTTGCCAGACGGGAGGCAATAAAGACCTAGAATGTATCTTGGAAGGTTGTAACTGAGAGGGAACTAAATTGCTGTGCTTGTGGTTGAAAGTTACAAAGTCGTTACTATATGTGGTACCAAGTTTAATGTAACATTATGATTAGAGTGAAATTTGATTTTGGTTGTGAGAAGAACTCATTATTCCAGCATGAATGATACTACTTTCTTGTGTGGGTTCTTGTGGTCCTGTGTTTATTGCATCAAGAGTTTATCTGCTGTTGTTATCTTTCTCATTGTTTCCAATGATCCTTAAACGATTTGCAGGCAATAATTGCTTTGAAGAAGGGTGCTCAACTACTGAAATATGGTCGTAAGGGAAAGCCTAAGTTTTGTCCATTTAGACTTTCTACTGTAAGTTTGTATCTGAAGCTTCTCTATTAAGATTTTTTAAAGTTTATTTAAAATTGTAAGATATTGGTACTTCGTCTACTGCATGCTAGGAATAAAACATGATGTGTGCAATTACGAAGGTTGAAGTAAAAAATTTATTCCACGTTTCCTGCATAGAAACAAACAGTAAAACACAATGTATGCACTTATAAAAGGATGAAGTGAAGAATAAGTTTTCATTGATTAATCAGAAGTATAGCAGGGTTTGATGGAAATTTGTACAGAATTGTGCAATATATCTCTTAAAAATATCAAGTTTTATGTTGCAATGTTACACAAAATTTGAAGAAAAACATTAAGGTTCTTTTGTAGAAGATTGGAACTGAGAGGATACAGTAGGCAGTTCCCACAGTATAGGGCAATGATTAGATTTTTGGGAATTTAATTGTAGTGTGGTTTCAGGTCAGTCAGGGAAAAACATGGTCTATAGTTCGAAGGAAAGGTATCAGTAATGGATTTATGGAGTTTTGATAGACTGAAATTTTGCACATTGTAAGGACTTGATCATGTTTAATGTCAGTTGACATTAGTTGTGCAGCTAAGTTGCTGGATATGTATGCTGCTATGTCTTTTGGCACATGCGATGGAAAATACTGCTAACGAGACTGCTTTTTGTTGGCTATCTATGGTTCTGTCTTGTGGTTATATCTATTATAATTTGATTCATAAATCTTTATGCTTCTTAAATGCCTTCCATTTTCTACTTACTGCTTCATTTAATAACTGCAGGACGAATCATCTTTGATCTGGATTTCAAGTAGTGGTGAAAGAAGTTTGAAGTTAGCTTCCGTCTCAAGAATCGTTCCTGGACAAAGAACTGTAAGATATTTGATATTACTTTGATATATGTATGTTTGGTTTGATATCACTGTAAGGTTGAAGTCTTGTACCTGTACTTATTCTAATTTCATATGGTCCCCATATTTACTACAGGCCGTCTTTCAACGATATCTGCGTCCTGAAAAGGACTATTTATCTTTTTCCCTTATATATAATAACGGAAAGCGATCTCTTGATCTGGTTAGTGGTGGAAGTTTAAATTCTATCTGTAATTACATTGTTTCTAATTCTTATTTTTATAATAATATTATAAATGACAATCTGTTATTATTGCCTTTCAGATTTGCAAGGACAAAGTTGAGGCAGAAGTGTGGATTGCAGGCCTCAAAGCATTAATATCCTCTGGTAGAGGTGGGCGTTCCAAAATTGATGGATGGAGTGATGGAGGCCTCTACCTTGATGTAAGTATGCCTACTTAGAAACCTTTTCCTTGTTAAATTTATATTGTGTCTTGCAGTGACCTGCGTTATATATGCATTATCATGTGCATTTGAAGCTTTTAAGCTAAAGTTGAAATGCTGAAACATGATGCCTCAGAATAGTTTTTATATCAAATTTCTGCCTGGGTGAACTTATTGTGTATATATAGTTCTTTTCCTTTGTAATTTTTCGTTTTCGTTTTTTATTTATTTCTAAAAGTCTAGTTCTTTTATTACATTAATGGCTAATGAGTCATCCAACTTCTTTATGGTTTAGTTTATACTGTATTATTGTAGAATATGCAGAAATGAGTCGTCACTGGCACACACGTACATACACAAATATTTGGATTTGTGAAAGTTTCTCTTACATTTAGATATGTATAAAGTGTACCTGTTGAACTGCTGCCTGCTTATCAAGTCTTTGGGTAAATTAATTTCAGGATGGCAGGGACTTGACATCAAATAGCCCTAGTGATAGTTCTGTTAGTGGACCACGAGATAGTGGCTCTCCAGAGATCTCTGTCAGTTTCAAACCAAATATCTCGCCAAAGAGATTTCCACCTGAAAATTCTCCAGTTTCTGAGAGGTCACATGCTGCATCAGACCAGATAAATATGCAAGTAAAAGGATCTGGTTCAGATGCATTTCGAGTTAGTGTTTCAAGTGCTCCCAGCACTTCAAGTCATGGTTCTGCGCCGGATGACTGTGAAGCTCTAGGCGATGTATATGTATGGGGTGAGGATATTTGTGATAGCGTTGTCAAGGTTGGGGCTGATAAAAATACAAATTATTTGAGCCCAAGATCAGATGTGCTTGTGCCTAGGCCATTAGAGTCCAATGTTGTTTTGGATGTACACCATATAGCCTGTGGGGTCAGGCATGCAGCCCTGGTCACGAGACAAGGTGAAGTGTTTACATGGGGTGAAGAATCTGGAGGACGACTTGGGCATGGTGCTGGGAAGGATGTTGTTCAACCTCGTCTAGTTGAATCGCTGGCAGCTACTAGTGTTGATTTTGCGGCATGCGGACAATTTCACACTTGTGCTGTTACAATGGCTGGGGAACTTTATACGTGGGGAGATGGTACGCATAATGCTGGGCTTCTTGGTCATGGCACTGATGTCAGCCATTGGATACCAAAGAGAATTTCTGGTCCTCTTGAGGGACTCCAAGTTGCCTCTGTAACTTGTGGTCCATGGCATACGGCCCTGGTAACATCAACAGGGAAACTCTTCACATTTGGCGATGGCACATTTGGTGTCTTAGGTCATGGAGACAGAGAAAATGTTGCATATCCGAGAGAAGTAGAATCCCTATCAGGGTTGAGGACAATTTCTGTTGCATGTGGGGTGTGGCATACTGCTGCTGTTGTGGAGGTTATTGCAACACAATCTAGTGCAAGTATTTCATCAGGTAAATTGTTTACTTGGGGTGATGGAGATAAAAATCGTCTTGGACATGGAGACAAGGAAGCCCGGCTTAAACCAACTTGTGTTCCAGCTCTTATTGATTACAATTTTCACAAAATTGCTTGCGGGCACAGTTTAACTGTTGGCTTGACGACATCAGGACATGTTTTTACAATGGGCAGTACTGTTTATGGTCAGCTTGGAAATCCCAATTCAGATGGAAAGCTACCTTGCTTGGTAGAAGACAAGCTCTCTGGAGATTGTATTGAAGAAATTGCTTGTGGTGCTTATCATGTAGCAGTATTAACATCCAGGAATGAAGTTTATACATGGGGAAAGGGGGCTAATGGGAGGTTGGGCCATGGAGATGTTGAAGATCGGAAAACACCAACTTTGGTTGAAGCTTTAAAGGATAGACATGTGAAATATATTGGTTGTGGTTCACACTATACAGCAGCTATTTGTCTTCACAAATGGGTATCTGGTGCTGAGCAGTCACAGTGCTCTTCTTGTAGACAGGCTTTTGGATTCACAAGGAAAAGGCACAATTGCTATAATTGTGGACTTGTGCACTGCCACTCATGCAGTTCAAGAAAAGCAACAAGAGCAGCACTAGCTCCTAATCCTGGAAAACCATATCGAGTGTGTGATCCTTGTTATGTGAAATTGAATAAGGTGTCAGAAATTGGTGGTAATAACAGAAGGAACTCTATACCTCGCTTGTCAGGTGAGAACAAGGACAGGTTGGATAAGGCTGACATAAGATTATACAAGTCTTCTGTACCTTCTAACATGGATTTGATAAAACAATTGGATACTAAAGCTGCCAAGCAAGGAAAGAAAGCTGAAACATTTTCCCTTGTCCGCTCCGCTCAAGCACCTTCATTGTTGCAATTAAAGGATGTTGTTATGTCAACTGCTGTTGATCTGCGGCGAACAGTTCCCAAACAAGTTCTTACACCATCTGGTGTAAGTTCGAGGTCTGTATCACCATTCTCGAGGAGACCAAGCCCTCCTCGTTTCGCAACTCCAGTTCCTACAACATCAGGACTTTCATTCTCAAAAAGTATTGCTGATAGTTTAAAGAAAACAAATGAACTTTTGAATCAGGAAGTGCTAAAGTTACGCTCACAGGTACAGAATTCATACTTCTCTGGACTTTATTGCTATTTTTTATATACCTCATAAGCAGGGTGTCGGCTTTCATATTTGAGTATTTGTAATATCATATTTTAACAATTTATTATAAAACATTGTGGTAAGGTTGATAGCCTTAAAAAGAAGTGTGAGCTTCAGGAATTAGAGCTTCAGAGTTCATCAAAGAAAGCACAAGAAGCTATGGCATTGGCTGCAGAGGAAGCTGCGAAATGTAAAGCTGCAAAAGAAGTTATAAAGGCTCTAACCGCACAGGTAATTAGTTCAGCTATATGCTTTCATTTCCTTAATTTATTCACGATCTTCAACTTTTATGTCTGATATCTAGTAAAACTTACATTTAGCTGTCCCATTATAATATTGAATTTAATGTAATACACTTCATCGAAAGTAGAATAGTACATGAATTTTGTACCCATAGTTTATCTTAAATTTCCATAAAGGCTTTAACAATTAGTGGCCAATAGTACGAGTTTTAAATTCCTTTTTGTCAGTTTCCCAATCTTCCAACTCTGTTAGAAGGTGTGAGGTTTTTTTGGACGAAATTCATTACTATTGAGTTAGGTAGCTGACTACCTCTACTTTTTTGGTTGAATTTTGTTTTACGTTGAACTGCCATAGTGATCATCATCGTTTACAATATTTCAGCTCAAGGATTTGGCGGAAAGGCTGCCAAATGGTTTGGAGCCAAATGGCATTCACTATCCAGATGCTAATGGAGAGCAGCATTCAAGATCAAATTCGATCAGCAGTTCTTACTTGATTTCCTCCTTGGGAATCGACTCTGCTACAACAAATGGAAGTCCAGGCCCGACTCATTCACTCAAGGATCCAGTTGGAACGAATGAAACTAACCTGCAACAGAATCGGGAGCTTCTGACTTCCAATGGGATGGTAAATCCCCTAGATAAACTACCCAATGGTGGAGCATTTCAGGCAGTTAGTGGTAGTGTGTCAGGCACTGTTGATGGCAAGGAATCCGGACCTTTCCAAGATGGGGAGAATGATACAAGATCCAGGAATTCTCCATCAGCTGCTAATGGTAATACAGTTGAGGCAGAATGGATTGAACAATATGAGCCTGGTGTTTATATAACTCTTGTGGCTCTGCGGGATGGAACTAGAGATCTCAAACGAGTGCGCTTCAGGTACTCCTTGGTTATGCTATTTTCTTAATGCAATATGGCTCGTAAGCAGATAGACGGCCATGCTCTTTTGATCAGTTTATTTGATTTAATTTTTATTTTCATATGATCATGATTTTCATATTGCCCATAGCATGGTATGAACCTGAACCCTCTTACCAATCCTTCTGCCGCATACTCAGTTCATAACTGTGGTGTTATGTATCAAAAGCTATCCAGCGGAATAAAATCTGATAATATACGTTCATTTGCAGCCGAAGAAGATTTGGAGAGCACCAAGCAGAGATTTGGTGGTCAGAGAATCGTGAGAAAGTGTACGAGAAGTACAATGTCCGTGGGTCAGACAAATCTTCAGTTTCTGGCTCAGCTGCACGTAGATCAGACGGAGCTCTCTCACCTGCATCTCAACAATCTTAGCATGGAGGGCAGGAGGGAAAGTCATTAACACTCATTTTGTATCAATTACTGTGATGGTGTTGAGGGAAGCAAGAAAGGGTGGGGTATGAAGGGATGCAAACGCTCTTTTCTTTTTTTTTTTTTTTTTTTTTTTTTTTTTTTTTTTTTTTCATCACCCTTCCCACTGTCTCCCATTTTTTTTCTTTTTAAATTGATTTTCCCACTTCCATTTAATTTATGGGTATTTACCCTTTATACACGTGTTGTATTGTAGTGTATATAAAATCTTCATTTATGAGACGATCTGAGCAAAAGAAAGTTCCACTTCTCGCTTCCAAACTTGCTGCCCCTTAATTGTTCTTTCTTGAGAATTTAACCGCTAGGTTTCGATTGCCTCTTTATACTCAAATAGTTAATAAACCTTAGTGACGATGTCAATTGACAAGACTACTACTGGTTAGTGGGTAACCTAATTAATTATTGTTATAGGTAATTCAAACTGATTGTTGATGCGTTCAATGTAAAGTTTGTGGTGAGAATGCCCAGGACGTATTGTGCTTTCATTTGTTCTCCTAAATTATATATTTAGTTGATTCCAAGCACAATACGACAAATCGATAATTTCGCCGATATTTCGGGTAAGATATTTTCGTTCAATTCGCAGCTTTAAATAGTCATAATATCGCGACTTGGACTTTCAAAAATGAAACAATTTAAACACAGCGCACAAAGTAGGGTTTGAACCCCTCCTAACTCCGAATTTTTGCAGTCACTTAACTACCACGCCAATCATCACTTTGTGATAATAAGCTATGAAATATGTATTTATAATACATGCGAGCTGTTTCTCAAAATAGAAATTAACATAATTACTTATTGTTTTATATTGTTGATCAGTTACTTAATTACTTAATATAATTTATTTCCTTTTCTATTTAATCCATTTAATGTTATTGATTATTTTATTATTCATTATAAGTACTTACATTACTAAATTCCCCTTCAAATTGTTGCTTAATTACTTAAATCTCTATAATTATTTTCTTTGTTTACTACTTAATTCTTTCTTTGATAAATTTATTTATGTTCTTAGTTAATTTTCAATCTTCACTATTATTTTTTAAATATGGTAAAGTGCCTAATTTTCATGAAAAGTCAAGTTGGTTTAATTATTTTTCAATTTTTGATAAATAATAAATATAAGAACGTGTACCATGTCCAATGAATAATGTGAAATAAGGTTACACATGTATCTTACCATGCAATTTATAAAGTGTAAAATATTGTACTAAAAAATGATAAATAAATTACTATGGGGTGTTTAATTCTCTTCATTAATTACTCCATATTTTCTAAGTCACAGAGTTTGTCAGCTCGCAATATAATCAACTTAAATCACTCAAACCCACTATGCAATGCATTTCCTTCCATTTTTTTTTGGTCAAAATAATAGATGATTGACTAAATAAACTTCTTCTAAAGTTTCATTAAAAATTTCTATGTATTTATCTCAATTTCCGTGGTTTTTATCAAATTTTTTTATCGATATTGATATTTTCCCGATATTTCCGTGTTTTTGAACCACTGATATTTCCGAAACTATCGATATTTAAGACCTTAATTCCAAGCAATGGGTTTATGCCCATCACGTGAGGAGAGACGTACTTACATACACATTTAAGTTTTATTCCTCGGTAGACTTGGCAAAGTGATCTTGTTTTGCGGGTCCGTATAACTCAATTTGAACATGACCCGTTAAGTTGAGTGGAAAATTCTAAATATAAAGGAAACCTACAAAAATAACGGGTTACACGACACAAATCGTTTCACTCATTGAGAAATCTAATCATAATAAATCTAGGTAAGCAATGACGAACCTATTAAAGCGCAAGGAGGTGCAGCTACACATTCTCTTGCCGGAAAAGCCATTGTAGGTGCTGCATATTGCACCTTTGCTCAACCCAAGAGGTGCACTCTAGATGTTTGATGAAAAGTCTAAACGAATTCAGTCTACTGCTGCACTACGCTACAGCGCAGCGCACTTAATTTTTTTAAAAAATTCTGACTAAAATTGCATCTCCGTTAAAAAATTTCTAGGTCTGCTAGGGTAGGTAAGCTTCCCTTGGTGTTTCGGGATCAAGTAATCCCTCCTCTGGCGAACCCAAATTGTACTATGTTTGCATGAAAAAAGGCCCTACTTTTCTCCCAAAACAGGCACGTTAGATGATCTTCGAGGCCAATGGAAAGTTGTAGCAGTTTCATTAAAGGAGGCCACTTGAAATTTAAAAATGAAATTCGGGGATCAAAAGAATACGAATCACATGCATTGTTTTTCACTTGCATGGTCTTTTTTTGTTTTTTGTTTTTGAAGCATGCATGCATAATGAATCGAAATAGTAAAATCAAGTGAATTACATGCAAATGGCCCTGCATTGCACGACTGGCAGCACTTGATATATGTAATGTTTAATTATAACCATTGCAGGTGAGCCTACCTCCCATATGTGATCATTTTGATAACCTGCCGACACTGAAACTTACGCAGAAGCTGCTAACAGAACATCAGTGAATGAAAAGCGGAAAAGCCAGCAGGGACCCCCCCCAATTTCTTTAAGTTTTAACCAAACAAACTCTTTGAATTTGCCTCACCAAAATCCAAATATTTCTAATACTAAGTGCACAACCTTTGACCTCAAGACTTTTTTTTGACAATAACAGTTGTATTTTTTGATAAAAGAGAAATCGGATGTATAGATAAATACTTTTAACTACTTGAGTTATAAGTTCCTTACAAATTACGCGATTGTTTTTTATTTATTTAAATTCATAGTTATCACATGCTCTCTCTCCTCTCTCTCTCTCTCTCTCTCTCTGAATGACCAGTTTGTTGAATTTAATGCAAGATGTGAAAAGACTTAACCAACTCTAGCTAGCAACGAACTTTTATGAGATAGTTGGTCAATTTACCCTCCCTCCAAAAACGCAGTCCAAGTTGGACTCTGTTAAATAAATAAATATATATATATATATACACACACACATACAATATATCTTCATGGATGGTGAGCATAAGAAGACTTTGTTTCGGTTACAGATTCATAAGAGACTTTAGCATCTACTTCTTGCGGTTATATCAAAGGCATTAATTAGAACAAAACTTACAGAAAAGGGAAAACAAAAGTCAAATTCAAGTGGATAGTCTCCAATCGTGTTTGAAAAAATGAAGCAAATAATGCAAAATAAGAAATGTGTATTCTTCTGATTTTGTTTTCTTCCCCATCTCCTTCTCAACACCTTCCCATCAGCACATTAAAAATAAAAATAAAATAGGTATGATTGTGCCTTTCACAAATCAAATGAATGACATAAAAAATGAGATCATGACATGTAGCCCTAATAAATTTGAAGAGGACGTCCATCATCATTCCTGTCAACAGATTTTGGGTTTGCTCACACTCAATCTTAAGTACAGTGCCAAGCTAGCAAGCTCATGATCACTGAGACACAACTCCATAATCTTTACTTTTTCTGCATCAAACTTATGGAAAAAGACACAAATTCAAACTTGTTAAATTTGAATCAATGGCCGATTTTTTTGGTTCTTTTTTTCCTTACAAAACTTCCTGTTCATCATCAGCTGGATGAAAATTTACTCTTGCTCTTCCAAGAAGAAGGAGACAAATCCATATACCCAGAAACATTGAAACTTGCCATGCTAATTATAATAGCTTCTCATAAAATTAAGCTGCAACAAACAAAAATAACAAAAATTATGGAGAGATATATATATATATATATATCCATCAACCCCATGTACATTGCCCATGACCAATATTGGTTCTGTGAGTTGAAGAAGAAATATGAGCAGCTACATCTACCTTTGTCTGTAGAAAGATTATATATATATATATATATATATATATATATATGTCTTCAAGGTGAGAGCTGTGATGAGCTTTGTAACCCAACACCATTGTGCTCCTTGGAAGGTCCAGATGGAGGGATTGGCGAAGCTTTTGGTAAGAATGCAAAAAAGCTACCCTCATGTGGATTGTGATCAGAGTTGGGCTTCATTACCTTGAAAACTTGACTCTGCAATGTTCTTGAGCTCTGAGTATGGCCGACCAGAAATATGAGCAGCAGGAGTAACCGCAGCGCCACTACAAGTAGTATTTGATGATCATGTCTTTTGCCCATTTCACCAAGCAGTTCAAAAAGCCTATATAGAATACAAGATGGAGCAAAATCGAGAAAGAGAGAAGGGGGTTTTGTCAAGCCCTGAAAAGTTCAAAGGAAGGAAGGTTAATAATGGATGGCACAAACTACAAAAAGAGATTATATATACTTAAATAGATATATATACATATAAACAAGTAAGCGGTTTGTAACTGAAGTTGTTGAGAGTATTTACCTCTCAGTTCGAAACTCTATCTTCGATTAACGGATATCAGGTTTGTATATATAAATGAAAATGCAATGTTTGGGGTGTGAATGAAGCCTGTGAACGTGAGATGAAATTGAGGTACAAAACAATGACGGAATGTGGAAACACGAGGAAATAAATGCAGGGACTGAGTCATGTGCATTTAGATTTTGATTATGTATGTGGCTAGTGAGCAAAATTAAATAAGGTAACATGTAGTAATAGTCTTTGAACAAGGAAGAGCCTATCAAGAAAAAGCTTTCTTAAGAGCAATTGAACGGGTCTTTAGGGGGTGTGTTTCTGAGTCATCAAAGGTGTTGATGGAACAAAAGGGGCAGAAGGGTATGCTGGGAAAAGTATTAAAAAATAAAAAATAAAAAAAATACAAGAGAGAGAAATTTGGGAGTGAAAAATGGAAGTGTGTTAGATGGGTAGGTGAATGTGTGGGCCTCTATCGCAATTAATGGCCGACTAAGGAACACAAAGTCTGAAACAGTTTCTTTCTGTTGTATCTTGCACAATCTAGCTTTGCTATAATGTTAGAGACTGCATAGGCCTTTTCATCACATGATGTCACAAGCTCCATTCCCAAAATCAATACTGCTACTAAAGGGGCTATTGCAATTCAGATTACATTTATGTGTCAGATTATGTGACATATGTTATATCAATTATCAACTAGTTATAATACTTTATGTCATAATCGAATTCTATTATCAGCTGTGTTTCGTTCAGTTGCGCACGCACGATATATTAATGTAGTCTAAAAACATGGTCTCTTTATCTTATTCTAGTTCACACACTAGTCGTGTTTTGGTCGGTCATTCATACATATGAAAAATCTTTAACTGTTGATGAAATATGAGTCAAACATTTATTAGTGTGTAATTTATTTCTGTAAGGACTAAGAGTGTTCACAAGTTTGTGTCCCTCCCTCCTTGGAGGGTGGGGATGGTGAAGTAAATGCTGGTTATTTTATGTTGGGGGGCTACAAAACAAAGCCAATTGGCCAGCCATAGGGGCTCACCTGGATCACTTTTGGGATTTTAGACAAACTTAGACAGGGGCCTCATGTTGTGTTCTCAAGTAAGAAAGGGGGGTGAATCAAGTGGCCCCACTTGCTGTATAAGAATAAGAGGTTGGAGAGAGATATGTAATGATGGAAAGCTGAATCTTGTGTGATATCTCAATCTATGATTTTTCATTAAAGGGAGAGAGGGCTGTGTGTACCATGTACACCAGGACAATATGATGAATATCCATAAATGATGAAACACAAGAAATATGTCCATTAACATGAACATTAATGGACCTTCTTTATCTTCTCCAAGTCATCAGGTGATTCATAATGCTCCAAAGCTTGTCTGGAGATTTGAGATTAGATTATTGTGGTTCTCCATAAGTAATTCATTAACCTATAATAGAATTTATTAGATTTCTCTCGTCTATCTTTTTTATCCCAAAATTATCATATAACACCTTGTCATTATGCGGGAATTCCTTATTTGTTATTTTCTGAACTTTGTTTGTGTGACTCAAATTTTAACATATGATAACGACGAGCTTATGTTTTAAGGTATAACATCGTGAACATTGCCGTATTGTGTGACATTGAAACATTTCTATATATTTCCTTTTCTTAATGGTAATCAAGAAAGTTATTCTGTCCAATCATAACCATTTTTGTTGAAACTGGGCATGACACAACCAAAATCCTACGTCATATTGTATCTATTAATCAATGGTCATCATGTCTGTGCCCGTTTTCAAAGAAACCTAACTCATTTTATATACTTCTACCCACTCGACATATAATTCCAAGTTTTTAAGAAGTTATATATACATATAGGAAGCATTAAATACAAGACCAAAAGTCATTTTTTATCCCTATATAGTTTGACACTTCAATTACTTTTAATCTTGTAATTTCAATTTCGTCAATTTTGCCGTTATAGTTTTGTATTTGTAGCAATTCAAAGATAAGTTAGTATTCCTATTAATTTTTTTGACGGTGCAAGAGGCAATTTTCATCAAATTTGATGAATTTGGTCAAGGCTTTGATTGAGGGGAACCAAACGGTGAGATAAGATAATTCTAATATAAAGCTTGAATTAGTGGTTGTTTTATGTTGTTCTTGTCGACATGTCCAATATTCAACCACTAATTCTAATTTTTGAAGAACTCTAAACTTAAATGGCCAATTTCGAGCTCTAATATGAAATGGGGATAGTTTCAGACATGCTTTACGCTCAAGGATTTTGGGTTGACGAAATTGCCCCTTGCACTGTCAAAGAAATTGACAAGAATACCAACTTGTCTTTGAATTGCTACAAATACGAAACTACAATGACAAAATTGAGGGAATTGAAAGTACATGGCCAAAAGTGATTGAAGTGCCAAATTATAGAAATCAAAAGTGACTTTTAGCCTAAATACAATTTATGGGAGTTTAGTTATTTATGGATTCAGTGGAGTATGGTCATGAAGGATGAAACATTTCATAAGAGTGATTCTTCACAATTCCACATCGTAAATATTGTTATCACTTATACTAAATCAATTAGTTGTCAGCATGAGTTTAGCAGCATTTAAATAACTTTTGGTGCGATTCTTAGTGTTTATTATTGGTAAATGAAACAAAAAAGAAACTACAATTACAAGCGATAATGAATCTAAATTGGTAAACCTAGTGTAGTTTAGATTTCATCACATTTCCAAATTGGTAAATGAAACAAAAAAGAGGCCACTGGCCAATACAATAAATAGAAGGACCAAAATAAAACTATATCTATAGATTATGATGTAATAATACACTATCATCTAACCAATCATCACAATGACCCCTTCTCGTGTGACATTTTTGGTTCTTAAACAAGTGGAAAGAGTTAAATGAGTTATTAAAATTAATATAAAAAAAATGCAATTTTGGTTTTGATTACTTATGAACAAAGACTCGGCCACAAAAAAAAATAAAAAAAAAGAATGAATAGAAGATTAATTGTGCCAAACGATCCTACTACGTACTCTTATGAATTGCAGTGAGTTGTGTGTCTAGCTAGATGCTTTGGCATACTTGAAGCTTCATTTGCACCATTTATGGGTAGAGAATCCCTCCTCAAAAGAAGATCAGACGAAAGGGGGTCATCAATCATCCTCGTTTAGATGTACATCATAGATGGATATAGTTCTCTTTTGGTACTTTTTGTGCTTTGAGTTTTGATGTGTTTGTTAAATATTTGATAACATACACAAGCTCCTTAATCCATCTCCAATGCATGAGTTTTAAACCCCAAATTTAAGATTTCGGCTCAAATATCATCCCCACCACGTACGCAATCATTTGGGTTTAACAACAGTTCAAGCCAAATAATAGACCTCTTTTCGAATTGTCTTAAATGATGGATCACACGATTTTGAGGCCCAAAGAAAATGGAGATGGCGGGTCTCAAAGTTTGAGAGTGTAGAATTAGGGTAAAAAACTATTTAAGACCTTGTATATAGATGAATAGTTGTATTTGACAGCGAAAATTTGGTTTTGAAACCCTTGGTATTCGGAGGAAAAAAAATCTTGTACTAATTGGTTTGTTTGAACATCAATTTTTTGTAAGAACAAAAAAATTCTAACATGTCCTGAGCTGCAACTGTACATTAAAAAAAAAATTTAAATGTACTCCAAGTGTCATGATATTTTTGTTGAACAAATGTGATTGAATTTTACCTATGCTTGGACTAAAAACGAATATCATCAAAATGTCTCAGTTTACTTGATTGCATGCAGGTATTCGGGTTTCTTAACGAGGAAGCTTCTTCAATGACTTTGAAAGTAAAAGAAATATCATGGTTAGGTTTTGACTTTGATAAAACAAAAAACAAAAAGAAAGAAAATAAAGGTTTCTTGTATTAGTTACTCATCCGTTTCTTATATGTCTCATGTAAAGAAAGTCAAAGGTACAAAAAACGCGTTCAATTATTGAATTGCATTGGTTGATCAGATGATCTTCACTCATTTGTCCTGGATGTTTGAGATTGACAAACAAATATGATGACTAATTTAAAAATTCTAAATGTTCTAGGATTATGTGGATAGAATATAGGGAAAAAGGGGAGATTGGTTAAGATGCTTTTCAAACCACACGAATGTAAGAGCACTTTCAGCGGGAGGCCTCAGTCCTAGCAAGAGGCCTCCCGGGCTCCCATTCGTGTTACCAGCTCAAGTCTTGTCAAGACAAGAGCTGTGCACCACTAACCTAGGTAAGTTCAAAGGCAAGACTTGCTTGGACTGTTGTTATCTAAACAAGCTGACCTAATGCTGACGTCATTGTGACGTCAGCAGCCAATTTAAATAACAAAAAAATTGAAAAAAAAAGGAAAAAAAAATATAGAAAAGTTGATATAGATCCAAATTCCCATTTAGGAGTTGGGTTTAATCCTAGGATTTGGTAATTTTGATATAAGTCCTTTGACTTTTGTGCCACATAAGATTACATTCCTTTTTAAATATTGTAATATGTAATCTTTTGATTTTTATAGTTTTAAAATCATTTTTTGTTCCAATATTGCCCATTATCTTAGATTACTTACCTTAATGAGATAATTAGCCAATATTATATTTCTTTCCTTATCCAATTTACCCTTTAGCACATAAAACGTAAGAAATAATGAAGTTATTAACTGAAGCAAATTTTTATGGTGGTTTTATAATAAATTACTATATTTATGGTAAGTAAAGCACCTAATTAGGAAGATTAAAAAATATATATATATTTAAATGTTG